AAGAAACGACGCGAAATCAACAATGTGTTCGATTTCACTCACCTCGCTTGCGCTTCGTCCAGAGACTGATCTGTGATGTTCATAATTTGCTGCAAAATATCACCTATGTCCTGCTTACGACCGTCCGGGCCTTCTTCAGGAGGTTTCATCTGCTCCAGTGCAGCTTGCTGACCCGATAACATGGGAACTTGGACAGAATTCATCACATTTCCTTCCATCACGCAGTAAAGATCTAGCTCTCGACGAATAAACCTACAAAATCCAAGATGTCCGCGCTAGAGTGACGAAATAGGAATGCTCAACTCTATACTTAACCGACGGTCAAAATAAAGCCCTGCTCGGCCACTTTTCGACCTCGCAGTTTCAAAGCAACAACACTATATGATAGCTGTTATATTTCACAGAGTGTTACGCTCGGTTGGCGGTCGTGTTTCCAATCTGCCACTCAACAAATCTTTTGAATTTGAAGCACAGACGTGTCAATATCTTTCGGTGCGTGAGAAGAACGCGAATGATTGACACCACTGGATTTGCTCAATTAGCATAAAAACCTTCATGTAAAATTCATCAGAGGAAAGTCACACAGCTCTCACTCGGTGGTAAAAACTCACCTTCCTTCACTTAAGTGCTTCCTGCCTGAACTCAGAGCGTCAATGTACAGTTTCCTCGCTGAAAATTTAACGAGAACAAAGGATCATCGAAGGGACGCCCCAAAATTTCCAAAATGGCGGCCAAGTGAGGACAGAATGTCAATATTCATTACTGTTGCTATGGTGCTGCCTGCAGGTGTTGTTTTGGGGCGGAACAAAGAGCAGAAATTCAAAGAAACAACAAAAGGCAAGTGGAAAGACGTCCGGTCACGTTTTTCGTTACTTTTGTTTTCAGTTTACTTTGAAATCGACATTTTAGGTTACTCTTACGTGAAGAAAAATGAAACACTTTATACCACATTCAGACAAAACATGGTTTCAGAACGCATCATTAAATATGCAAAATAATTCGTGTTAACATAAATTTTTATCACCAGCATCTTCTTGTTCCATTTTTGCATTTGAAATCAGTTGGGGTGAAAATTGTTCAAACAGCAGAAAAAAGCTTAAGACTTCCCACTTCAATCCACCAAAAAAAGAAATAAAAATCTTGGAACCTCGATGAGCAAGACTTAATTTGACGCCATCAAAGGAGGAAAAAACATCAAAATAGATAACAATGAAGTGGGTTGGACGCGAATATTGCCACATTTAAATTTATGATCCTTCGCTGTACTCACTGAATCCTGAGACAGCTTAATAGTATACTTCCCTCTGCTTGCCAGTCAATTGCTTCGGGTTGCAACAGCTAAGTTCATAATGATGATAATGTTATTTTATTTCATAATGATCAGAAGCATTTTTAAAACTGCAAATCACGTTGAACGAAAAATTAAAAAATAATTTTAAAAAATAAAAAAGAAGGGAAACTTTTCTCTGACAGCCTATCACGGATCGTGCATTGTTTCTATTCAGATTTTAATTTACAGTGTACAAAGACAGTAGAGACCTAAAAGGAAGTTGAGAAACTACGTTTTTCCTATTTCCCATCGGAATCATTCCGTTGACGGGGGCAATTGCGTTAAACTACCTTGGCTCGAACGGTTTTCGATTTGACGTCGCCCAAAAGCCCCCGCAACTTATCTGAAAATCCCTTCGCTAAATAAAAATTTTTTAATATTCCTCGTTTCCAGTCTCCCACTACTTATTTGTTTTCATAATTTTTTCTTTATTTTCTTCTATATGGCCATCTGTCCCATCTCTCCACCCACGGGTATCAACGGAACAAATAAATGAGAAGAAAGCAACGATTACATAGATTGTTTCAGTGTTGGCAGCAGAATCTCCCACCCCTCGGTAATAATGAGCCTGTGAGACAGTATAACCACGTGCAATTGCTTTTTTCCTAGGTGACTTAGCAACTTGGAAATTAGCCAGACTTTTTGTCTCAATTTGTGGAAAAAGGATTTTCTAAAGAAACAGCCTTTATGAAGCATTTATTTCTGCCCAGCATACAGCAATTATGAAAATCAGTTGTTTATTTTTTACGGTCAACCTTTTCAAAACGATTCTGCCGGCTACACACAAGTAAGCCTCTCAGATACTTATCTACATTACATAGGCAAACTGTTTATGCGCTGAAACACTTAAAGATGTTATTCAAAGTGAAAATTTTCTATTTCTGGGCTAGTTTTTCTTTCAGACATGCTGTCGCCAAGATTAAAGAGATAAACTTTTCAGCAAATGGTACCAGGAACCCATTTGGCAATGTGGTGGCTCCTGCTGGTACAGAAAAAAAAAACTCTTACTGATATCATCATGGTTCTTTGAAACATTTTTTGAAGTGATTCACTGAGGTCTTTCTAAAGAAAGATTTTTCTGAGTGCATCTACCACAGTTGTTTGATGCGTCCATTTACGACAGTTTATACTTCTCAATACAGCGCCCATGTTTTGCTGGACTAGATCTGACCTCAAACTAAAAAGGAAAGTCAGTCTTAGGAGTATTTTTTTTTTCGAAGTTTCTTTCGCAACATTTTTCGCTATTTTTCACTTTCGTTATTTTATTGTGTGTGTTTGTCACGTATTTTGTTGAAGGTTTTTATTTATTCGATCAGTCTTTTTCCAAAACTGATATTGTAAGTCTTTCTTAGAGTAAGGTAAACTTAAGCGCACAGGAAGTAAATTGAAATGCGTTAAAAACAAAGAAAAGAAAAGCTGGGCTAATCTGTTGACTATCCATAGCTTTAGACGTCGTGGACAGCGTACACTGTGAACAAACATAGAGAGCATGCGCGAGATCAGGCGTGGAGAGGACCACGAGAGCAAAACTACCACCATACCCAGCGGCTTTCTTAAGTTTACTCATTGGATAATCATATGATCTCGGGGAAAATTAGGGACTGAACGTAGCTCAGAGGGTGCTCAAGCAGCAAGAATCTCTTATTTTCATGGAAGATTTGGTTACATTCAGTTTATTTTCTTCTGGACTTAGCTTCTTGTTCAAATAAGTCATCAGAATATCGTCACTTCACTTTCCCAAGTAGAACAATCGAAGACAAATAAATAATATTTTTAAGTGCAAAAAATATTTTTGATCGGTATAAAATTAGACAGAGATATAAAATTTATTTTATTCAGCTCAGCTAACAACAAATACAAATTAGAAATACGCAGAGAAGAATTAAGACAAAGTAAGAATTATAAACTAAATCCCTGGTCGTTGATGAAGAACGATTTTTACATCCCCCAGATAAAAATAGCAAATGATAAAACGATCCAGTGCCATCCGTCTTATAAAGAAGTCTGCAAGCAGATACGCTCTCTAACAGTGATCAACAGCTTCAGTTTTGTCTCAGGTCAGTTCTCTGATAGTTTTTACCCTACATACATATCCTTCGCAAAGGTGACAATTTCGTTGTAAAGATTTATTGATAAAAAAAAATCAAACGCTGTCGGAAAGCTTGTAAAGTTTTTCAGGAGAACTATTTAGCGTGCAACTGGCCTCGTCATGTTTAGTACACATCGGAGAAACTTTCCTAGTCTGCATGTTTTCTCCCTGCTCTGGTGCACGCGACCTCGCAGGCCGGAATAAATCTCGAGTCGGCCTTCTTGTCCTGCCCTGTCGATGTCACTGCCGAAATGAAATTGGTAGAAGAAATGTGGTCGGAGGTGTATCATAAGGGAGGGCCTGAAGGTTACTTATTTATGTACATTTATACTTCATATCATCTAGTGGTCGCCTGCTATCGTTTTAATTGATTTACTTAATCAGACTGTATTACCTTTGGTGAAAATTGCTGGCGTAAAAACTTTTTATAGTATTAGGGTTTTAACGCAACTTTCTTATGCAACAAGCACGTCTGCAAACAAACTCTTCACTTGAAAATTTTGATAGAGAAGAGTGTCCTCTTGCGCCTGGTTCCTTCCTTCGGCGTTCTCTCTTACCCACAATCGCCTCTTTGGCAAACCAAACTAAGAGTCTGTGTACAACTTACACTGATTTCTTAACCATACGATATTGTTGGGCCCCTCCCAGAGAAGCCAAGTTTACCACTGCGAGCGAGAGAGTATAGTCTTTGTTTAAACGAAAGCTATCGCCCTTTCGATGTCAACTTCTCAAAAACTTAAACCCCTCTATACATGTTTGTTTTGTTCTCTGGCCCTGGGAGTTCCTGATGGCAGCTATGATAAAATTTTAGCGTCACCTGCGCCAGATGAAGATAGTAACAGCAATAAAATAATGAGAAAAAGGAAGCACACGTCAACCGTAGGATAAACCTCCCTTTTTAGAAAAACAATCACAAATGTGTCTTTTCCGTGACAGCCGTTCAGACCTCTATAAATATTCTTGACAAACAAGGTGAAAAAAAATAACTTCAATGATCACAACAAAATCACTAAAATTTTTTTTTTTTTCTTAGTCTGACAACAATCGCAAATCTCAAATGGCCCACTCTCTGGGGGTGGGTCAACCAAACCGTTCCTGTTTTGATCTTTGCTGTACTCTGTCAGAGTATTCTAGAGGGACTTCATGCGCGGTTTATTACGAACGTTTTCCAGTGTCGTTTCAGTGATATTATCAACTGAGTTGGTAATGTAAATTGGTCACCGTAAAGAGTTTCAAAGCTGACGTTTCGAGCGTTAGCCCTTCTTCAGAGCAAATGGTGCTCGAAATGCCAGCTTTGAAACTCTTTACGGTGGCAAGTTTATGCTATCAACTCAGTTGATAATACCAAATTTCCATGTTATACTCTCCCACCGACGCAGCACCACAGTTTCTTTAGAATCTTAAATAAATAAATAAAAGAAGTTTAATTCCATCATCATCGCAGTTAATCTGAATTACAATGTGGTTACAAATGTACAACTATAAGAATTACATACTGTTAATCAATAAGGGACTAGGTTACAATAGATTTTATATTAAAATTACAAATACAAGTTAAAATATAAATGTAGGTATATATGGTCTAAAAAAAAAATTGATTGTTGAAGGCTAAATTAGTACTTTGGAAAAAAACTACGGCGCAATCTTTCAGTCCTGCATTTAGCTAATGTATATATGTTAGTGCATCTCGTTTGATAGTGATGCATGCATAATTTCAAACGTGCTTAGCACTGCATCAATAAAATAATTGAACTGACCAAGCCTTTATTTGGGCGATTTCAAAATGGATGTAATAAAGTGGTAATTGAACCTCTTGTCGTGCAATTTTGGGCTGAAATCATACGCGTGATTTCAAATCGAACTCACGCTGAGCGCTCGTTCGATTTTGAAATCACGCGTATGATTTCAGCCCAAATTGCACTCCATTCAGTTCAATTACCATTATTTATTCGTTTTTCAGTGTCGGTCGACGAGGAAATTACCTTTTACCCGACTCTTTTTTTTACGTTTGGAACCTCTAATTTGGTTCATCAGAAGGGAAAGTTATGGGACCAGTTATTTCAAACAGACTTCAGCTGTTTGTTTAGCAAAACCGCAAACTGTAAACGATCTTTCATTTGGCCAAACTTCTCATTTAGATAGTCATTTTGGTGATCAGTATCAACAGACTTATAGCGAACGCTTATAAAGCATTAAGTCACTTGAGAAAGACTCGTAATATTGAGAAGTCTCTAGAGCCATTGATAGTCTAAAACCGCCGGTAAATGAACAAATCTTAGTTTTTGATCATTTCTTTTTTATTCTTCTGCACACGTGTCGTCTCACTTGCTGACAATACACGCATAAAAGTCAGAATTTCGGAGTGTAAAATGAATTCTGCATCATTTGATTGAATGAGTGAGTTGGATGAAGAGTAGGTGATTTATAAATAAATGACAAGCTTTCGATGACTAGGTAGGTTCGAGATTCCTATTTCTTTTTAAATGACATGACTTTTATCATTACTGCTAGATAGCTGAGGACCCCCATTTAAAAGCCGCATTTAATGATTAATAGTGTTCAGTAAGTTGAGCCAGAATCGATGAAATTTTTTTGCCTTTTGTTATTTTTTCGTTAGCAAAGAGACCTCATCAGCAGCATCGGAGGATCATCGGGTCTCCTTTTGTTATATTTACGGGGGTAACTTTGCAATTGCTACTCAAGTTGAAAAAGCACTTCTGCTGCAAAGAGATTAAGGAAAGAAGCTCGAACATTTAGCTCACCAGGAACAATAGATATGAAATTAAGTCCGAGAAGCTTTAACTTAGACTTTATTCTGACCGGCAAAGATGCAACCAGGAGAGGCTGTATAGGCTAATCTTATACACAGATTAAAATTAAAACCTAAAAATTGTTTCGTACCGGAGAAGAAAAACTTTCGGAATAGCCGGGAGGACCTTCCAAATGCCTGCGTTGTTCTAATTCTAAATGAAGTTATTCCATAAATCTTAGATTTGCGTGGCAGCTATTGTTATTGTAAGGTCAAAGTGAAGACTGTGATGAGGGCACTGGGGCTACTCTAGCTGCCGCTCCTCCTATCGCTGCCACAGAAGACAATGAATACTTCGTAATCTCCGTGCTAATCGCCTCGCGTGTGTTCTGCTCAGGACTAAAAATAATTACGTACACTTTAGGCCCGAACATGCAACCTAAAAGAGCAAATGAGCTTACGAGAGTGGTTACTCCCCCGATAACGCCTACATACCATCCCTCCAAGCCAAACACCACAGGATAATAAGCAGCGGAGCACAACAGTACAATGTACATTGCAAAACCAATATATCTCGCCTCGTTAAAATTTTCCGGAATTTTTCTACCTTTGAAAGCATAATAGATGCATGCAAGTGAAAGGATCATGAGAAATGTTACACTAATGATTAAAAGTACATGGCCAGAAACGGATCTAAAAGGTTTACAAACCACAAAAATATATTGAAGAGGACGAACGATGGTTTCTTTGGAGGGCGGGTCCACTAAAATCCAAATCAAATTCAGTATGATCTGTATGGACGATAATAGAAATAAATGAAGTCTCTGTCCTTTGAAACAGAAGTTTTTCCGCCTATTTGTTCTGGAGGCCAAGCTGTCGGGTAACTTACCCTGAGGCCGAAAAGCCTTGACGATTTTTCTTGACTTCAAAAGAAGTATGGAGACGCATAAGGTATAGACAGTGTCGCGCCAGATGCAGACAACTCTACACAAGATGTCTGTGGGAGTAAATAAGTTTAGTAAAGCAAAGACGAAAAATAACACCACTACAAACAGCAAAATAAAGCTAAGTTCCTTGTTCGAAGCCTTTACTATCGGCGTATTCCGATACTTGATGAAAATAGCGAAACAGAGGATGGTCAAACACAGACCAAGCGCTGCTGTGCATGTCACGATAAGGGCTGAGATATCGCTCCATTTCAAGTTGTTCAGTGGAAGATCCATACATTGTGTCCTCTCGTTGTTGGGTTTCTCTCTCTCGGAACATTGGGAACAGTTAGAAGAAATACCGTCGGAACTTATGGTACCAATTGGGCAGTCGACACATTCCCAACAACAAGAGGATCTTGTGACTTTTCTTTCACCCGGTTTACAGTCTTTGGAGCAGATTGATGAGGGGATGCCGTCGAATCCATCTTGATTGTTCCAGGTTATCATCGGTAAGCTCAAGTGTAGTTTAGAACTGCTTCTTCTAGCCCACCAACCGATAAGAACGCCCTCAAGACCTTTGCCAAACTGGCCCTTGAAGTTTACAATATCGTACGAAGCTTCCAATGGGTCACCACGTTCGTCAAATTGTACTGTCCCTGTCAATCCTTGGAAACTCACATTCCTCAAGTAAAGGTCAAGACAATCCCCAATCACCTTCAGATCTTGAAGTCGTGGGCATTTTCCACCCTCCAAGAGACCATGTGGCTCCTTGCAGTTGTACATATTGTGTAGGGCGTGTGCGAAGGCGTACACCCCATCAATAGTGTATGAAACGTAAGGACTGCTAATGAATGGATTCTCATTAGAAAAATACTCTTCTAATGAACCAGATAAAGTGTTTTTATTTTTTGGGTTATGCCAGTATTCTTGCCACCACAGATGGGTGCTGCCCGAAAAGTTCCTTTTAGCAAGATTGACCAGATATTTTTTGTATTCCTTACTTCGCGCAGCCCTGTGAAAAACACCAAATGATCCATTAAGTAAGCCAGCAAAGCGATCATGTCCGAAAAAGGGATCTGTTGGCGCTGTTCCGTCAGTAAATATCCATGTTTTTCCTCTAACACCTTGTCTTACTGCTTCTTCCATAAAAGATTGCGCGAACTGTCCGTAAAGCCAAAAAAACACCACCTTAACATTTTCCATTTTCTTGAGCTCGAGCACGATTTCCTTAAACTTATCATAAGGATCCACTCGGGGGACAAACTTTTTCAAGGCAATACAAAAGTTGTCTCTCAAGTTTGCTTCTTTTTCTATTCCCCAGATTCCGTATCGGCCGAAGGAGTCGTCAAGTGCTATTGCAGCAACGTAAGTCCAGTTGAAGAACTGCGCTATGTCAGCGAGCAAACTTGCGCGCCAACTGTCAGGCGAAACTGTGCGGTAAAAATGTTTGTAAAGTGTTGAACTCAGTTCCACGCTTGTCGCTAGGGAGCTTATGGACGGAATGTGCGCGATTTTAAACAGACTTGACACCATGATGGCGCTGGCAGAATCCATTGGCCCAATCACGCCTGATATTTCTTTGAAGTGGCCACTGAACGCGTTTTCGCTTGTACAGTTTTGGAGTGAAAATCGATGATCACTTTTCACCACTAATTCGTAAGACGCCTCAACGGCTATTGCTGGCTGGAGACAGTAATCCAAGAGTTCATATCCAAGTGTCACATTTGGCAAGAATGTCCTGTTATCATTTATTTTTTCGATGGCAAATATCATTGCTTGTAAGGAACCCAAGTTTGAGGCGAGGAGATTGCTGCAGCTGTTGTTAATTACTCCCTCGGTATGGTGTAGATCAAACAGACCCCCTAACATGATTGTACCATCTTCATAGGCAGTCCTCCGAGGAAACATTTTGACTTCTGCCTTTACTGTACACGATAAGACCACAGTAAGAGATATAAACTTTAGAAACGACGAAGATACCGCCATGATCATGTTCTGTATGCTATACATTACGTGAGGAGACAAAACAGGAAAATTATTACAATTATCAATTGTCTCCATGAGAGATAAGTTGTTATTCTTAATTATGTTTTTTCACTGGGCCATCTCACCGGCGTCATTTGAAGTGTGTTAATTACAGAAAGAACGACTTCCTCTATTAAAAGCACGATTTTTGAGTAGAATAGGTGATTCACTCTGTAAACACAATACCAGTGAAACGTGCTAAAAACTTCGAAAAGGGAAAACGATTTTAAGAGCTGATAATTTTTAACAATACCCAAGTCATTACCATGTAGGCTAGCCAGTACCATGTGGCTTTTGGACACCTGATAAAATTCCGTAGCGAGCGAAGAAAGTGGATGCTGAATTTGAAACTTAGTCAACACACATTTAACGTGTGCAATTCAGCACGCTCGATTACAAAATCAATGGTTGTTTTATCTGTTCAAATCTATTCACTTTGCCCAGATGAACACAAACGGCTTGTAAAAAATAAAAAAATATATATATATATATATTTGCGATTAAATTCCCAGAAAAATGGTGCACATCCAAATCGAATTCGTTTTCAGCTCCATTCTCTGGGTGCAAATGATTTTGATTGTCCATGCTAATTTGAATTACAATACTTGTTCGGTAAAGTAAATCCACATGAAAAAGTTCCATTTGCGTCAAATTTGACAATCATCCAAAGAAAGCTAAGCTAATAATAGAACGAAAGCTACTGTCTTCATTATTTGAACAAAAAATATTTTTAAGTCCGGCGGGTGCTAAAAGCAACTAAAACGACCGGGTGCCGTCGCTAATAGCAACTAAAACGACCGAGTAATAAATTGACTCTGTCTGTTCGTTCAGAAAATGGCGACAGCTCAGGGTTTTTAATCAACAAAGAAGTGATTTCTGTCTGATTGGTCATTCGTGGTAACAGAATTCAATATAAATAGTCATTATGAGTGGAGCTTTAACAACCTGGAAACTAGAGAGGGGCAGTGACAAATTGTGAAGTTGGAGATGACTTAAATTTCTATTGAAAACTAATTTTTGCGAGTTCATGTTTAAGCACTGAAGAACTTCGACGAGGAAAGAAGCGTGAAGAATTTCCTCAAATTAGGATCAAACGGGTCATCTGCACATGAATATGACGAGTTGACTCTTGATTCGCACGCGGATTTAATTTAATTTTTTTTTTTTTAATTTAAGTAAAATTACTGAATTTTTGCGGCGTTGTATCTATCGATTTATTTCCTTTTAGATCGAGCTTTATCGGTCAATATCAAAAACGTCAAATCTATATGCAACACAGTCGAGCCCTGCTGATCCTACCTTTGGTTGAACTTATCAGGATAAACAGGTTTCTGTTCACCTACACTCTTATTGTATTAATATCATCTTCGAAACCGTTTTCCTTGATGAGGAATGTTGTTATTATTAATTGAACTGTAATACACGTTTCGATAATCTTTGTTTCCTCGCCCTCGGTTGGCCGAAGTCGCTTTCGGTTTACTACTTTCGAATTACTACTCTGAATTCAGAGATATGCAGATCTCTTGTAGGGTGAGAGATATTCATGGAGTGTGACGTTTATGGAAAGCAGCAGACAACAAAGAATAGCTTCTGAGGGCTTCATTTTTCTTGGATACTTCTATCGTAACTTTTAATCACACTCGTCAACAATTCGTAAAAAAATTGTTTTGGTGCTTTACAAAGCAGATGTTTGAATGGAATATTATTAGCTGTAGTGAAGAAATGGCTACAGATAAAAAAATTTTTCGTGGTGACGCTTACCTCGAAGGACATTCACAAAGTTTCTTTCGCCACTATGTCAGTATTTGAAGAAAGAGATCGTATTTTCATGTCTTTGCTCATCAATGAAGAAACATTTCCTTGCGTAGCAACTTGTCAAAATTTATCATTATGTTGTACAGTTCCTTGAATTGAATTTCCTACCTGTCCTGTGGGTAATTAGCTTGGATAACAAATCATCACTAGCATGTAACTTAACAATTAGATCGAGCACGACCATTCCATCTTCAGAGTGACATCTCCGTTGCGAGCAAAACCATGAAAGACGGATGAATATTCGGACACCTTCATCAAATGCCTGAAGCCAGAATTTGGATCCAACTGATTGTTCCCCTGGAGACAATGTCCCTCCGTAAAAATGAAAATTTCCCCTTAAAGAGTAATTTGCATGTAAATGTGTTTTGTATGACATCCAAGAACCACCGGGATCTTTCAACGACGAATTACAACACAATATAAAAATTAAATAAACGGGACCTCCTGTCATTGTTTATACAAGTTCCAATTTTCAAAGGTAAAATGTCTCAAAACTTAGAAATATTCCCACGGTCTTTTAGTTATAAAGTAGTGATAGTGAATTTGAGCGGGATCGGAACAATTGGTTGAAGCACTCGAGACACGCAAAGTTTGGTTCAAACGGATGGGTAGCTGTTCATTGAAGTAAAGAGCGATTACTATTTTGAAAAAGGCCTTAAAACATAGAATGGAATTTGACTTTTTGTTTTAGAGATATTTGAGTTTTTGTATCTTGAATTTGAGGTTATTGATAATGTCTTAACTGGTTCCATAACGAAGGTAGATTACAATTGTTTCAATCAATTATGAAAATTTATTCAATATCTTCAAAGATAAGGAAGCAGTGCTCCTAAAAGTTCTAGTACCCGATCTGTCTCAATATAGCCTGACATAGCCAGCGTTCGTCTTTACCGAAGGTACTCCGCTCCCAATAAGCTAACAAGGAGATTAAAGACATCATGGGTATTGTGTGTCTTCAGGGCAGCTTAAAAAAGGACCCATAATCTGGTCCCAAATCGAGTTGTTTTGTTTTGGTGCTAAGCATGTGTCCATGGTATTCGCTGTCAAGGCCAGCATTTTTGGCGATGGTCACCACTTCTTGTGCCAAATTTGAAAAATTTCGCGGATAAATTCTCACAATATATCCTCGGTTTTGAGATCTCTTCTTCAGCGAAACAGTTCATAACGTCGCTAATTTGTGTTATAATTTGCATATTAAAAAGAACTTGAATTTCTCTGAAATTAACGATCACATTTCCAAAAGGTAAGGACCACTCTTCTTTAATTGGTAAAATAAGCAGCAGTCATTTCTATGCCATGGACAATTAAACACCAAACGGTGCCGGTAGATTGAAGAATTCCCGTCTTAAAAGCGTGGAAAGCCGAAGATAACAGATCTGACTAAGTAATTAAATGTCTTGATGATCTTAAAGTGGTCGTAAAAACGCTAAACAACAAATAAAAAAATTATTTTTAACAATTCTTGAGATTTTGTTGCCTTTAACGAGCTTCTCCTGCATTTGAAAAACACGCTTGTTCTTTTTTTGTTTTGTTTTGTTTGTTTTTTTTTTGGATGGGAACTGGGGACCCACATTGAATAACGAGTATTAAAAATTAAAATGGATGATTTTGAGATGTAACAAGAGAGTTCTCTCTGAAATAAAAAACAAGCCTAAATTAAGCGGCCTTCGGCGTTTGGTCAAAGATGAATAATCTGAATTATCTTATCAGAGTGCTATATAATTGGAATCATTTAATTTTCGACAACTAGGTAATAAATATAATATGAATCTAATTTGCCGAACGCTGTTGCACCGCCATTATACATCCAACGAGATTTAAATTGGAAGAAATTTCGAGAAGGGAATTTTCCACAAAAATGAAATGATCGAAAGCTCTCAAATTCAAGGTAGCGGTCATTTATTCGATGCAACCGTGGTAAGCGCAAATTTTTAACGACGTTTAATAGCTTCATGGAGAGTTTTATTGCTTACATTTGGTTACAGTTTCCCCCACAATGGCTTGAGAACCTGGATAATTTTCAATTTTGTTTTTTAATCGTAGGTTTGCGCCAACTACCTAAAAAACAGTGGGCTCTTTTATGTCGGGTCATTATAACATTATCCATCATAGAACGAGTTAAAATACTCGTTCTTTAAAGAGTCGAACATAGACTGGCCTATAAGTACATTTTTGGTAAATCGTCTCTGAAGTAATTAAAATCAGCAATTTCTCTACACAGCATCAATCGGCAAACAAGTGTTGAGAATCTTTATAGACGAACTTATCGGCTAGAAGGTGTCATCAGTTGTCTTGATCGATTTACTGGGATATGTAGGGTATCCAGAAGGGAGATTGCAAACCAGTCAGCCTGATCTCGCGAGATCGATAGCGAGTTTATAAATTAACCTGTCCTTTATAGACTGAGCAACTTTTTACGCATGTGTATCGCGATTTGGTTTCACTTGTGCGAGACGATTTCAACTGGAGGTCAATTCCCTGCGAGACCTTTATTAATTCAAAAGGATTTTACATGATCTTAGCATTGAGAGATATTGTGAGATAGGTCGTAAGATAGAATTATTTTCGGTGAAGAGCGAGTAATGTTCATTAACGAGTTGTCCGGAATTATAACGTGGTTTACTCTTTTCATTTGACTTGAAAGCTGTCATGATGTGAGATTTTCAATATCACAATGAAAGAATAAAAACTGATTATAGTAGCTTGAAAAGTGATAATAAACCATGCTAACCATGAACTTTATTATCAACAAAAAATTCTGTCATCAATTATCGATGAGTTAGGAACCTCTATCTACAAAAAGCGCAGTAGTTGAAGAAATGTTATGCCAAAATTTTTTACCGTTGATCACTCAGTTATCAGAAGTCTCTTTCTCCGTTGAACACGACAAATCTACTGCGGTGCCAAATGAAGCCGTTTCAATGGTTGCAGCAGAATGACACCTGTTCCTATGAATGAAAATACTGATGTTTTAAATTCACGTTTCACTGATCACCAAATCGATCACATCACGCGAATCACGCGGGACATACTGTTGTTATGTCTTCACATCTGTTATTTTCATGAAAAACGCAACAAGGATGGAAAGTGAGGATTTTTTTGAAGGATCAGAGCCAATACGTGGCTCTCAGCATGTGCATACTGATCACGGAAAGAAAAATATTAACACTATTCACATTATCATCCAGACGAAGCAAATTTTATCGCGAGGAAAGTGCCGGAAAATATTTTGCCGATGACTTCAGTGGAAATTCTCGCGATTACCTTGCGATTACCTGTTAGTCTAGTCCTTTTCATCTAAATAATTTTCACCTAGACATCCGTTATTATTTCAGAGAATTAATCGTGAGACTATATGAAACCCCTTCTTTTGTTTTAATGACTGTATTTTATTATTTCTTTTGTTTACGGGAAGATTGGCCATCCGATGGCCAGCGCAAAGATGAGCAGATGACTCAACAAAACAGCGTCAAGTTTGGATTTTCTTTGCGGTTTGAACAAATTAAAAAAACTTGCCCTCTAGATGTTTCGAAACGCCACGTATGATTTGCGAAGTTCAGGAAAGGATTTTTAACTTATCCTAAACTTTTTATATTTACAGGTTAAATTAACAAATTTGACATTTGTCATAAATTCATGGTTCAATATTTCCATATTAAAATGGTTTGTTTTTCGAACTCAACAAAGAGCAGCTTCAACTCAGTTTTCTTGTCCGCAAAGCGAATATTCATATGCATGATGTGTTTGTAGTTTGTATGTACTAAAAGTTTCATATAGATTGGCATTGATAAATTGTAGGTGTCATACATTCTCAACTAAAATGGAATTTAGCGAATTCAAACAATTGAAGGTGATATATTTTCCATAACGGTCGAATTTTACTGATAGTTTTACAAAATTGGTTATGTCTTATGTCTGAGCAGCTGTGAAACAATGAAGGGATGCACTAAGACCAAAATGATGGCTTGATTATTCACTAAGAAGAACAACTCATCTGATTTTTTGAAATGTAAATATTATCGTTTCCAATTTATCGAAAGTGCATTAGAAAGCTGTGTTCCTAATTGTCAAAACTGAAATGTTTCTAACCCGGCTAACGAATTAATTATTTTTTTTATTTACGTTAAAGACAACGCTTCATGTCAGTAGGGGAAACTGTGTCGCCATATTTTAGAAAAGGGTGATTTTTTGCATAAATCATACAGTTTTTTCGCCAAAAGTGACATGATGATGAGGGCATCAAGCGTTTCTGACTTGAACTTTTGTTCAAAATGTCTTGGTTTCATTGAAAACACCACGGGAGACTGCCAAGTTTTCGAACCTTCGGTTTCTAGAAACCACTGAGGATTCGAACTTTACGTGTCTTCCCTTGCTGTGTGAAATACTTAAGTTTGACTTGAATTTAATAACCCTCCGATGATTAAAACGATTCTCAGTCCTTTTCCTAATTCAGGAGGCTTAAAACACGGACTCCACTGAATTGAAAAACGAAGCATGAAGTTTAATTGTTCACCGTAATACAAGTTATTTTTCTATAGTTGTTTAAACGTCTTTTGACGGAGTGTGTATGCATGCTATTGACGAATGACTTGCCTGCTATAGGTAATTCTTCAAATATGCAAAGCATTTAGTTCAGCTTGTTTGGTACAAGCCATGAAACTAAGCTTAATGTAACTTAAGCAAAGGAAGGTTAATGTTATGTCACTTATCATCGATACGTACCTGGCTTTCACATTTCTTGGCGGTTCTTTAACATGGAAAGAGAGACAGGCAGTTTGCGTTCAAGTTTGAAAAGTGTCCAAAAACACTTTAATCCATCAGTTTTATTAGTTGAATTTCGATGTTGAGCCAATTGAGCCACTACGTCAAACAAAGCGCTCTGATTGGTCCATGAGTAAAAGGTACTGAGTCATGTCCCACTCATTAAAGGAAAATAAAAGGCGTATGACACCTGCTGTGATACCAAACATGTCAGAATATTTCCTAAAATACCTTACAGAACCCTTTCAGGTGCCCTTGGTTCCAAAACGTCTCTTTATTGAAAGGTTTATCGTTCCCTAAGGCTGCCGTGAATAACTTTCAATCATTTGCATGACTCACATGGAGAGTAACGTAGAATAATTATGAGTGTTAAATGTTTCATATTAATTTTCTCGAAGAAAAAAAAAAAGAATCCATCAAAAGGCATTAGTCGACTGTAAAATTCCAATCGCAGGTGGCGAGATAATTCAATGTTCTGCTGTATATTTACGGCATCAAAAATTCAAATAACTTTAAGTTGAAAATAGCGCATTATTGATCCACAGCCTATCCATCTGTCACTGTATAAGAGGACTTTTAGTCTTGTCTACCTTCGCCTTGAATCTATTTATCAATTATTAATTGCATGATTTCTGTCGCCATTGAGATAGCAGTTAAGTCCAAAGTTGACAATCGCTCTGAGAAGAGGGTTGAAATTTACCGCTTTATGAAAGGAAAATAATATCAGTTACAACGGACATATATCCTAACAAAATCGAAGAGGACTCCTGAAAAAAAAGCGGTATGTAGACATGACCATCGTATAATGTCAGGATGCGTTTATATGATCCTCATTTGTGAAATTTGTAAAAAATGGCTTTATCATTGTATACGTTAATTTTGTTAATGAGAAGCATTTTTAATGAAGGCTGTTTAAAAGGTTTTTACCAGTCCTAATGTCCTCAGTTTAGAGAAGATACAGTTTCTAAGTAAACCCTGTTGTCATCTACTTGTTAGCAAATGAAATAGTTTGCTTCAAAATGTACATGTTTTCAATCACCAAAGCTACAGAGAAACTAATTCATTCACCAATAATCCGGCTTTAACTGGTGGCAGGACACCTTAATACTTTCATCGTCAGAAAATTATACGTTTTCTAATTGGTGAAATTGTAAATTCTTAACCTCTCAAGTGATTCAGCTAATTCTGACCACTCGTTTCTCTTGTTTATTAGAGGCTTCAGGTGACCAAGGTTCCTTTGAAAAGTGCAACAAGTTTACTCAAGTCAACAATTTTTTTTTATCTTTAACGACCCTATTATAATTACATATGCGAAATGCTTATCCACCTGGGCCCAGTTGTATAAAGGGCGGATAACTTACAGGTAGCTTTTCAAGTCAATCAGACACGCTATAAGAGAGAAGTTGCCCCAGTGTCCTTGTTAAACATGTCCATGATATCTGCTTCTCGAACCCAGAGATGTTCTTTAGTTCCAAGGAACATTCTACTGAATTTTCATTCATTTTAGATGCGTAAATTAATGTTTATGCGACTGACAAATCTATTGTCTCACTTAAAAGGTAGTTGCGTCACGTTACGTTTCGAGTCTTAGCGCATGAAAATAAGACAAAACATTGCAGAAAAGTGTGAAGGTCTTCACACGTTGAGACGTAAATTTGTAACTCGGAAGTGGGTGCGTTGCGGTACAAACTGCCATGCCACACCACGTAGAGTTTATTGGAAGCTTTAGAATCCTTTTCAAACATGGCCCATGCACGCACTTACGGTCCTATTGATAAAAAGTATCGAAGTGTGCCACGAAACATTGCTTTTTCAAACTCAACGCTATGTGATTTTACTGAACCTAATACAAATTCATGTTCCACTTCTCTTAATTAAAATGGCGGTGTTTTCAATTCACTCGGTATAAAAAAGGATTTGGAACTCACAAGAATTAGCTTTGTTACAGAAGTTCAGAGATACCGAAATATATGGATCAATTTCCCCGTCTTCGGGAAACAGCCTTTATAGTCAGAAACCGTGGTTTGTGTAATCGCATGAATGTTGATTATTCTATCGACTTCAATAACAGTCGAACTCATTATGAAAAGGCAACTATTTGGAGTTAATCTCCGTGGCTTTAGGCCAATAGACTTATGTTTTTGTCTACATTACAAGTGCGAAATGAAACTTAACTTGCTATGAATTTAACGATTTTTTTGGCGCTCTTTGCCGGAAGCACTTTCGTCGAATTGTATCTCAGAGTTAGTCTGTTTCTCATTTTCATTTGAGGGAAATAAGATGACTTTGGGATGGGATGGTTGAAAATGGAGAAGAGTCACGAGGATGATAAATGACAAACCTCGAAACTTATAAATATACAGAAGGAAACGAAGCCTAGGCGAGAAATATGTGCAACTAAGCCGAATTTTAAAAGTTATTAACTGGTGAGTTTCATTCGCTGAAAAAATCGGTTTTGCTTGCCGCAAAATCAGAATCGAGCGTGTATACACTTTGTAGCACTTAAACCTAGAGGAAATTTGCCCGGGGGATTCACTAAATGTGATTATTAAGCGAGGAAAATGGGAATATTTTAAATATTTTGTTTCACGACTCGTTTAACGATACAAGTGTTGAATTTGTTTTGATTATATCGATAAATACTAGTTGCTAATAGCCATAGGTTTTTGTCGAAAAAAAATATTCTCAGTTAAAATGAGAGGAATACTGAATGTTTTTTTTTAACCCAAACTATTTACCTAGTTTTGATGAGATCATTAAGACTAGAGAGCAGAGAATGGAAAGTTTAAGTCGCGTTCGCTGAATCGAGCGCGTCGCGATCCTAGAAGTTACAATATATCCATTTCACCGTTGCATTTTTCCAGTCGTCAATTTAAACCGAAAAGTCAATTTTATTGAAGCCTTTTTCCATGGTCAATTCGAAGTAGGTAAACAATTGTAGTGTGGTTGTTGTCGCGCTTGTGAGATAAGTTTAAATAGAGAGAATTGGAGGAAATCACCTTTGACCAAAGCATTTGATAAAATTAGGCGTTGGCATGGAAACAGCAGTGGAAACATTGTTCGTAATAGCAAGGCAAACAATAGGAGTAAAATATGTGAACGGAAGAGAAAATGCAAAATAAGCTAAAGCAAAACACACCTGCTCATATAGAGCTGAAACAAGAGATGGAATTATATGTTACGCCTTGGTTCTCGTGTTTACTTAGTTCTAAACGATAGCTATAATTTTATCGCGGTAACCCGCTAAAATGGCGGCGCTGAATGCAGCGATCAGACAGAAGCGATTCACACAAGTGAAGTTGCTACTTGATATCGGGGTTGATGTTAACCAGCAGGATTCTGAAATGAGGCGGACGGCTCTAATGCAACTTTGCTTTCTCGACGATGAGAGCAAAGCGGCCAAATATGTCCGAGTATTACTTGAAAGAGGAGCGAAAGTCGGTTTGAAAGACAAGGATGGACTCACCGCTCTGTCGCACGCGTGTAAACTCGGACTGGAGCAATTAGTTTCGATTATGCTTGAGGAAGCAAGTGATTTTGATCTCAATTCGCAAGATAAGCTCGGAAATACAGCACTCCATCATGCCGCGTTGTCAGGCAATTTCGTGGTCTTAAATCTTCTGCTAAACAAATTAAAACGATTTAAAATGAACGTCGACAAGTTGAACAAAAGAGGAGAAACCCCCTTGATTGTCGCGTCTAAGTCAGGAAATTTCTTTTGCGCACGAATTCTCGTATCAGAGGGTAAAGCTTCCAAAGGAGCGCGCGATTACATCGAATTTAAAACTGCTGAGGAATGGGGAAGGACGAAAGAAAGTCTCCGCTCCGCATCCAAATCGCCGCTTTTCCGAGTTATGCAGCTTCCGCCTCGAATGTCTTTAGATTCTCAGAGCCGAGGATCAAAGGATGATGTTCATTTACCAAAACAGAAAGATAATAAGAGGCCGAACACCGCACCAGGGCACCTCTTAAGCCAACCAAGTGAGAGAACTCACAGGGAAAACCTTCGAGATCTCTTCCGCGTATACGAAGAACACGTCTCCGGCGCTTTTCGAATCGGAGTTAAGCCCAGACCTGTTATTGTGACCACAGAATCAGTTTGCAGCATTAACGACGGTACTAGTCAAGATGATGATGATATTTGCGAGCTACCTTATCCCCCGGTATCGCCTATTTCTTTTCAACCCGTCGGTCGACGCTTTAGCATCAGCAAAGCAGGCAAACTAGCTCTCAATACAAACACCGTTCTAAGAAGGGCTTCCCTGGCAACGGTGTCAACAACTGGCAGCCCGAGTAAACCGTTACAACGGCGAGGATCCCAATCGTTTGGCCCAAATAATGGTAGAAGGCTTTCTCAATCAATGCCTCTGTCGCCGAGAGTCAGAAGAGGCTCGATGAACGTGATGACTAAGATCACGAAAGTGCCCTCACTGAATGTAAACAAAGAAAAGAGCGAAACGAAAAACACTTTGGCTCCTACTGATTCTAGCTCTACACCTTCGAGACCATCCGTCTCTGTTAACTCAGACAAACTGTTTGCCAAGCTTCAAACTTTAGCCGAAGAAAGTGACTCTGAAGGAGAGGAAAACGGTGGCGAGATTTTACATAGAAGTTCACCAGCAAACCTTTTTTCACAAATGTGACTGCATTTTTGCCAGGCGGATAGAAATTAAAAAAATAACTGTAAATTAATGAAATCAAGTTACAGCCAAACAAGGCTAACAAACGAAAAATGTATGAAGTGCGAGATTATTTGTTTCAGAAGAGAATTCATCTCAAAAAAAGGAGAACAAATTATGTTGTTCGCCGACTAATATTAAAAGTGACAAGTATTGTTTGATTAGGGAAGATTAAATTTGTATTGCTTTTCTTCGTATTTTAACCATTCAAATACAATGCTGCAGTCGTTAGAAGAAATTTATTGAAAATAGCCAAACAATTTTTCAAATATAAGTGACTCTAAACCATGAGCGGTCCATCCAAGAAAGAAAAAAAACAAGAAAACAAGAATATTGATTTTAGCGCTGGGCATGGAACTCAGGAAGTGAATCGCACCACTCTTAGAATTCCGCATGAGGCGCTAACATTAATATATTTTTTTATTTTTGCGCTGATGTTTTTTCATTTGCTTGACAGACATCGCCGAAAAGGGGGAAATTCTTGGTGTGTCAAGTGTTTCGTCTCGAAATGACAAAGGCCCGGTTTGCGCATTTCCCTTTAAATTGCGTTTCTGAAACAATACGTTGTGTTAGGTATATGAAAAGCACCTCCATTTTTTTCAGAAATAGAGACAGAAACATATCCACGGAGACACAGTAATACAGTCTTGGGATGGATGCCTAAAAAATTAAAGTTTTTTACGGGGATGCTCAGCATCAAGGTTTTTAGCCAGGCTTTATTTTGTCTTCAGTTTGAGTACGATTAGATGAAACAGGCTACAGATACCACATTACAAATAGTTAATGATAGTTTTTCTTGCCCTTTTCTTTGCCTAAAATCGTTAGGAAAAGGAGTCTTCACTTTTGTGAGGAGTATATTCCCGTATAACATAAATCTATTTCTACTATCAAAAATGTTGCGTTCTGGTTGGCTGCGCTACTCGCTATTTACTCAGTGATAGACAATGAGTTAAATAAGTAGACATTATTCTGCAAAAACATAACTTGAGCCTGTGTCTTGTTGATAAGTTTTGAACGATTAGTAGATTTACACTACCACCCGATAGAAGTTTAAAGTTAATAAATCTAACCATAAAGCAGTCTGAAGTAGAAAAAAAACTCCTTTCCCACCCCCTGAGGGTACAAGTCTAATACTAAAGCGCTATTTCTGACATGTCCATGTTTCCCAGGCTCCGCGTGTATTGTCGTGTTTGCACCTGATACTATAAGGGCAGTGTCGACACAGACTTGAACACCTTTTGTCGTCCACTGAGTATTTCTTACCACTGCTACTTTTAAATATCAATTTACATCTGGGCTGATACTTCTTGTGGCAGCGACACTGAAATTTAACAGCAGAACAACGGTGTCAGGAGGGTCTGGATGGAATTGACCTTCAGCCGTTAAGTGGCAAAAAAAATTAGTCGTTAGCTGTAAACATTGACAAATTTTAATCGTTAGTTTTGAAAAAAAAGTTAGCTGAGAAAATTTTTCTTCTAATCGCAACGGAAAGAAATGAACCGCTAGCCGTAAAATGGTCGAAATTCTGTCCGTGAGCAGTAAAAGCCATCACCCTATCGACATACTCTGTCAGATTGATTCATTGAAAAACCCATAACATTCTCAAAGTGAAATTAAACTCTTTCAATCTCATGGAACAAAATAATACAAAATTACTGTTGGATCTTGGAGAGATCACCTAGAATATGTTCCTCCTCCCCAACCTCCTCGCCTCCCCTCGCCCAATACGCCACCCACGCAAGCCTCTGTAAGCCTCGATCTCATGTTCTCTACGCAGACCCTTTTAACCGAGTATATCTTTTTGAAGTTTCTTTATGACGCAGAATCATCACTCATCAACAAAGAAATTTAACCAAACATTTCCTTAAAGATGACTTTATGAATAAAATCTTATACATCCAATGTTGTTCCTTTTTCAGGCTTAAAAAGAAGTGAAGACAGACAGTTCTTAGCTTGTTTTCGAATCTTAATTCAAAAAGGACACAAACTCTCTTTTTTAAAAAAGAACCACAGTCTGATTCTTAGCTGCATTTTTCATCGTTTTTGCATGTTATGATATAACGGCAAGCGTCATCATTGTTTTCTGGAATTTTAGACCAAATTCCAGTCAGAAGAAGTGTCACTTTTCTCGCCTTCTTCCAATTTAGTTTAATCATGAAAAAACGTGATAATATGGTTGTTTCTTCTCCCAATTTGAAAAATTTGTTAGACTCCATCGAGAAAAGCAATCCAATACGTATCCCATTTTTTTTCCTCCTATTTAAGAGGCTACAACCAGCTTATGATATACAGCCGGTCGATAAATGAAAGTAGTTTCAAAAATATCTTATGATGTGATCATTTACACTGTGTTGTGAAACACGATATGTTGTAGTGCGCTTTGCGTATGTTTAGCACAGCTACGTTTGATTCAAAATCGGATGAAAAGCAATCAACTGTGAAACATCAAACAAGTGAAACACACTTCCAGAGAAATTTGGGTGAAAACGAAGAACAGTACGCCATGCAGAGCTAATAATAAACAGCAACAACAGGGAGATTTGCTTATTAAATCAGTGACCTGGGAAAACGGCCCTGGAGGTGTCTCTCACGCTTGATCTCCTACGTTAAAATTTTAGATTTTGTCTTAAGTGGTTTTTAAAGATAATCTGACAATACTTTCGTGGTTGGTTTCAATTTATTACAAAAATTAAGGTAAACGTGATTCAGCTTTGTTACTCACCGCCGGGAGACTCGTTCTTCTCCTCCGCCAACTAAAACTCAACGAGATTTGCAGTGAAAGAATCAAAAACATCACCAGGAACCACTTCCATGCACAAACCATAGTTGGATATTCGTACCTGTTCAGGATTAAAATATTGTTGATTAGTTATGAGGTATACAAATCTGGATCTTTGAAATCAATTTCCTATCAGGAAGCATAGAGAAGAAATCCATCAAGCTAGATGTACTTGCCTGTTTTGAAAAATGAAAGGAAAATCCAGGTTATACAACCAATTTCAAGTTTCTTTGAAATGCACCGACCAATACGTTGCTCAAGTAGTTAATTAATACTGTAATATGAGAAAACAAAAAATACTCAAGGTCGAAACTTGTATTTTTTTGTAGCTATGAAATAACTTGGAAAATCGACAATTATTACCAGAGAGTCATGGCTGAATCATTTCCTTTTCGGACAAACAAAACACTAACCAAAGAAATAGCTACTTTTATGGCCGAAATAACCTAGTAGATGTGTGTAACCTTGGCTTCGAAATGTATTTCACAAGAATGATTTTCAACTTTACCTAAAAAAGTACATTTATGACGTCATTACAGTTACTTGCACTGATTATAAAAGAGATTTTTAATTTCGTTTGTGTAATTTTCTACTAGAACTTCAATAGGTTTTCTTTGTGTGAAATCGGTATTATTTTGACTCTGTTATTGCGAGTTTTTTTTTCCGCTAATACACGCGCACGTACAGTGATTTCTATCGTCATGACCTGTTAATATTTCATTCCTAACAAATAACAAGACTTACCTGCTCTGCGAAAGGGCATGATCGTTTTGGCTAACAGGCTCAATTAGTTTTCGTAATTGCGTTTTGTCTGAGCCAATAGCAATAAGAAATGTTTTATAATTTTTTGTTACAAGTAATTGCCTCTACGTGAAAACAAAATCTTTTCTAGCCTCTCCCCTCCCCCGTTCCCCTCTCCCCTCCCCCTTTCCCCTCCCCCCTCCCAATTGTGGACATTATATCTCCCAGTGCCACACGCGCCGTGATTGGTTCATTGAGCGGGCCGCTCAGCAGAGTGAGTTTTTCTTTTTTCGACGGGCCAAATTTAAATTTAAAATATCTTGGTTTCTGCAAATCGGTATGTTAATGTTGCCAACGATTGACTAAAAATTCGAATTGTTTGGTTCGCTTTCGATGTTTGTCAGTCATTTCAAGCCATTCTGCGAGGCTTTAAATCAAAACTTGCCAACCTAAGGATCTCTCATGCTACATGTTTCGCCTATAAATCTGGCTTCCAATACTACTAAGAGTTTATGAACATGTAAAATCGATAAATTCATTGATACGTTGAGTACAACTAGTCTTAGTGAGAGAAACTTCTTGAAAAGCCATGCACTTGTTGTTTCACTGTTTCTGATCGTTACAGTTGATTTCATCACATGTACTTTATACACGATATTGTGTAGGAGACAAAGTTATCAAAATTATGAACAACCTATTATTCATTTACCAAATCTACCCTCAATCTACCATCAATATATATTTCTTGTTGATCTTTAATTTAACAGAACTGCAAAGACATTGTGCAAAAGTCGCAACACAAAACATATAATGTGTGGGTATGTTGTAATGTGTCACTACTTGTCCAAATAGCTGCGATTGTGACGGAAAACAATAACCCTCAACTGCCCAATATCAATATTCATATTCTCCGTACTTTCTTCTTTACATTTCGTGTTACTAATAAAGAGAATTTGTTTGACAATCAGGAGTTTCTTCGATTGGCTCTTATTTCCTACATTCTCATGACCTTTACATTTGATTCAAGTGTGACAGTGTAAGGAGAAATTAGAAGCCAATCACTCTTTGGGGTTGAGGGGTTGATGTCCACGTTTGAGGAGAGAGAGTCAGAGAATGAACGCCAAATTGCATACTTGCAACGAGTACAGTCTAAGTCAAAAAGGTATCATCTTGTAGTCACATTCACGTACAGTTTTAAATGCGTACTTTATTACTAGCGATTCACTAAAACAAACATTTATGACAAATGCCGAATTACTAAATACGAACTCGAGAGACCAAAAAAAATTCAAAAAACAAACAAAACGTACAAATGCGATAGAAATTAGCGAAAATACACAAGAAAAAATAGAATACTTACAAAATCTGTGCGGCAACTCAGGAAAAACACAAAACGCTAAGGTGCAAGACAGGAATGCTAACTTTTATACTAATTTAAACCAGAAGAAAATACAGCAAATGAACTTACGTAACTAACAATAAACGACTACGTAACGCGACGCCGAGAACAAAAAACTACGAATATTTTGAACAACAGCAACAAAACCAAACTAAACGTGATGAAATAACTAGAATAATTAGACAACAAAGAATATGGAAAAAAATCGCGAAAGAATTCAATTCTTGTGGCTACACATCTAGTCTTGGCCATTTTTTTTTTAATTTTATTTTTAGGCTTATTTGAAACCTGAGACGAAAATTGCCGAAAAATGAGATCATTTGTTACGATGTTGTGATATTAATCATTTTCTTTATTCCTGTAAAACATTACGAGCATCATCAAGGGCATCATCCCTAAAATGGCTCTACTCAGTGCCGACATCAAAATATCAAAAAATGATAGTGGATAGTGATAGATAGTGGATAACGTAATATGAGACTGAGAAAACAGGAAAAACTATTTGAACCATCTTCATTGCCAACTTTCTCTACGTCTCATCTACCCAGATTATACCATACAAGTCTTATTTGATGTTTTTAAAAGTGATGTTTAGGCTTATATCCTACGAATAATTTGTGTACGGTATTTATAGATAGCTTATTGACTGGGTATTGATAATTTTTTCGGTGAATTTAAGAGGTGGTCGGCATAAAATCAGTAGGAAGGATAAGTCAAATGTGTGGTAGCCTGAGATAAATTACCTAGCTCAGTATTTCTATTACTTTACGACATAATCCATAAGCGAAGAAGGACTACTAAGGCCCTTTGAAGAAGAAGAAAAATGACAGCTAACTAGCGATTGCGCTCTGAGCTTTTATGTGCAAGATCAGATAATGAATTCTTCGAAACGATAAAATAATTCATACCTTAGCACTGTGGTTAATTAACTTGGCCAAAAAGAGGTCAAGCTTTTGAACAGCTTCTGAACAGCGTAGTCTTCAAGGACTTGAAAGTTACCGAACAAACTATCGATATCTTCTACGCGTATACAAGCCAGCGTTACCTTCCTTAACTAAGCGCGGAGTCATTTAGATTTAATTACAATCTCAGGTTGAGCATCATTCGTCAAAAAAAGTCCCTGTAAACCTATAAGGAGCTTAACCACCCACAATTAACCCTCTTTGTTCCGAAACATTTTAGGAGTGGCGATCAATATAACTTTGTGGGTTCTTTTTTTGTTACACAGTTGCCACAATTGACGTCACTCTTAAACCACACCTACTGAGTACCTGTAATGCCATTATGTTCGCCCAATATAATGTCACCCAACGTTAGTGTAGAATGGTCTATTCATCATCTTTTATCATAGTTTTTTCAGTTTATCACTGGTTTCAGTGTTCTGTTGTCGCAAAATGACACAATTTAAAACAATGCAAAACCAAATGCTATGTAGGATATATCAACTGAAAGGAAACCAGGAACTTTATCGTCTTGTTACGAGCTGGAGGAAACCACACTTTATTTTCCTTACCTTTTTATACATTTTTTCTCTCTTGTTACTGACAAGGAGTGAAGCAAACCGAATGAGAAAAGTTTTCAAGCAACGGTTGTTCTCCTAGTTTTGCTAACGTTAAGTCCGACTATCTTAGAAAGGACAAACATCAGACCATAAGCCCTACGTCACAAAATTTAGCGACAATTCTAGGAAAAAAACAAAAAAGAAAAAAAAATCAACCTTTCGTTTTCTTCCTGTGTGTGAACATCTGAACGTGTGAAGCTTAATTCCTTACGGGACTCAATTTATTTTCCTTGCCCTACTCTCGTAACATGACGAAAATAGCCTCTTTGTTTCATGATCGAGCCAAAAAAAATTATCATCTCTCTCGTTATAGGAATTTCTTGGCGTTTGGTCGCATAACTTGGACCAGTAAAGCGTCTGAACTTTAAAACAAAACCTTTCTAATGAGAATTTCCAAATTGTACATAGAGACTGTACCCCAGGGTGGTTCCGGTTTGAGAAAAAAGGATAATTTCTGACCTCATTTGTTTTATTCCCTCACCCGTCGAAAACCGAGAGGCCTTGAAGACGAGGTTGATTTTGTATAATCGGTTTTCTGCGTATGCTTAGCCATGTACTATTGAAAAACAAAAAAGATGTCCCAAAAGATTCCCAAATTTTTATTTTCCTAACTAGATATTACGAAAGTTAAAACTGAACTTCAGCTATACACCAACATGTTGGTTTTTGTCGACTAAACCTATTCCTACATGAATTTTTTTGGAGAGATTTAGCTTGCGAGCAAGCCTTCATTTATGGCGCTTAAACACGAGCGTTTCTTCGCCCACGGGAAAGTATAAGACCTTGAGGAACACGAGCCCGTGAGAGGTCTGTAAAGGGGTCCAGTACTCATTATTAGTGCCAGACCCCCAGTAAACCTATCTTCAACTCGTCTCCATTCTTCCCGCGGGAGAAGAAACGCGCATCCGGCAGCTCTAATAATAGGAGTCTGCTCAGGGGCTAATGAAATCGAATTTTTAAAAACCGAAAAATTGACATTGAAAAAATTTCGTTACACAGTTAGAAACACTTGGTTGAGGAACAAACGACAATCAAGTAGTGTTGACGTCTATAGAATGACTGACAATGATACCACTCGAAAGCTCTTTCTTGTGCAGTTAAAACTTAGCTAACGTTTCTCGTGGGAAACGCACTCTAGTAAATGTGTTTTTGCACACAGAGACAGCAACAGAACGTGTAAAACGCCGAACAGAATGACAAATAACATTTACACTGCAAAATTTGCATAAGTCAGAATGCTGGCATACATCTATAGACGTATGTCTTATGATAATCATTGAATTCAGTGTACAGGCAGTGACAGTGCAGTCCACAATCACAGTCAATATAACTTATGTCAAATCTTCCGTTCTTCTCAATCATGCGACAGATTTTCGCATCACAAACCTCAGAACACTGTGGGAGTTAAATGAAAAGAAAGGTTATGTTAGTAACATTGCTAGAACGAATGTCATGCTGATGTTCATCAGACTTAATGTGTTCCCTTTTAAACTGTTCAATGGAGTTAATCTTCACGGGTATAAATACATTTTGGGCGGGGGTAAAATGAAGCTTAAGGAAAGATCCAAACCATATTTATACCCAGGGAAAAAAAATTATCATTATTATCATCACTTTGGATGTCATGGAGAAAATAAGAACTTTAAAAAATTAAAAAAGAACAGAAAAACAAGTCTGAACGATCACGCACGCGAGCGAGCATTTTAGTTCGTAAAATGCGCCGCAGTGCCCGATAGAGAGATAATAATAAAGAGATAAAAAACGCGCCGAGAGCATTGTTGAGTTATATAAGCACTTCGGAATTTTTAAGAACACTCGAGTGTTCCTAAAAATTCCCAAGTGCTTATATAACTCAACAATGCTCGAAGAACAAGTTCTCTTATTTCTTTTATAAAATATATCGTGAATTGCGCACGCTCGTACCGATGACGTAGGCTGTGTGCATTATATCTCAACAGTGCACTCGTGTGACGTAATGCGCATACTTTATGGAAATATAATAAACTCTATCTGATCAATCACGGCGCGCGCATTTCTCTGAACATTTTATAATTTACTTTAGTTTTATCCAAAATATTTGTTAAACATTTGTGCGTCTTGAGTGATCGAACTTTTCTTAATTTTTCCAGGCTGGAAAATATGTTAATCTTTTCAATCTCTAGTCATTTTTGTTCTACCTTTTTGTGTCGTTACTCGGGGCTGGAAGAGGAATCATGAGTCATGAATCATAGCGGTTGATTAAGAAAGAGTTGTAAATTTGCGTGTTAATAACTATGGAATCACATAAATTACCAGACGTGAAAAAAAAAATTGTCATGAAATCATGAGTAATTGGGCAAAAAGAAAGCACGAATCACAAATCACGAATCACGAATTTCGAAGGTCAAATGATACCGCTTTCACCTCTAATTCTCACCTTCCCGTTTTTTGTCTACCCTAAAACTGAAGGACGTAGAAAGTTAATGGTATCTGTTTGAATGGGCTATGGTTAATTCACCACCACTGAGAGTCAAATCGCCACCGGTGGCGAATTCACTCTAGCGTTACGTTTAGCCTTTCTTATGAAACTTCATAACACTACATCAAATGAAAGCAATAGGATATTGCGAAATTAGAAGCGCGAACAAATATAACGAAAAGAACTCAGAATATATGCGTAGCGTCTCAATTATGGAACTTTAGCTGTTTAATTAAATAAAGCATTTTGATATCACGAAGATTGATCAGTCTACGTGCAAGGAAACCAGATAAAACTTACATAAGATGAAAACTAAAATGTAAACATGTAAGATGTAAACACGTTCCTACAGTGAAGGGCAAAAATGAACCACTGTACAATCCATCATTATTTGAATTGAGAAAACATGTCACTGCATAATTTCTTAGAAGATATGTCAAAGACTTGGGCTTCGTGCTTCACCATGGGTTCCAAACACCTAACACCGTCTGTTTCTTGGTGTCTGGAATCAGTGATGATTACTTCTCGATTTGTGGGCTTTGCAAGACACAGTTTTTATAAGACAGTAAAGTTAATAAACCTCGAAAGAAAGTATTTTGAAGTGAATTCGAAGCACCTTTCGGTCAATTTGAGCGCTTGTTAACTCATCGATCGCCCCCACAGAATTAGAGAAATTTAACGGCCAAAATTTCGTTCGACGTTTCGGGAAATACTTATAGGGGTGTGCTCCTTGATCAAAAAGTCTTAAAAAGTTTTTAGAAATCTAGAGAAAGACGATAATACTTCGTTCTGCAAAGATATTGATCGAATAATCAAACGAATGCGGCCGTCGGAGGGTACATCGCTGATATAGGATTTATTGTTCTAATAAATTCAAAGTTTGATCCGTGTGCAGCAACTCCTAAAGGACTCCAAGCCGCTTTCTACAAAATTTCGCTGTGTTTGCGCGCACTCTTAACTTTGCATCATCAAACCAAAAAAATGAATTAACTTCAAGATCTAGGCTTTCATATGATACAAGTTTCATTAGATTTGATTACGAATTGTGTTCATAAAAACGAAACTCGATCGTGTTAAAGGTCACGTCGACATTACTTGTGCTTAAGGTGATTCCTCAGAAAAAAAGTTATCGAACAATTTGTTTTAAACTTTCGCAATGTACCACTACTTCTTAGCCTTTGGTGTACTTTTCATACGATTTCATAAACATCGGCGAAAATCACTCGGATCAATATCAGTACCCCTTCCCTAACCCAACAACAGTATATTGATAACTCAGTGGTGGCGAATTGACCGGATTCCGTCTAAAGTTCTTACCCATGCATCATCTTGATAAACTGAAGACCAGTGAAATACTTTTTCCTTGAGATTTCTCGGTGCACGTTTGAAGAAATACGGCGACAGTCCTCGGATTTCACCCGCTTCCAAGTGGGCCAGCAAAACTAGTAATAGACACTGGAATATTTTGCGAAACATCCTTAAAAGGAAAAACAACAATCAGTGATTTCGTATTATTTATCGATAAAAGGTAAAAAAAAACCAAACAAACAAACAAAAAGAATTTTAAACCAAACTTGCCGACCTAAGAACTTGCGAAACTCAAAATTTCTGGTTAGGAGGATTATGACATCAATAGCGTGCGGTAGACATTTCCAGACAATGGGGGCATGAACAAGGCGTGGTAGACTTTCCAGACTTTCAAGAACAATGTAATTGCTCGATTTCTTAATTGAGGATAAACTTAAATTTGATATCCAAATTGGTTTACTCAAACGAATGCAAAAATTACCTCTCTTTTAAAGGCCTGCGTGACCTTTTAAACTTGAGGTGTACCTTTTAAAAATCTCAAAGGTTCCATAAAACCGGGCTTGCTAAGGTTGATTCGACTAGTTATAGACTGAAGTTCTAAAATCCTGGTTAAGCCACTGGGCCTTCTAATTTGTTAGGAAGTCTCGCCCGGCTGTAGATGCTTCAAATCAAGTTTTCTAGTCTTAGCAAATCCGGTCTGGCTTTCTGTCCACGACGATTCGTTTCTTTCTTTGCAGAGCTAACAACTCGGAAAATGCGAGCTAGATTGTGATGCGCAGACGGCTTAAAACGAAGCTTGTCTCCGAGCCCACGAGCTATGGAAAAACCTTTTACGCCTTTTAGGCGCCGAAAAATTATAACAATTCAACGAACCAAGCAATCCGCTCTATGAAAGTTTTAATAATGGTCACTTATTCCTGACGAAGATAAGGAAATATTGACGTATACAACCAAATAAAAAAAGATGTGTTATAAAAGTAATCAGCACTCTACTGACGTACTACCAACAAGTTACCGACGCGCTACGGGCGGTGACCGACACGTTGGTAGACAGTTCGCGCGAACATTCGACCAACTCTCACTCGACGCCTTGGCCGACGCGGCGGTTATCACGGAAACTTTAGCATTCCGTAATGTTTGTGGAATCAAAGATGAGCCCGGAGTAAGTGCGCATGCTCTAGACTTATGGCGCTGACGAATTTAAAAACTTTACGGGAAAGGAATACGAAGTTTTCTCGTACTACAAGTGAATTCACTCCTTTACATGCACGAGTTGTCCTCCAAGTAGACATGAGCTTAATCCAAATGAAAATATTGATTATTTATCTTCGTTGGACAAAAAGAAACGTGTAATCTGACTAAAAAAAACAGTTTAGTCTCGACTTAAGTGATAAGTCGCGTTTCGTTTTCTCCAAAGACATTTTTCATTTTTCAGACATTTGTCGCATTTCATAGAGAGGCACTCGCGCGTCTGAAAGGCTGAAGTATTTTTTTATTTTCTACGGGCAGCCAAAATCATTTGATAAAATGGAAAAAGGCTTGAAATTCATGAAAAGTCGTATTGCTATTAATTAACTCTCCTTTGCCTCACGAGCCAGATATTTTAAAATTGTGTTGGTTTTTCAGGCCAAATAATTGTCACGAAAGTTTGTTAACATCGTTATTACAAACGTTCTATTGACAATATGAAAGATTAGAGAGATTTATTAATTGCTTTAAATTAACTTTTTTCCATTGAACAAATGAAAATAATTGCCGCGTTTGCTGCGGTTTGTGGTAAGAGCCATAGTGACTTTGGTGTCATATCTTCTGTTCCAAACGTGCAATAAGTATTATAATTTGCTTTTGTGATAAGCCCCAAAGGTGGCCGAATAAAGACATAAATAGCAACATCATTATCTTCCAAGTGTTTTGAATTTATGCGATGTCTTTGTTTGTTATGATTCTTCGGAGGAAGACGCTGAAAAAATCGCTTCCTAGGAATGTAACTTGGAGGCGAAACAGCCAAGACTGGAGTAAGTTTGGCTCTTCAGGAGTTGCTAGCCGCCCAGATAGCTAACAGTCCAAAACCCACATTCAAGTGAGGGTAATAACGAAACTCATTGACCGTGAAATCTAAAGAATAACAATGCATTCACGGTTGTTTGCTTTTATTACAGGACCAGAGATAAATATAATTCATTTTCCATGCAGTTTTCAAATTTAGAAAAGACGTTGTAATCAGACTTTAGACCAAAGGTGCATTTTGACTATAAACGATTCGATATCGCGGATAAAGTTAGCGCGCCAAAAATGTTTAACTGTCAGATCCCTTAGAATTTGCTTCTGGCAAAAACTTCCCGTTTCATTCTTCAGCTTTACCCTTGAAAAACTCTGCCCTCGAAAATTTACATTACACGATAACCTTAAAATTCTGGGGCCAGTAATAATTAGATTTACCTTACATGCAATTATCCCGTAGCGAAGGCCTCTAACTCAGTCTACTCTTTGTGATGCAGCTTGCGTCCGTTCGTCTGCTAATCTGAATTATTGAATTTCCCTCGCTCTCTATTCTCCCAGCAGGCAAGCATCGTGATTGGTAGAACTGCGCGGTAACGAAAGATCTTTGGATATTGACCTCTCAGAATCTGTTGTAATAAATAGCAAATTTACAATTTTATCATACCTCCCCGAACAGCTCCCCACTGACTTATTCGCGCTATGTCGGTAGCATGGTAATTTAGCTAAGTTAAGTTAATCTACCAGCGGCCAACGGTTCTTGTTAAAGAAACTCCAGTTCTCGATACTATCCGTATTTTCGACGTTTTTGCATAATTCTGTGATATTCTTTCAGGTCAACCAGGATTCAAGTATCTGTTACAGTGTAAAATAGCGCTGGTTACGGGAGACAATTGATTTTTTCACCACTGCACTTGAAACAAGGTAGAAATTTGCACGGATTGGTTCAACTATATTTAGCGACAATTTCATCGGACAAGTTAATGTGCACTGCACGTACGAAGATAAGAAAGTTTTTAAAACACGTACGAAATGGAAATTAGACATTCGTATAACGAACCAAAATCCTTGATGCTATTTTGATTTGCTTTTAATGACGAAAAACAGGAAATTCTTATAAAAATAAAGACGATTAGTGAAACACGTTTCCCTGTTGTGTGATCATGAAATACTTACTTTATCCTTTATCTGTGACATGATGAAATAAAAGCCTGCATTTCTGAGACAGAAAACTTTGCGGAAATTCTATTAGAATTTTCATCTAAAATTCATTAGCTAATACAAATACCACATTTTCCGCCGTGGTTACTATGCATGCATACAAAGTCGAGTTCTTTGTGCCTGACAAAATGCCAGAATGAGTTGGCGATCATGGGTTTCACTCTTGTACAAATATTTTCACAGTAAATTATCCTCAATTCTTTCTATTTTGCCAAATTATCACATCTTCATCGTGATGACAAAAGTTTCTTGAGAATGTTCTTGACGCATTTCTACCACAGTTAAGTTGTTTCTACGCGCGGTGCAATCAGTTTATTTTTGCCATTTGTAATCGTGTCTTCAGCCGTCTTCCGCAATCGCGCGATGTGAAATTTAGTTGGGTGGGAGAAGAGATAAAATTTGATTTAGGATTACAGAAATAACTCAGTTATCTTTCGTAATCAACAATTATGCTTGATGGCCATTTTTTCCGCTTTCTAATGTTCACATTCTGATCAATCCATCGATCCATGATCAACAGAACAAGCTAAGGGTGATGTAGAAATCTTATCGTTTTCCGACTTGGGATTCTGAAAATTCCAGGCTCCAAAACAGATACTCGTTTGGCACAGAAATCTTGAGAAAAATAGATTTTCAATGCCTTTCGGCTCCTACCTTCAATTAGCGTTTGACGGTCAACTGTTGAACAAGATTCGTAGTCTGAAGTAGCTTATTACAGGATGGCATCAGTGACGACTCTTTTAACAAACTTCAAACGCGCACGAGCAGGCATGGGTGCCGATTACGGGACGCAATCAACAAATTATTGAGTATAAACTAATAAGCTAATTCACTCCCAAAGAAAAGAGTAAAAAAATCCGAATATCAAGAGTATTTGAACATTTTAATTTTTTTCTGGTACTTCTCTTTTGCATGTCTCGTCTCTCTCCTTTTTTTGTTTTGATAAGTGGAAAGTCTAGTCTTCTAAAGTTAATGCAAAAGTATATTTTAAATTAAAATCATTAAAACAAAAACGAACCGAGAGATATATTCAAAAGATCTTGGTTGTCCTCATATTAACGTTGTCTCTATCCTTCCAGTGCTGTGTTCTCAATGTCACTTTCATGAGTTTTCACTTAAGCACTTTTTCAAACCATTATTTAAAACGGGAATTAATTTTATTCAATGTTGAATCGGTTTAGAAGGAACCCGAAATTTCTAGCCTTTTAGTCTTTGTGTAGCGTTAATTCATTGAGATTTCAATTCATCAAGTACCCCATTCACACCAGCAAAACATGTTTTGTTAAACTGGTTTTCATTGAATGAAAATTATAAACAGAGAACTGAAAAACTTGATTTTCCATTGGATTCAAGTACTTGCTAACTTGCATTTCCAATGTGCTACATTCAAGTCAAAAATATTCGGTTAAATAGTTTCTATGAAGAAAAAAAAAATTAAACCGTTTTTAACAAAACAACTTTTAAACATGTTTAAGCTTTGGTGTGAATGGGGCAAAGGATTGATTGTACAAGTTAACACAAAAATTCCCCCCCTTCCATGATCCAGAACGCATCACTGCTACAGGAAAAACTCTAAGCGCTCCTTAGAGGTTCTAGAGCTGAACTGACCTCAGAATTGACTCTTTACTGATCAACGGATAATTAATCAAACTAAATTTTTGTTTTAGGTTTGCAAGGGAGCGCCATGTTTCCCAGTTTACACCGGTAGTGAGGTCGAATAGGTGGTCTGATGGACTGGCACTAAACGTACAGTGAAAACTATGGAATTTAAGCTAACAACGCTTAAAATGATGATGCTCTCCTTCGAGAGGTCTCGACCACACTACTTTCATGAGCAAAAACTTTAGCACCTCATAATTAATCATAAACTTAATTTGTGTAACCTCTACTAAATCAAATCCCTGCAATATCGCAAACTGTGTCAGGGCATTTATTCCATGATCCTATTAATCCTTTGACCCCTTAGAGTGATTAGCATCTAATTTCTCCTTACAATATCACCTCTGAATAAAACATTACGGTCAAGAGAATATAGGAAATGATCACTAACCTAGAGAGCTATTGATTGTTAAACAAAATCTCCTTGTCAACACCTTAGGAAATGTATAGAAAACAGAATGGAGAATATGCATACTGATCATGTCAGGGTGTAAAGGATTACCGGCTTGGGATCCACAAGGTTTCAATACCGTATTTTTAGTTTATCAAAACCAGCGAACACCGCATGAGGGGGTGAGGAATGACCCTTTTCGCTCTCCCTTTTTCAGAGGTGCGTTTTGTCGCACGCTCGCATTTCACTTTAGCGCGTCTTTCTGCATTTGTGTAAAGCAGCCTACAAGATTAAAGTGAGAATGTTGTCTCTTCTTTAATTACGATTATCGAAAAACGGACTTCCTGAGGCTTTGATGAGGAGTTAATCAGATATTTTTTTGAACTTCTTAATGAGACTCGCGTCAACAAGATTGAAGTTATATACTTTGTAACGACTACGCTCCCTGCACCAATTGGTTATAAATTGTGTTCTACTTTAGTACAGTTTTTATCCACATATTCGCGATCAGATTTACACACAGAAGACCCTGTTCAAGAGAGAATAGTGTCCGATGGACAGTTGGTTCTTATCTCTTATGCTAAATGTTTTTCTCTCTGGAGAGGAAGCATTCGCATAATAAGGAAGACGGAAACAGTTTGAGAAAGATTTCCAATTTTGTACATCAGGAACCCATGACCCCAATAGATGCATGCACTTTGGAAACCGCAACTTTGACCTCAGTTTTAGGAATTCAAGCTTCTTGACTGGCGGCCGAGCCTGAAGCTAAGCCCTTATTTGATTATTTACTGATAATTTTTTTGCTTTTTCTGTTTTTGTTAAAAGAATACAAATTTTTTATAATCCATTGTTCTGTTATAATCATTTTTGTTATTATCATCATTATTTATTTTCAAATAAGTAATGTATTATTAAAATGATTATCATTGTCATTGCGCTTTTAAGACTTTTGGAAATTTTAGTTTTCTTTACAATATCAGAGGATATCAAACACAGTTGGTTAAAATAGGAAACATTGTCACAAAGCTAAATTCGTTCAACTGCCGGACTAGCAATTTATAAAATTTTGCAACGAGAATGCTCAGACAAATAAAATCTTGGCAGCGAAGGATTGAAAGTCTTTGCTCTTTTATCTAACGTAAACTTTCGAAACTAAAAAGGTCTTTTGATATTTTATGGTCACGCAACTCAGAAAAGAACTATTGAAATAGACTCTATCAATTCTTATTTTCAAAATGAATTGATATCATGAAAATCTTTCAGTTTTAACTCTGAAGCTATCTTTCGGCGAAAGGTGGAATTGCATGAATGAACGAAAGGAAGTGTCTAAGAGTTAGTAATTTGTTATCTGTGGATTCCAACACAAACAAATGAGTGTTTACGCAAGCAAAGCTAATATTAAGGCTCTTAAATCGGTCAATCATCCACATTTCATATTGGTTTATACGTCACTGATGCCGGTATCAATTACTGATTTCACAAAAACTCCATTGTAAATTCCTTCGTTGATATTTCCCCCACTGTAGAATTCAAGCTTCTCTATCGAACAGTCTCTCCCAATCTTTGTGCAGACGTGGAAAAATACTTCAACTAAACAATTCCTTAAGCAAAATATCTTAAATTAAACGGAGTAATGTCTAGTCTAGACGGGAAACACAGAGCTTTTTTTAAGGCGGAAATACCTATTAAATTATTAACGCTTCATACTCTTTGCGTTTGCACCAAACAAACATCGCCAATATAAAATCAATATCAACTCTGATATAGCACTCACCCAGACTCATAAAAGGAATCGTTAGAGTCAAAATCATTATTTAAAGTTTTACCCAAAACTAGACGGCTTAGGTAAGCTTACTCGGAGTTAAGCAGCTTAGGTACCATGGCTGTTAATTAGTTTAGTAGCCACGTCACACCATGCGCGCCAAGGAAAATTCGACCAACGATTTTTCAAGATCGCTCATAGCAATCTTCAACAATCTTTGCCGTCCCTAAAGACTTGACTCCTTTTGTCAATTTTGTCTCTATTGTATTTGTCAACCATCACAAATGATGGTTCTCTTTTTCTTAAAGCTGTTTCCTTGTAAAAAAACAAAAACAAAAACATGAATAAATCATGACTATAATAATAATTCAAAATACCGTCTCATGGCTTTTGAATCTTGTGGTTTATAATTGACTCGCTAATTATCATTAAGTTATTTGTTTCATAGCTAATATTAGAGCATTGCACGTATTTCAAACTTCCCATTGAAATTGTAGACTCGCAAACAAAGAAATAAAAAAATACAAAGTAAGACATGTTTATGGTTAAGTAATAGTCATAAATAATAGAGTTAGTAAGCATGACTAAAACGGAAACATGAAGGTTTTGTAAATCATTCTGCTCTGACCTAGCTTTTTGGTGGCGAGTGGAATAAATTAATGTTTAATCTTTTTGTGATATCGCGTAAAGGAACCACGATCTCTGAACTTGAATGAACAAAATTGTGGTCAGCTGAAAGGGAAATCCGTTTTCAAAAGATGTTTAGATTCGACTCTTTTGTGATAATGTGGATAGTGAAGGGGAAATAAGTAAAATTTTTAGTGGACTATAGCAACGTTTCCGTCAGCTGGAATTAAAATATTTCTACGCGCCAAAACAGTCCCTTTTCCTGTGGTGGGGGGCATGGGTAGATGGTCATGTGACGTCACCAACCTCTATTTGGAGGTTTTGGATGTTGGGACGATTGTTTAGAAGGATCGGTTTGTTTTATCTGTAAGACTGGTGACTTTCATCCACGTGAAATCATTTTACCATAAAAGAGAGAGAAACATCTACTACCTCAAGTTTGAACTTCTTGTGGAATGCAATAGAGCAGTTTGTAAATGTGAAATTTAGCGGATGCAGCCGAAACGAAAATGGCGGCGAGTACAAACTGAAGTACTAAAGTGGTACTAGGCAACCATGGCTATTGCTGGCTGTGATTTCCGACAAGGAGGCGTTACGTTTGTGTGTGCTTTTGTGACCATCTAATTTATATCATGGTTGTTACTGTGTTAAGAGGAACGTGGTTTGCTAGTGGATAAATACGTCTCCCCACCATCGAATTTCAATTTGACCGGTTGATGAACAATTCCTCGTTGAAACATAGTCATTAACGAACCAAAATGAACTCTACAAAGCCTAAAGACGCCGACAAGATCACAGGTAAGACGTGATTACGCTGACTAATCTGTAGTTTCGAATCTAAGAATTTTTCAAACTTTTAACGGATTCGTTAAAGTTAGCATCTTAAATTTGATGTAGCTTAGAAAACTCGGATTGTTAGGTATTAATGAACTCATCGACGAGTCTCTCAAGTGAAAAGACCTCCATCTACCTTCAATATACATTACTTGCAACGCACAAATACGTAATGTATCGGCAATGTCGCTAAATTGGAAAACGAAATAACTATAGGCGCAATTGTTCTCCTTTTGTGAGACGCAATCGCGGGTCATCCGGCTAAAAATACATGCAGTGTTGTTGAATTGAACCCACTTAACGAGGAAAATTCGATAATTTTTAACACATGGTTACGGGAAAGCTATGTTGCTTTTCGAATTGATGTAAGAACAAACTGTTCAAGCAGGTAACTAGTCGAGAATTTTTGGCTGATCGCAAAATGTATTTGATGGCAAGGTCAGCTCGGTCAACCTTGGTTTCCTATAAAATTGTAAGACAATAGTTATTCATTTCACACGAAGGTTTCCATTTTTCTGTGAACGTTAGCTCATATTTAATCGCAATGTTTATTATATAATGATTAACTCTTTTTTTTATAAGCTATAGCTATGATAAATAGAAGAAGTGATTTGAGGCTTCGTCGGGATGATGTATTTGCCATCAAATGGTGAAGGAAATCGTTCAACAATTTTGCTAATTGAATACTTCACGGGAAGCGATCGATTTAATTCGAACGACTTTTTGTCAAGAACTCACAAACTATTCTTTACTACGTCCTCTTGAATGTTTTACGTGGACTTGGAAGACATTTCATGTCTTAAGTCTGTAAATGAGTGGACGAATTCTTAATTTGTAATTAAAATCTCAAAATATCTTTAGGGTGAAATATATCGACGAGTCATACTGCAAATAAACAAGTCAATGAAGACAAGTCCTGAGTAACTCGGAGTTTGAAGGCCTTAGTTTTGCCAGTTTAAAGATGATTAAAATAACATTTATTTTCCCTTAAACATCTCGATAACATTTACTGACTTGCTTTGTTTTGTTATTAAATAATTATTTCTTAAAATGAAATCGCTACGCTCTGGTCATGTTTTCCCTAAGCTAAGGTCGAAATTTGCATTTGAAAGGCTTCAGTGTACACAAAGGTCCAGGTCCCATCGCGATAATTTAAGGTTACATTCTGGAAGCCCGATGAACTATTCCACTGACAGTATTCTTTCCTTTTAACAGAGGCATGTTGCATGGCCTTCACACCACAGAGCTCGCCTACCCGTGTAAGTATAACCTCTTATGTGATCTGTTTTGTCACTCCAAAGCTTGGAAACAAATTCTGTTACATCCAGATTTCGCTGAGATTTGTAAGCATGCCTGCTGCTTTCTAATATTTTTTATTTGGAGCCAATGGAATTTACTTGATCCATGCTTACAACGCTTGATTTAGGTCATCGATTTAATGACATGAATTGTTCAGATTTTGTTTATGTCTCTGCTGTTGTCAAATTAGTCCGGTAATTGATAAATCGCCGGGTAGATTGTGACGCGAGAGAATGAAGGCTAAGTTAATTTCAAATCTCACACCAAGTTCGAAGGATTTGTTTACACAACTTGGAAGATTCGATCGCTAGACGTTTAGTTGACTTTGCTGATTTCTAAAGCACGGAGGATACTGGCCGAATGCACGTCACGCGATCGAATCTTTCTGAGGATATCTTGGCAATTATTCATGTAGCAAGTCTGTTCAGATAAAAATTAAGACCATTTTGAACGGAAAATCCGGTCATCTCTTGCATATTTTATACATCCCTGGTCTGAATAACGACTTGGAGTTTGTTTGGTTGAGGTTTGTAAATAACATTGGCGCGCGTATATCACTGAACAGTCGTTGTTTTGGTTCTTATCTTTGCAGTCATCAGACTCTCCTTCAGTTTGTTGGGTTCTTATATCAGCCAACTTGAAAGAAAAAAAAAAAGTTCCAAATTTGTTCGTGCCCATCTCGTCTCATTTATGTCCTGTCATTATTTGCCTTTGTTTAGTTTTCCTTATCAATAGTTATACATGCCATCTTGTTTCTAACTCAAAACACTTTTTATTTATATTTGATTAACAGTTAAATAAATCGGCGCATCCTGTTTTTCTGTATTTCAGTTATTATAGTTTGAATTGTTAAAATTTGCTTTCATAAACTGATTAGTTTTTAATTTTTCTTTGTAACATTTTTTTTGTATCTAAATTGCCTTGATTTTCGAAGACAATCAGTATTGAACAGTTGATTTTTGAGCACTCAAGGTAAAGTTTTTTCTCAAATCTGAATTTCATTTCCTCTGAAATTTAAGCATGCCTATGTTGACTTTTTATTTTATTTTTACTGCCCAGAATCCCTATTTAAATAAGGAAGGATAATCATAATCCATTTTGAAAATTTCTCAAGCAGCTTACAGAACTTTGTATTTGTTACTGAAGAAACTTTTAACCTCAATGAACTTGATGAGAAATTTTGATACACTGCACCTTTTGTTATATATTCTTTTTTATAGTTACTTACTTTTTTATAAGCAGTGAATGGAAATGCTTGTTAGAGTTCTGATAATATAAAATTGGAAAGATTGTCTGCCTTTTCAACAAAATCCCAAGAGTTTTCAGCATGTCAGGAAGTAGACCTCTTACAGTAACAGAGGAGCTGACAATCTACAAAAAGTATAAGGCGCTTAGAGGATAGTTATACAGCAGTATGTATACAGGTGTAGATTGTCACAATTTCATTCTCCTCCTAAGAGACCTATTCCTTTTTAAGTCTTCTGTTGAGTTCATGGGGCTCTAAGCTGAACTGTTTGCAGACTTGCTATGTGGCTACCTGAAATTGTGTAATGGCCTGTGGAAGTAAAGGAAACTTTGTGAAATATCACTTGACAGACTAAACTGCTTATCCCATTCCTTGCCTATAGGGCAAGGAGTATGGCTGGCATTCATTTTTGGAGATTTGTGTGGCATCTCACTGTGAGATACTTGTGCAGTTATGGAGAGAGGGTTAAATTTTTATTGGCATGATAGAGCATGAGTAGTATTTTTACTAGAAAATGTTTATCTTGCTTTGACTGCAAAGCACACAAGCTAAGTTGTAATAACATTGTGGCTTGCTTCATGACTTCCTACCACAGGTTGCCGAATTGGCAAGTACTGTTACAAATTTGGTTGCCCTCTTTTTTTCCCTAGTTACCATGGTAACCAAAAACAGTTGCAACTTGGAGTGCTGCTCTGACCAAATTTGTCTCTTAAAACAATTTCCTGCATTAGCCTATCATTGTGTACTATTTATTAATTTTTTTACATTTTTCTTAAATGTTTTTTTCTTGTTTCAGGGTGGAGAGGTGATTTTTATAACATTTTCAGATGAATTTCCTCTGCCAGATAATGGAGACTTTTATATGGTATTTGAAGGAAAAAAACAGCGACATGTAACAACAGCGCAGCAAATAAATACATTCACTCTTCGTGCCATTGTACCAGGTACATCATGAACTACTTCTCTCTACACATTATTGTTACCTAGTGCATATCCACTATTGACCAAGCTGAGATCAAGATGGTTATTGATGGTTATATTGGTTAAGTTCTTTGCAAATTTAACCCTCTAACTCCCAAGATCTGATTGTTAATTCTCCCCTCCACTTGTTACTCATTTCCTTGTAAATCAGTTATGAGAACTTGGTGCTAGATCAAGATAGCAGCTTCGACCTGATAAGTTTGAATATTCTCATTACCTTTTTGCTGAATAATGTATGGAACTGTAAGAGAGAAGGCGACTGTAATGGTGCATCTTTGTTTATGTTTTATTTGTTTTGTATGTCTTTTGCTGCTTTTAGTGACTCCATTACTGACATTGTCCAAAAATGACAAATTTTGTAAGTTAACCCCATGCAATTTTTTCCCTTGTGTGGGATCAAAGCAGGCAATCCCAAGGAGGCAAGATAGGCCCATTTTGCCCAGTAGGGTAGCCAGTAAAATCACAAGTTTTGCTTAATAATCTTCCCCACAATCACTACAAGTTACATATCAATAGATGATATTGAGGGACTAAACATGACACATAATGAGTGTGTAGAAAGTAATGAATTGGAGTGATGCACTAGTATTATTGTAATGGCTGTAGTCATGCATGTTCCTATAATTTGGAAAAAGTCAGTTGTGTTGAACCTGTTGCCTCTCCCAGTTTTTATTCATCGTGTATACAACAAACCACAAATATTGAAGAGAGAGATTGATGTAAATTTCCTTTACCTTACAAAAGTCATTTTCTTTTACTCTACATACAAATGTACTTTTATTATGCCTTTTGCTTCATATCTCTTAGATCATGACCAAGCAGAGAAAGTTTCACTAACTGTTTATTGTGCCCAGGAAAGCAAAGTCGGACCTCTTTCATCGCACAAGTTTTTATACCTGCTTGAAACAGAGCAGATTATTGCAAAACTTTTAGCAGACAGTGCATCAGACAGCAAGCTGTTTGAATGCTTATCATCGCTGTCCTTGATATCAAATGCAGTGTCCAAGGAGTACAGAGACACCTTAGATTCCAGAATAACAAATGCATTTGAATTCTTGGATTTGTCACCCACTTGGTCATTATTTGGAGAGAATGGAGTAGAGAACTTTCAGAATGAAAATGGTAAGTCACTTAGTGTGGTGTTTTAAATGTGTGTAATTCCATTGGCTGAGTAAACAAAATATATGTGAAAATTGTTTTTATCATGCATTGTTGGAACCAGGGAATGGAGTATGTGACTTTTTGTGGACAGCTGTTTTAAGTGCTCCACCATTGCTAACCTTTTCCCTTCCATTTTCTGTCAGTATATTTCCAGTTGTAGGGTAAAGTCATTACCCCTTTCACTCCCAAGATCTCATTAGTATTTCTCTTCACTGTCTGTCATACAGTTCATTTGATGTTATTTTGGAGAATTTGGTATTGGATCAACTATGAATACCATAATTGATATTTTTCTTTATTCTCACCCCTTGTCTGCTTGATTTTGTATTGATATTGTAAGGAGAAAGTCTGCCTTGGTCACTCATAAGAATTGAATGGTTAATCTATCTAGAAACCATATCAATTATGTTTTTTGTGATTTCTACATGACATGCATGTGAGGTGTGTTGAGTTCACAGTAAGTTTAGAAGAAGAAAGTAAGTCTGCCTTGGTCACTCATAAGAATTGAATGGTTAATCTATCTAGAAACCATATCAATTATGTTTTTTGTGATTTTTGCATGACATGCATGTGAGGTGTGTTGAGTTCACAGTAAGTTTAGAAGCGAGGTATAATGTACTAGTGGTGTTTGAGAGATACATGCAAACGGTTTTTGAAGTCCGTTTCAATATTAAACTGAGGCCTTTTCATGTAGCAGGGTCAAGTTTTCAGTGTGACTAATTGAAAAAGGGTTAAATAAGATTCTGACATTTTTAGCAAGCAAAGCAATAACGTTAAAATATTATCATTAGAAATGCCACCACTCAAGAAATTTAACTCTGTTTGAAACATGCGGACTTCTTCAGGTTGGGCTTCTTTTTATTCCAAGTTGGTTACATGTATGCTGTCTGAATAATGTCTAAAATTATAAATTTGCAGAATGAAAGGTTCAAATTGTTTTATACTAAATAAATAATAAATGAAGATGACTTCTTGAAGACAATTATAACTGTTCCTGGAGAGGTGATTTTCTTGAACAACTTCAAGGAAATGTGTATTCTTTCTTTGATTGTTGCACCAATAACTTATATGATTTTCCATCTATTTCTTCATCCCCAGGTCAGGAAACATTACTCCATCTTTCAGCACGTCTAGGATTTTCTCAACTGGCAACATATCTGCTTGACCAGCCAGGATCAATGGAGGCTCTTCATATCCAGGACAAGTCAGGCAAATTACCGGAAGAAATAGCTCGGGAGAAGGGAATGAAGTTACTTGCTGACATGTTTTCAAGGTTAACATGAAACTCAGTGTCTCAGTGTCTCAGAAAGACCTCTTGACACAATAGACATTTTTCTTAGACTTATGTAACCAAGCCTGAATGGGAGTAAAATTAAAATTGTTGTAGCAGCAAACTTGTAGCCTCGAAAATGCAGTGAGAACCTTCTATGCCCCAGTCATTATCAGTAAGAACTTTATCTAGAGCCTTTGTGCAAGTTGTTATATCTAAATATAATTTTTTTACCATTTCTTCCACATGATTGCTTGTTTGTATGATTAATGAAATGGCATTCTGTGTCTGGAATTCCAAAAGTTTTGTCAAAGAGTTGTTAAAATGGTCCAAAAATTGTTTACTGATGGAACACTGCAGTCTATAACTTTTCCAATTTCATGACTGGCTGATAAACTTGAAATTCTAAATAATTTTTTTTACCCTCACACAGAGGTCCAGGTGATTGTGAAAAGAGGACTGTAAAAGACATGTCTAAACCACAGGTCAAAAAAAGCGAGCTGGGTACCACCACAATATCCAGTTATAAAACTCAACATCAGAACTCCCTTGGTGAGTATTAACACTTTCAACCCTGAGAGTGACCAGCATCTACATGTAATTTCTCCTTACAATATAACTGCTGAATCATTCATTAAGATCATGAGAATAAAGGAAATGATCACCAACCTTGGAGGCTTTGTTTATTAAGTGAATTCTCATGGTCTGTACTAAAGGAAATGTGTAAAGAAGAGTATGGAGAATTTAGATACTGATGTCACAGTGCATAATGTTAATTATGTCTAGCTGCAATTTTTGTACAAACATACATGTAAACCTTTCTGAAGATTGGTACTCAACAGTTTAATTTTCTTAAAAGAATCATCAGTTGGAAAGGTACACATTGTACAACTGGATAGTGTTTCTAAAACTTTGTGAGTGGGACCTTGGTTCTTTATGCTTTGATCTCAAACTTATTTATTGAAATTATTTATCTTAACAGAAAAAGATATTGAAATGCTCCAAAACATAAATTCATTGGTTGAAGAGGAAGTGAGTATGAACATTAAAATGATGAAATCACTGTGTAGATCAACTGCTCTACCTAGCATAGTTCAATGACTAAATTCATGTCTCTCTTTTCATTAATTTAGATCCTGTTAAGAATTAATTTTGAATATTCATGTCAATACAATATTATCTTAGGGAAATAATCCATTGAAATTTATATTATGTTTATTGCTACTTTTCTCTTTTAGATGAAGAAAAGAGTACCAAAGTTTCGTCATTCTTGGCCAGTTCGAAGAAAAAATAAGGACACAACAGGTCTTGCTGTTGCTTTACTTCTTTTTTCCATGCTGTGATGTGTTGTTGATTATCCTAGCATCTTGCACTTTCTTGATCTTGATTTGAAGCAAATTGATGTTGCCAGGATCTCTTGTAAACAAAATGGTTCCTTATGATTTTCATATTTCATTGATTTAAAAACCGACCTTTAAAATATATAATTTTTTTAGAAGATGCATCCAGCAGTGATGAGGAAATAAAGCAAATCAACAGGGAGCTTTCACCAAAGAAGTTCACAGGTCAGCTGAACAGTATGACATCAGCAAGGAGCAGTGGAGGTGGTAATAGGCAACTGTTAGGTATGTTACTAACCTACACGCCCTAACATAAGTTTTCATATTCTCCCTACTGCTCTGTATAGATTTTCCAATGTGCTAACAAGGAGAATTTGTTTAACAGTGGCTGGTGATCATTTCCTATATTCTTGTGACTGAAATGGGTGATTCAGGGCTGATATTGTAAGGAGAAATTAGATGTCAGTCACTATGAGGGGTCAGTGGGTTGAATAGTACAAAGAGAAATGTAGTGTGGTGGGTTGTGAGGAGCAGTTGGTTTCCAGCTGTTTTTCTGTTCATAAAAGAACTATAGGAAAGAAAAGAAAACATAAAAAACTGAATGATTGTAGATTTCTATGTTACATGTATCAAAACTGAGGTTATGATTTTTTTTTAATGTTGTTTGTGCATTGCTTTCAGAACAAAATCTCAAGAGACTGAGAGACATCAATGAAGAAATACAGAAGCTCAGGATGGTTAATTCACAGAGAGGCTCTAGAGAGGTACAGTACTGAAAGGAGATACATGTACAAGTTTAAAAGTGAGAAGAAATTGTCAAAAGTTCTTTTTTTTACATCTTTGGTTTTCTCCCATATTTTAAATACAAAAGAAATTTTCAAATGGGTAGAGCAAGCCTGTTACCTGTAAAAAGAAGTACTACAGGCCATTTTTCTCCAGAAAAGGAGAATGTTGCATCTTCACGGGCCATCTGGGCTTTGTTGAGATCCATAAAAAACACAATATCCAGCAAACTTGAGAAAGTAAGCCTGGTCAGTAAAGGATAAAAGGCACAAAATAATTTCCCTTTGCGGAAACAAAGCTGGTTGGTTATCCTGGTAAGTCCATCTTACCCACTAGAACATTCATTCAGAACCCAGGACTCTTTTTCCATTTCCCCCTATCAGAAGTGCCTCAACCAAAAACCACAGAGAAGAATTCATTTTAGTTTAGTTTTAACAAAGTTAGTTGTTAGGTGTTCTCTTAGTGTGGTTTTTATCATGCTATTAAATATCACATTTGTCGCATTCTAGGCTGGAAGAAGTGGTATGCAGGGAAAGAATTTACGTCGCTTGTCCTGTCCATCATTAAGTGCACAGGACCTACAACAAGCCCAAGTTATTGCAGGTAAAGGAACAGTTTAATAAATACCAACAGATGAGTGCTGAAGTTTTTAATTCTTTTGTAATTACCACTATGCAGTTTTCATTATTTCTATCACGTTCTTGCCATTAATTTCTCCTTTTTATTGTAATCTCAGATAACTTAGCCACATGTTGTAAATGCGTGTGTCCTTTCATGGTTTTAGGAATGAAATCTAAGGAGGAGAAATCAATTGTGAATGGTACTGTTGATCAAAAGGATCGTAAAGCAAGCCCTCTTGGTATTAATCTTAGAACTTCGCCAGATAGAACAAGAGAAACTACTCAGAGACAAGAGGATACCTCTAATAGTGCAGACGATAAACTTCTCTCTGTGGATTGTAAAAGTGATGTACGACGGGCACATAGCTGGGGGAAACACGAAGAGAGGCCTGAACTGAATAAAAGAGTTAGCTCAAGCCTTGATGATTTAACTAAAGAAGCTGACTGCGAAGAAAAAGTTGAAAATGACAAACCACGGAGCAGGATACATGCTCTCAAAAACAAAAGACCTGTATCATTGAATCTTGACAGTCCCAAGGAAGAGGGGAACAAACTTGCAGATATTTTAGATTCTATAAAGAAGGCCAGTGATGATAAACAAAACTTGGGTAAAGCTTCAAGCAGTGTGTCGATAACTTCGCTAACAGATGTTGATGTCAATGTGAATCATAAGGACAACGGTCTTCTTTCTCCAAACAAAAGTAATCTCCATACAAAATCATATTCATACAGTTGTTTGGCTGATCTTAAACTTGGAGAAGATGGTAAGTATTGACAAGATCTTAAGGTAAAGAAGGCACACACACACTGTAGGCTTGGCACCATGAGATAAGGGAGAAGGTGACCTTTCCTAAGAATGATTTGGTTTTATCAACTGAGTTGATAGCGTGAATTGACCACCGTACAAGGGTGTAGCTAGAGAGAGTCCTGGGATGCCTGTGACCCCCTTCCCCCTTTGTAAGCCTTTGTTCAAGTCAAACATGGCATGGAGGTTGACATGACAGTCCGGTAGTACCGTCTGTTTGACACAGTGTGACACCCCCCCCCCCTTTTGAAAAATCCTGGCAACGCCCCCACCGTAAAGAGTTTCTGAAGCTGACGTTTCGTTCCCTTCTTCAGAAACTCTTAAGGTGGAAAATTTACATTTATCAACTCAGTTGATAGAACACAATGGACTACTCCAACAACGCAGCACCACAGCTTTTTTAGAAACTCATACCTATTATTTTCCTAAGAATACCCTGCTTTTATTACTACAAAATTTGTTGTCTATCTGGTCAATGAAAGCTGTGCTCTTTAAAGAATCGTTGGGTGCCTAGTGACCAATGTCTTGGATATCCAGGGCACTGTCTCATAAAGCTTGAGAATTATGACTTAAAGTTTTATGGGTTGCTCAAAGATAAAAGTTAGCGATTTGTGGCCCCCAGTCTCCTCTATATCACAGCCCTGACCGTAGACGTCCCCACAAGGCATTGGGGATTAATCCTTACTAATCCTTTAGTTTAGTTCCCAGGGCCTCAGGCTGAGGTTTACAGGTTAAAGCTGAATATCGAAATAATAGATTGTTCTTCGGGGTTAAAGAAGACAATTCATAGTTCAAGTGTGATTTAAACCAGGTCTTTGACATATTTTTTTAACGTAAGTTAATTTTTTACTGTTAGGAAATCCTATAGAGGACAAAAAGCTTGGGTAAGTAAAATATGAAATGATTTTCCTTCGTCAAAAGTGATTTTACCTTTTCTATTAAAACCTATTTTTTTCTTAAAAAGTGTGTTTATAGCAAAGAACCTTTATTTGAATTTTTTCTGCTTTTAGTTTTCTCCCCTGGACTGTTTTTGACTCTTTTATTTATATTACGTACACCAGTCTGTATTAAACACTTGAGTCTGGATTGAGAGGTCCCGTCCCAACCCCTTGTAAGGTCTTAAAATGAAGGCGAGACACTTTACGCTCATAGTACCCCTCTCTGCCCGGGAACATAAATGGGTACTGGCGAGTATCGCGTCCCATCCAGGGGTGGGAGGGGGGCTCTTCATGCATTATTAGGCGTATATGCCTCTGAGACACAACAACCTCTTTTTGTCACTTAAACAAAACATTTTTGTCTGTAGATCCCAATTTAGCCCCGAGATTCAGAAGAGAAGTCTTTCCAAGGCTGAGACACAGATGTCTTTGATGGACTTCTTGAATGATGAGTGAGTTCTGCTATCTTTCTTCGTATTAACTGATAAAAAGAAGGTCGAGTTAAACGTAAGCGAACCGATACTGATATGAAATATGTTAAATCTTTAACTTTGACATGTGATCTTAAACGACAGCAGTAAAAATAATAACCTTCTGTATATTATAACTTTTTTTATCTCGCCATCCAAAGTTCTAACCGTTAAAAATCTCGCAATATTTTGGTTGTTTCCATTTGCATGCACCTATAAATTAATTTTGTAACTCTTTTCATTGTTTGAAAATTGATATTTGATCCATCTTTGAACGAAACTTTTAAACAACTTAGCTTATCACTATTCAACTATTGATTTTAATGTTACATTAAGCAGTTAATTTTTTAAAACGGTTTAGAAAAAGCTTGAAGGTTTTAACCTTAAAGAACAACATGAAATATTTTAAACTGAAAAAGACGCTCTATCTATAATTTCCTTCTATACTTACTTTGCTTAATTTTAAGAGAAATGTTAAAACTTTAGGATAAATCATATAACATGTCTTGCATTGCCTTGCCACCATTCTCTTGTTCAGTCAAAAAAGACGACACCTGCGTTTAACCGCTAAAACACCAAAGAAGTGGAATTCCTTGCATGCTCTAGCTACGATAAGGTAATGTTTAAAGAGAAAGACAACACCGAGTACTGTGTTGAATTAAATGCTAACTAAAGAAGGCATGAGCTGAGAGACTGGATCCCTATGGCCTTATTCCTGAATTATTTTTAGTTCACTCCCTCGGTCGTAGATCTAAGGAGAATCTTGAAACAGCCAATCATGTGTCGTGTGCTCACTTGAACATTAAATACAGCTTCTATTTGGTCTCCATCAAAACACTCCGGAAGACTAGATGCGTTGAGTGTAAACGTATTTAATAGCTTAAAAGGGATTCCCTTTGGAATATGGCCTGAACTGAGACTCGGTTACTACTTTTGCTCTTTGTTTAATCAGTGGAAAATCGTAAAAACTATCAAGATGATAGTTTATCGTGTGTACTTTAACAATCCTAAAAGTATACCTACAACTAAACAGACGCGTAGGTTTCTATGAATTTTTTCTTTCCCTTTTTTTTTTTTGAAAAAAAAAACCTTACTTTAAATAACATGAGTTCTAAACCGTTAAACCAGAATTTGTAGCGTTTTTTGAACGTAACAGGTTGGTTTTTTTTCGCTTGATTAGTTGGACAAAATGGGATTGTTAACAGATATAGAGATCCTCAAAAATTTTCCTAACAATTGATATTTTACTTTGGAGACTTTTTGGAGTGAGACTGAATACTTGAATAGGGCACTCACTGTCATACGATGAGTTTCTTGTTTTCTGACTGGCCATTAAATGAAAATTACAACAAGAATATTTTTTCAGACAGCTAACAGGAAGGGTGGCTTTTAAGGCTGATACATTCTTAAGGAATTTTAGCAGCGAATTATGGTAAAAAAAAAAACATATAGACGATTTTCCACAAATGCGAATCTTCGGTAATACTGTGGTGTTAAGAATTCTTAACGACGAAAAAAAGGTTCTTGTAAGACAAGATAAAGAAGTTTAGTTTATTTATATTGTATGACAATTTTTTTTTGTAGGGAAGCTCAAGACAAAGCCAGTAACAGATTGTCACTGGAAGAATTTCTCGGCGTAAAGTGAGTGGTTTATAGATTATTCAGTGAAATGTTTGCTTTGGTTTCATAATGTGCATGGTGGAATATTCTATTACGACTAATCTGTGGAGGCAACGCTTGGTTGAAATATGATATCTGAACATATCGGTGGGTTTCAGTTGATAACTTACTTTAAACCATTTACAGTCATACATATTCGAGTTATCGAAGTCCTCTTTTCTGTTAACCCAGCTTTCACATCGCTGTCGTTATTGGATTCGGCAATCTTTCCTTCGCTCGTTTACAAGTCGTGAACTCCCTGGAAAACTTAATTCAATAATTTACATTTAAAAAATGTGCATTTGTAATCATTTGCATTAAAAAAGGAACATATAAATGTTTCGACCCCCTTGAGGTTGGCAAACTCGAAACTAAAAACCAATTTAGTTTCGTAATTTCACGTTTTGTGTATATGTTAATGTTAAAAAAACGAGAAATGTGTAGTTTACCTCTCTGCAACCTACTGTGTTAATCCTGTAAGTGATGTTATGTTGCTCCCATTGCAGTGGTCCAGAATTAAGTGCGGATGATTCAGAAGAAGCGGAAAAGGTAGAAAAAACTTACTTTTATTTCCTGGTTCATGTAATATTGCGAAATATCTGCACTGATTATGGTAAATTCATAGGTATTTGGAAGGCATTCTAAGTGAACAAGCATTAGATGTGTAACACAAACAGTATTTCATCACATTTCCAGAAACTGATACAGTGCTCAGCGTATTACCTTTGGCGTGTCACATATGGAGTTAATAGGGGATTTATGAAGTTTACGCGCGTGAAATGCGTGGGAATTCTGTACTCGCGTGTCAAACGCGGGTAATGCTGCCATACACAATAGTGGCACTGTAGCTCGTCAAGAGTCCCCTGTGGCTCAGCGGTGAAGTTTGGAATCCATACGAATGGATCAGATGTTTTCTTTGTCATGCGTTCGAGTCAATTGTTTTAAAATGTGAAATCATCTGAAACTCTGACTCGAGTGCTAGACTTGTCACGATAATCCATGCAAATGGCCCACTCATGTAACTTCCTTTACGCTCATTGGAGGTCAATAGCATAGGTTGTAGGTTGAATGACCACTATTCATTTCTGTTTGCTTTTAGCGCTGCCTTGCGTGACGTCTTAGTATGATATCATAATTCGATTGTTCTAGATTTTGTTCTGAAGTTGAAAACAATTTTTAATGTAGTGTCGAAAGTCTTCCGGGATTACATGAGCTATTACTCATGAGCTATTACTCGCTTACTTAGGCGCTCGAATTTTCTGCGCTTCTTGAAATCAGCTTTTCTTAACTTTAAACTCCCATTGCTCCTTGAGACTTTTCAATGTATTTTCAACATATAGTGTACGTTTCAATGCTTTTGGGTTTGAAATAATTAAGAAATGATTCTTTGTATTCATATTGCGTAGGATTCTTTAAGGAAACTTCGTTGTCCCCCAATTTTAGCTTAAGTGGTCAGATGATGATTTCAGCACTCCTTAGCCGTAGTAAATTAACTTGTACTGACTTTCACCACTCTTTTTATTACAGGAAAAGCAGGAACCTGGAAAGGGTATCAGACGCTTTAGCATGCTGTTTGGAAGCAAGTCCTCAACTAAGGTACAAAATTTAGTACTGTTTTCTGTTTATGCTCATTGGTTTTGTAGTACTTCTCGGTTACCAATGCCCCAGAGCAGCGCCTGATGGTTTTTTTTAATCCATTTCAGCAGTTAAAACGAGAACTTCCAAAGATTCAGAAAGGGAGCAACAGAAGCAGCCTTAGAAAAGAAAAAAGCTTCTGTAAGTTTGATACTCATGTCAACGATAATTAATTTCATTGTATTGAATACAGTTGTTATTTGGCAGATGTATATGAATGGAGACTACGCAACAAAATTTCTGGCAGCTATAAAGGGAGAAAGGAGTTCTGTGCTTAAGACATGTTAAGATACGGACTATAGACCAAATTGGCGCATTCATTTCTTGTGTTTAGTTTGTGCATCCGTTGCAACTTCACCCTGAAGTTTAAAAGTTTTAACTCCTAGGAGTGATTTACATATATAATTACATATAACTTCATATAACTTCTCCCCTTTAACATTCACGAATTATTCAGCAAAGTAGTTGTTTACTTGATGTTACTCTAAATTTTCGCAACCAATTTACAAGGAAATGTTTAGGAGCTAGAGGGGAGAATTTACAATTAGATCTTGGGAGTTAAAGGGTAAACCTTTCTCGTTCTCTAGCTGGTATTCGTTGCCCTTTCAGGTTTTTTCTATTTTTTTTCCATTTGAGGATAGTTTTGTCTGAGGTAAACAAAGAAGCGAGATTTCTTGATGTAATTTTTTAACAGTTTTAGTGTGTTTTAAATAGCTTCTCGGAGTAAAGACAGCGAAGACGGTAAGAGGGAACCTGGGGATGCTAAAGAACAACTCAAAACTGCGTTGGGAAGAAGAGCGTCGGGAATTCCAAGCAAGTTGTCCAAGTCTGGAGAACAGGTATGTAATGCCGGACAAAGCTGCTGCTTCACCCGTTGGTTTCTATCTGACTCAGGTGATGTACTGGGTACCTATCGAGCTTATTGAAGTCAGAGACTATGGTGTGGTATTATTCCCCTTTGTTAAGAAAGCTCGCTGGTCTTTTTCTAGTCAGTCGGCAGTGGTTTCAATTATAGCCAGTTACCGGCGGTCTACTCCTGCCCATAAGACCTCTTATCGCCGTCTGTTGAGCCTGCGCGCAGGCTCTCGTGTTTGAGTTTTGCCTTACGGCCCCTTTTCCGGAAAAAGTTATCTATAGCCTACGTGTAGCTGTACCCTTTCTCCCCCCCCCCCCCCCTTCCAAGGTGAAACGGCCTCCTCGCCTTACAATTGGTTCCATGGTATTTACGTGCGACTTGTACGATGACTTGTGAGTTTTTAGTAAATTATGTTGACCTTTGATATCTGTTGAATAATGTTGACTTCATGTGACTTGCCTCTCGTTTCAGGTTCCGGTATTACCTAACCCTGGATTATTAACACGGGGTGGTCGAGGCGGCATGTCTTCCAGATCCAGCGTGCAGACCAAACCAACTTCTCCTCTTCCATTTCGAAGGTACACCCTGAAGTGGTATTGTGTCGTGGTAATTACGTTATGTGTAACTTTAATCGCTGTGTCAGTAAATTGCTTCGGCAACTTTTTTTGTTTCGTTCTTTTTAAAGTAAAAGCTTCACAGTGGATGATGAAAACAAAGACAAAGACAAGGGAAAAGACAAAGATAAACCCAAGTGAGTTTTTTTTCTAGCGGGCTTCTTCTTAAGTAACACATTGTGGTGAACCTTTGATTCGATGGGGCAAAGTTGTGTTCTTCAAGGGAAGTCAAAGCTTTAATAGAAGGAAATCTTAGTACCACTTTAATATACAAATTGCAGCCTGGTCAGACTTTTGACATTCTGCTTATTACTTTCTTAGTTCGAGTGTGTCACCGGATGCGTCTGGAGATGACGAAGATTATGATGAAGGGGGTAAGTGTACAATCAGTCAGTGAGAAAGTTGTTCAGTTTGTTGGTCAGTGAGTAAGTGAGTGAGTGAGTCAGGATGAGTCAATCAGTGAGTCAGTCAATAAGTTAGTCGGGCAGTAAGTCAATCAGTGAGTTAGAGCGATTGATCGCTCTGACGAAGGGCTAACGCTCGAAACGTCAGCTTTTTTACCCTTTACGGTGGCCAATTTACGTTTTGAACCCAGTTGTTAACACTTAATTACCTGCTATACTCTCCCACCGACGCAGCACCACAGTTTCTTTAGAAACTTACCCCTTTAATCAGTGAGTTAGTCAATGAGTCAGTCAGGCAGTAAGTCAACAGTGAGTTATTCAATGAGTCGGTCAGGCAGTAAGTCAACAGTGAGTCAGTCAATGAGTCAGTCAGGCAGTAAGTCAACAGTGAGTCAGTCAATGAGTCAGTCAGGCAGTAAGTCAACAGTGAGTCAGTCAATGAGTCAGTCAGACAGTAAGTCAACAGTGAGTCAGTCAATGAGTCAGTCAGGCAGTAAGTCAACAGTGAGTCAGTCAATGAGTCAGTCAGGCAGTAAGTCAACAGTGAGTCAGTCAATGAGTCAGTCAGGCAGTAAGTCAACAGTGAGTCAGTCAATGAGTCAGTCAGGCAGTAAGTCAACAGTGAGTCAGTCAATGAGTCAGTCAGGCAGTAAGTCAATCAGTGACTCAGTCAATGAGTCAGTCAGGCAGTAAGTCAATCAGTGACTCAGTCAATAGTGAGTCAGTCAATGAGTCAGTCAGGCAGTAAGTCAACAGTGAGTCAGTCAATGAGTCAGTCAGGCAGTAAGTCAACAGTAAGTCAGTCAATGAGTCAGTCAGGCAGTAAGTCAACAGAGAGTCAGTCAATGAGTCAGTCAGGCAGGAAGTCAACAGTAAGTCAGTCAATGAGTCAGTCAGGCAGTAAGTCAACAGTGAGTCAGTCAATGAGTCAGTCAGGCAGTAAGTCAACAGTGAGTCAGTCAATGAGTCAGTCAGGCAGTAAGTCAACAGTGAGTCAGTCAATGAGTCAGTCAGGCAGTAAGTCAACAGTGAGTCAGTCAATGAGTCAATCAGGCAGTAAGTCAACAGTGAGTCAGTCAATGAGTCAGTCAGGCAGTAAGTCAACAGTGAGTCAGTCAATGAGTCAGTCAGGCAGTAAGTCAACAGTGAGTCAGTCAATGAGTCAATCAGGCAGTAAGTCAACAGTGAGTCAGTCAATGAGTCAGTCAGGCAGTAAGTCAACAGTGAGTCAGTCAATGAGTCAATCAGGCAGTAAGTCAACAGTGAGTCAGTCAATGAGTCAGTCAGGCAGTAAGTCAACAGTGAGTCAGTCAATGAGTCAGTCAGGCAGTAAGTCAACAGTGAGTCAGTCAATGAGTCAGTCAGGCAGTAAGTCAACAGTGAGTTAGTCAATGAGTCAGTCAGGCAGTAAGTCAACAGTGAATCAGTCAATGAGTCAATCAGGCAGTAAGTCAATCAGTGAGTCAGTCAATGAGTCAGTCAGGCAGTAAGTCAACAGTGAATCAGTCAATGAGTCAGTCAGGCAGTAAGTCAATCAGTGAGTCAGTCAATGAGTCAATCAGGCAGTAAGTCAACAGTGAGTTAGTCAATGAGTCAGTCAGGCAGTAAGTCAATCAGTGAGTCAGTCAATGAGTCAATCAGGCAGTAAGTCAATCAGTGAATCAGTCAATGAGTCAATCAGGCAGTAAGTCAATCAGTGAATCAGTCAATGAGTCAGTCAGGCAGTAAGTCAATCAGTGAATCAGTCAATGAGTCAATCAGGCAGTAAGTCAATCAGTGAATCAGTCAATGAGTCAATCAGGCAGTAAGTCAACAGTGAGTCAGTCAATGAGTCAATCAGGCAGTAAGTCAATCAGTGAGTCAGTCAATGAGTCAATCAGGCAGTAAGTCAATCAGTGAATCAGTCAATGAGTCAATCAGGCAGTAAGTCAACAGTGAGTCAGTCAATGAGTCAGTCAGGCAGTAAGTCAACAGTGAGTCAGTCAATGAGTCAGTCAGGCAGTAAGTCAACAGTGAGTCAGTCAATGAGTCAGTCAGGCAGTAAGTCAACAGTGAGTCAGTCAATGAGTCAGTCTGGCAATAAGTCAACAGTGAGTCAGTCAATGAGTCAGTCTGGCAGTAAGTCAATCAGTGAGTCAGTCAATGAGTCAGTCAGGCAGTAAGTCAACAGTGAGTCAGTCAATGAGTCAGTCAGGCAGTAAGTCAATCAGTGACTCAGTCAGGCAGTCAGGCAGTAAGTCAACAGTGAGTTAGTCAAATTCTAGAGAGTTTTCTTTCTGTGTGGCGTCAAAGCTTTATAGCTGCACCTTTCACTGCACTCATCTAGTTTTCGTGAATTATTTCCGCTGTTATCTGATGCTTCTGTTATTAAAATCTAAGTCTATGTTATTACCATCTAACGTTTTACACTTTCTTTTTGTTCTACATTATAGAAATGGACGATGAGGTAAGCTTTCATTAGCTCTTTAGATATTTCGAGACATCGTGCTATTGTAGTCTACTTTCAAAACATCAGTGAATAGAAATGAAAGTTGTATCACCAAACATTCTTGAATGTTTACATGTGTGGTTTCTTTCTACTCGTAACTGATCGCCAACTTACTCATTTGAGCCTGAATTTTGTTCATTCAGCATCCAGGCGATCCTGATCTTGACATTAAACCTGAACCAGAAGCTTGGAGCGTTAGCATCGACAAGAAGGTGAAGTTATCGAGTACCTCTTGTTTCTGTTTTACTGTAATTGTTCGATCGCTCTTAGCTGCAATCTCTTGCGATAATTTGAAAACAGTCACCTGTTGTGATCCGGGTATCGTCTGAGATCTCGGCAAGTGAGATACATCCGGCAACAGAATATTCTCTATCGCATTCCGCGCAGGATATCTGTGACAGTCAGTCATTATATGAAAAAGATAGTTTGGTTTTACAAACTAAGTTTATAATGTGAATTAGCCACTAGTTTTTAGAGCTGACGTTTCGTTAGAGCGAAACCAGACTTTGCCCTAGTTCCCGGAAGTGATCGCTACATAAACCCCCCCTTGAAATTTAATAAACTGTCAGTCATTTAATTGACAAGAACTAGGAAGATTGTTGTATATTGACAACATCAAACTCCTTAGACTAGCCTGCTAAGTACTATGTTATCTTAAGTTGGAACTCGACAGTGCAAACTAGAGGGCTTGTACCCAGTCGCCTTACGTTGTTTCCATTTCATTCATGTCTTCAGATTCTCAAAAAGATGACAGCAAAAGATATTAAGAGACAAGATGTGATTCATGGTGAGACGGATGTTTCTTGGCCTGCGAGCAGAACCCTATTATTTAGGTTGCAGGACGTGCGTTTCTCTGCCTGCGGGAAGATTCGAGACGAGTCGCGGTAGAGGTTTACAAGGGGTCTGGCTCTAATATCAGTACCAGACCCCTTGTAGACCTAGCCGGCTCGCGTTGCTCATGCTTCATACTTTCCCGTGGGCGAAGAAACTCTCCTGCCGAAGCGATAATAATGAAGGCTTGCTCGCAAGGTAGATGTGTCTTTACAAGTTGTTGTTTCCTGGGCAAAGTGAAACTCTGGGGGTGATGTGTGGCAGACTTGTTTTACAGTAATTTACCTTGTATTATTTTTGGTTTCTTTTAGAATTAATACAAACTGAAGTCCATCATGTGAGGACTCTAAAAATTATGCAGAAGGTAAGAACTAAAGAGCTGATTAATCGCTCTGACGGGCAAATTTTTCATATTATAGAGCAGTTTACAACCAGGTGTCGGAAAACCAAAACTCAAGTAAATGTAATCACAACTACCAATCAGAGCATACGGTAACATCATCATCAACAAATTGGAACTCAAAGTAAACACGGGAAACCTGTTTGAAGCGCGGGAAAACGCGGGTGATTCAGTCGGGATTGGTTTTAGTTTTGCATTTGATTGGTTGAGAGGTTTGCGCGAGTATTCTGGACCAATCACAAAGCAGAACCAAAGCAAGCCGGGATCACTTCCGTTGCTCAACTGAAAACTATTCTATCACCTGAACGTGTTAACTTTTAACTTTCTTACTCGATCTTTTGCAATCCTTTTCTATTCCGACTATTCTTAAAAATCAATCTGTATTGCACCTCTATTCTACTTAATGAAATCAAAAGCTGGAGTTTTTAAATGTGTTATTTTTTTTTATGTTTTTTCTTGTTTGCAGATATTTTATAAGGGAATGTTAGATTATCTGTCGCAAGATACTGCTTATCAGATATTACCGAGACTCGATGACTTGCTTCAGATAAATGGTGAGTCACGACAATTTAAACAAATACTATTCAACTCAAAAGCGAGGATAGGTTTGAAAGCGTTTTTGGTCGATTGTTTTAATCAGTCTTGTTTTGTGTCATTGTTATTCACATAGGCGACTTTTTAAATCGACTGAGGGCAAGTGAAGACGGCGATACTATAGTGAACAGTATTGGAGATATCTTGGAAGAACAGGTAAGAAAACAGGGGAGAAATACAAAATGTACCCGCGGAATATGTATTAATTGCAGTCTTCTCGTTGCATAACAGTTTAGTGGAGAAAACGGTGAAAAAATGAAGAGTGCGTACGGCGAGTTCTGCAGTAATCACATGGAGGCTGTTGAGCTTTATAAGGTAAAAATACCGATATGATGCCGTGCCTTCTCGTGTAACAACTAAAATGTTCAATTTTCGTTTGGTACGAAAGAAAACATCTGCTTTTTGATAAGAGAAGTTGCGATTTTCTTTTTTATGCAGAAATTACTAAGAACGGATAAAAAGTTTGCGGTTTTTATCAAGGTATGTATCGGTAGCTTAACGAGTAAGTGTAAAGTACGTTGGAATTGAAGTAGAACTTGTTAAAATACGCATTTCTAGAGAATGCTTCAAAATGTCATTCATCATCCTTTGGAGCAATTTTCAAGTGAGTGTCGAAAGTACTGCGAGATTACTTGGCTTTTGTTTTAATTTGTCCTGTGATTGGCCAGTAACTCGGGCGATCCACTCAACCAATCAGAAACAAAACGAAAACCGATCGCGATTTGGTTATTCGCGTCTTCCCGCGCTTTTCGCTGTTAAGCTGGTTTTACTTTGAATTCTCATTGGCAAATAAGTAAGTGAATCATCGTTTTGACTGGACGTTGTGATTTCGTTAGTTTTGGTTTTTCAACACTCGATTTAAGACTGCGCTATTTCCACTTTATTACTAATAAGGTGGACATAGGGCAGATGGTAAACAGTTTCCTTTGAAAGGTAACTGTTTACCGTCTACATAAAAATTAGTAACGATTATCAGGTTATACTCTAATCTCCAATATTATGGCCCAGTTGCCTAGTATACTTGTCTATTCAACGTTTAATGTTCAATGAATTACAAAACTGAGTTATTACTACCTTCATCTATTTTTAAAATGTGTTTCTTTTGACTAATTAGTGTCATGAGTATAATTCCCAAGCCACACATGCCCGCATCGCGGACCTACTATTTTTTTGTATTTTGAGCAGAAATGCAACGCAAACAAGTACTGTCGACGGCTGTCAATCCCAGAATGTATCACGCTTGTCACTCAGAGGCTTACCAAATATCCTATGCTCATCGAAGCTATCGTGAAAACTACTAAGGGTATGTTATTACCTTTACACCCTAACATCATTATGTATACTCTCCACTCTGTTCCTTATTCAGGTCTTAAGGTGCTGGAAAAGAGAATTTGTTTAACAATCAATAGCTTCTTTGGTTACAGATCCTTTTTCAAATTCTCATGACCTTAATGTTTGATTTAGGGGTGTTACTGTTAGTAAAAATTGGATGCTATATAAACTCTTACGTGTCAAATGGTGAAATTATTCCGCGGAGTTTATTATATTTCGTCTTATATATCCAACATGACCTAGTTTAATTACTCTTTTCATTATTTCGTACAAGTTCGTGATGTGCGCAGTTTTCTTCGCAGTCTCCTCCGCAGCCGTTGTTTGGCTTTGTCACGCAACAACCTATCCCTTGTATTGTGTGACGAAGACTAAGAAGGGCTGTGAAGGAGAGTCTGATATGCGGAGTAAATTTTTGTTTCTTTAATGGTTTTTTTCTAAATTTTCTAATTTCTGGTCTTGGTTTTGCATCCGACTGATAGACAATTTGCAAAGAGGGTTCTTTTATGTCCATTTAGAGTCCTGTCTAGGCTATCATCCCATTTCAATTTAATGTTATCAATTTTGTTACTGGTTTTTTTTTTCTTTAGAGTCCAAACCGGATTTTAGCTCGCTCAAGAACTCCATCACTCTTATTAAGGTAAGGCCGCCTCATAATTCGCCTTGATGTTATTCGAAACATATGTGAACAAATAAGAACTATTTAATCGATCAAAACGAACGCCCGGTCGTAGTTTAGTTACAATTTGATTTGTTTGTTATTGCGTTTAGATGATATTACAAAGTGTCGATCAGACGATAAAGGATTACGAGAAACAGAAGGTATGTGATCAATGCACTGTGTAACATACGCTTACCCAATCCTATCCCCAGGCACTCTCTCTTGCTTCTTTTAATCGCGCGCGGTATGGTTTGTAGTGTGCAAGTCTCTTTCGGTGACGTCACCTCTCACAATAGGGTTCAGGTTTAACCGAGCCGAGAACACCAAGGGAGGGCACTTTGTGAAGCCTGCGCACACTGTTTGAAACAGCGTGTGTTAGTAGGGCGGGCTTGTAAAATGTGACTCTCCTGATAAGAAGAGTTGTGAGAAGGTCTGCTCCACCTGTCATTCGAAGTTGTGCCTTTCGACTCGACTAGCTCCAAAACTAAAAAAATTAAAAGTTTAATGTTACTGATATGACAGTGGCGTGTAATACTGAAGTACGGTAACGATATTTAAATGTATGAATCATTCTCTATTGTAGTTACTTCAAGAAATGAAATTGAAGCTGGATTTGAAAGTAACTGTTAACTTCAAGAATGGAAAAGTTAAGGTAAACTTTGCAATAAATAACTGGATAGTCACCCATTACTTTTCCGCCACCAGTTTCGTGACGAATCACCACCCAGATAAAAATGTCACGCAATATAAGAAGATCTCTCCCTTTGTAATGACTGCAAACTTACTTTTGTAGAACATCGACTTCGCAGCAAACACAAGCAAACTGGTGCACGATGGTGTGTTAATGTGGAAAACAGCCAAGAACAAACTGAATGGTAAAGTGCTTACCCATTCTATGGACGTTGTACTCGATTAGCTCTTTCACTCCCACAAGTGACCAAGATAGAATTTCTCCTTACAATATTAATACAATACCTATCGGGTAGTTTGTGAGAATAAAGAAAAATATCAACTATGGGTCTATTAGTTTATCTAATACCAAATTCTCTGAACTAACATCATACGAATTGTATGGCAGACAGTAAGGAGAATTACTGATGAGATCTTGGGAGTGAAAGGGTTAATGGCATTCTTTTGCACAAATGCATAGAAATTACAACTAGAAAGGGGGCTTTTATGGAAAGGTTTAAGTGAATTACCTTATACTCAGGAACCTTCATTTTACCTGTCGTGAACAGTAACTTTTATCGAGGGTAGCGAAGTCTCCTAATCGTAAAATGATAAAACTGCTCGATAATAATTGGTCCGCTTAACCAATTTAGCTTAAACTCATGGTGGACTTATGACTGTTTTTGCGTTTTTCTGCTCAAGTTACAGTGGGCTATTTTAATCTGCAGAGCAGACGTAATTTTGGCAGGCGAGTGCTTAGTGTTATCTAGGAGAAAATTATAACTGCCGTCTTTGATTTTTACCGTAGTAGAAAGCTGGGGAGAGAAAGATATTTGTACCAAGGGGGTGAGCGACGGTCATAAAAGAAGGAGAGGAGGGAGGATGGGGCAATGGTCTTTTCGCTTTTCCGCGCCCCCTCCCCCCTCCCCCCACCGTCCACTCTAACTCTAAATCAAACATCGTCAGTCGAATAAGCGGTCGCGAGCCTCTTAACGTTAACTTGCCCTAATAAGACGCCTGCACTGCAGGCTAGGGCTATTTACGCACACTGTTTCTTTACTAAAAGTTCTACCAATCGTTGTCAACTTCGGTCTTTCGGTGTTTCCAAACGTTGGGTTTGATTGTTAGTTCACTTGACCTTGCAGAAACTCGAGTCCTTGTCATGGAAGACATGTTGGTTTTCCTCCAGGAGAAGGATCAGAAATACAGTTTGCTGTCATTAGATCAGAAGGTTAGGAGCGTGTTTACTTATGTAACGGATCGATTTCCTTCTCATGTTTGTTTCCGTGAAAATGTTATCATAAAATGCCGGAATATTTCTTTTAATAAGTTGTGCGACGGTTTCAACATGCTAGGTTGCAACAGTAGTTCCTAAGTGTCTTTGAAACACTTTTAATTTAACTTTATGTGCCTGTTACTCAAAGACAAGCCTGGTGACCCCTAATTAGCATGTGATTTTCAACGTTTGCTCTGAAGGTTTACAGCCACCTCAGGCGAAGAATAAAAGTAGCTCTGAGCTTACGATAAAGTGTTTTAGTTATCGATTCATCATATTATTGGTGTTGAAGATTATGAAACCACTTTCTCAACATCGTTTTTATTCTTTCGTTAAGGCCCCAGTTGTGAGGCTTAAAAAGCTCATTGTGCGGGAGGTCGCAACTGATAGAAAAGCCATCTTTCTTGTGAGCCCCAGCAGTCAAATACCAGAGATGTACGAAATAGTGTGTGAATCGGCTGCCGAAAAGAAACGGTGAGTGCCGAGCTTTCACTTTTCCTTGAAAATAGGTTAAGAGAATTTGTGGTCGCATAAATGATACATACAGGTGAAAGGTGTGTCAATTCTTGTCACCTGTTTACGAGATGATGTTTCGAAACTGTGAAGATAATTTTCTTTTTTGATCGTTTCTGATGGTTAGGCCCGGACTAGGTAACATCAGCTACATAACAACAGCGATGTAAAGAAAAGCTGCGATCTTTTGCTCCGTCGTTTTAAAACCTTACGCCCCTACATCAGTATGCATATTCTCCATTCTGTTCTCCATTCTGTTCTCCATTCTGTTCTCCATTCTGTTCTCCATTCTGTTCTCCATTCTGTTCTCCATTCTGTTCTCCATTCTGTTATCCATTCTGTTCTCCATTCTGTTCTCCATTCTGTTCTCCATTCTGTTCTCCATTCTGTTCTCCATTCTGTTCTCCATTCTGTTCTCCATTCTGTTCTCCATTCTGTTCTCCATTCTGTTCTCCATTCTGTTCTCCATTCTGTTCTCCATTCTGTTCTCCATTCTGTTCTCCATTCTGTTCTCCATTCTGTTCTCCATTCTGTTCTCCATTCTGTTCTCCATTCTGTTCTCCATTCTGTTATCCATTCTGTTATCCATTCTGTTATCCATTCTGTTATCCATTCTGTTCTCCATTCTGTTCTCCGTACATTCCCTAACGTGCTGACAAGAATAATTTTTTTGATAATCAAGACCTTCTTTAGTTGATGATCATTTCCTCTATTCTCACGACCTTAATGTGTGATTCAGAGGTGATTTTGTGAGGAGAAATTAGATGTTAGTCACTCTTAGGGGTTAAAGGGTTAAACCTTCTTTATAAGAGGTTCTTTGTGTTTGGGTAATGTTTTCACTATGTACTGTTGCTTGTGTGCGGGTTTGACCACAACAAGTCCTTTAGTTAACTAAAGAGATTGTTTGATATCCGCTAAATTGAGGAAAAAAGCAATGGTATGGGGAAAATCAAACAAACAGCAAAATGAACTAAAATCAGTTATTGCTTAGCTGAGCTTTTGCATTAGCACCATTGTTTTTGTGATACCGTCATTTTCTGTCGCTGTTTCCTCCATCTGGCGATGTCTTGCATGAGTGCAGGGTTTATATGTTAACGTATAACCTCTCCTGATTGTTTTCAGTTGGATGGAGATAATTCGCGATGCTGTGGCCAACGCCCCAGGAGATGAAAGTAAGTGACAGATTTTTATATTGAAACTGATTTATGCCAATCGGGGTTTACATTCATTTCTCGTTTGCCGGCTGTGCCAAGCATACCAGAGAGTCTGACAGAAGTAGTTAAGCTTGCTTACCCGATTTACTTCACTAAACTTCAGTGTGTATAAGCAAATAGTTTTGTTTTCAGTTTACCAACTGAGTGAATTTAATAGAAAACGTGGGTGATTTTCAATGAAACCTTTTTTTTACTTCCTGTAGATCTTGATGACTCTAGTCTCATCACCACAGCTGCAGGCGAACGAAGGAAGATTATATTACGTAGAGCCAGTGTACTTATTGGTTAGTATTCCTCTTTCTTCGTCGCTTTCAGTGTAATAATTTCCTTCAAATGAACAGCCTTTGCGCATGGATCCTTTTTTTTCCTGTCCTTTCTTTGCTTTCTACATGTTGACATGTGGTATTCGTTTTGTAGATCAAGTACACAACAAGGACCTTGAGGACGCGGATAGAGGAAAACATTTAGCTGAGATGCAGGTCAGTGTCTGATACTCCCAGCAAAACAGGTGCTAATTGTTTTTTATTTAGGCAAGCGGAGGCAAAGCGCGAGGCGAAAGCGAGTGTAGCTTGCGAGCAAGTCCTTATTATCAGCACTGATGGCCGCGCGTTTCTCTGCTCGCGGGAATATTTGAAGCGAGTCAAAAAGAGGTTTGCCAGGGGTCTGGCACTAATAATTATCGGTACCAGACCCTTGAAGACCTCTTCCCGTTCACATTGCTCAAGGCCTCAGACCTTTCGTGGGCTAGTTACGCTCAAGAGCACGGACGCTTACTCCTGCTCGCCTGACCACGTCGAAGTTCTGAATGCAGATTCGCACGCAAGCACATTAGCACACGTAACTCATAAACACGTCTAAACGCTTATGGATGTGCTCAGACAACACAACTCTTTAGCTGCAATGGGATTGACTATCCGTTGTTTCATATAATTGGATTTCTAGAAAAGATCGACATCGACATCGACACATGTCCGCTTGCGAATTGTTTTCATAGCCTTGTGATATTTTTCCTTTTTCAGGAACTCGTCAGTCAAATAGAGGCTATGGAAAAAGAAAAGGTAAGTGCTGTAAAGAACGTAAAACTAGAGAAGTGCCATGATAAGCTCAAGGTCTTGTGTATTGTTTATCTTTTTTAACGCTGTTTCTTTATTGGCGCGTGTTCTCCTCTTTTCAGTCTAAAGTGGATGCCGATAAAAGCAAAGAACTGGCAAAGACGAAGTAAGTGGATTTACCCCGTTTTTTTTAACCCTGAAACCCCTAAGAGTGACTGACTGATTTTTCTCCTGATTGTCATACAAATTCTCCTTGTCAGTATCGTAGGAATTGTGAAGAAGTCATTGTTGAGAATATAAAAGCTAATGTTAGGGTGCAATAAAATTGCACGAGCCCGTAGTGCTCGTTAACACCAAATTGCGCTCGAAATCATGTTATTTCATGTCACTCGTGTTACGTGAGAATGCAATCGTTTTCAGCAAATCAGAAGCGCGTAATTTTTCCTGTACATCATTATGCACATTCATTTATTGGCTTTGTTAGGGAAACAGTTTTATTGATGTCAGAACTCCTTTCTAGTGGGTTGGTTAACTTTTACGTCTAGCATGGTGATCTCATTTTGTTTTCAGGGAGTGCCTGATGACCACTATGCAACAGGTGCAATCTACATTATCCAGTGAGGATCCTTCATCTGAAGAGGCTCAAAGTGATACTCAAGGGAGCTCCTCGTCCTTATTTGTACCTGGAATTGGACCCAAGAGGGCCGAGACTTTTAGTGGCTTCGATAGCAAACTCAAACCCGATAATCTCAACAAAGACAACATCAATCGAGCGAGCTCTATGAGGACTGAGAGACCTGGGATGGGTTTCCCATCCAGGCAGTTGCCGGGTGCGGTCAGTCCAGCTGGTGGAGCTAGTCCAAAGATGAAACACAAGCGGCGGTCAAGCGGGGGAGGTGGAGGGTGGTCGTTCTTGAGCAAGAGCGGCGGAAAGGAGGACAAGGAACAGAGTGGAAGCACAGGTATGACAGGCTTCATGTGGCATACATTTAGCAGCACCAACAAACTCTATATTTCTTAAAAGGGAGAGGGTTTGGTGGAGGAGCCTTGAATGACATTATAAATAACGGGTGCGGAGTAGACTCTGTCCCTTACCAGGACAAGCCCGGTAGCAAGTTAGTTATTTATAAACACAATCGATTCTCGTGACCGAGACAAGAAATGAAGTTTGAGTGGTCGATTTCTTTTTTATCCATTTATCGTAATGATTATATATTCTCACCATCTTTTCAGGTGATTTAGCTTCTGATTCGCCGTCCTCATCTCCAAGTCAAACTCCTACACCCTCGCCGCTGCCCGGGCAAGAGGTGACTTTGTAATTTATTTTTGTAGTTGAAAGGAAATGCTTTGGTTTCACGATATCATTTACACAAAAAAATTTATCGACCTTTGCCTTTGGTCTATCTGAATGTATAGAGCTATTTTAATGATCTTTACTTTAACTTTTTCAACAGCCTGACGCCGCTACAGACATCGACGGGTAAGCTGGATTAACCCGCTTCTAGTAGTCAACTTTGACTTGGCCCATTCAACTGTGATAATAATTATTAGCGGAATGATTCGTTACATTCCGTGATTCCCACCAAGGATAAGGATGACGTTGCTGTTATCGTCGAAGCATCGTTACTTGTGCAATATAATGCACTTCTAATTTTAAATTACTAAAATGAAATGACCTCTAATAACTTAAATGTGATCCAGGCTTATAGCATATCGTCCTACGCAGGAAACTGCGAACTCCCCATACACCACTTAAGAGAAAATTAAGATATTTTTATGTGGCATGAGGTTCTTGTGTTAATGCTAAGCTATTTTTTTCTTGTCCTCTTTAGTGGAGTTAAGAGTGCGCGCTTTAGACCTGTAAAAGAACAAGGTGGCAATACGTCACCTCCGTTGCAGATCAAAGCTGACCATCAACAAGGCAGGCTCAAGCATAACCTCAGGGAACAAGTACAGCAACTATCGTCACCGCGCGCTCAGCGCCAGACCCGCCCATTTATTATTGACGAGGAGGACAAGGAACGAGAACAAAAAGACCAGAGTCCAGAAGGTGCTACCCAAGACGTTATTTATTTCTGATAGGTAAGGCGGAGTGGGTTTTACGTTTTTAGAGCTGAAGTGCCCCCCTCTCCCCCCTCTCTTGATATTTAAAATGAAATATGCGGAAGTGACGTCAATGGGCAATTATTTAGGGGAAGGGTGGGTGGGGATGATACCATTAATTTTTGTTACAAGTGGTAAGGCTATTTGAAGGCAATTAGAAAAATTTCCTTTACTGATCACGATTTTTTTTCTCTGCAGATATGGCTATGACAAATACTTTTTTTTCATTTAGGAGATATTCACATAAATCAAACTTAGTGAAAAAGTGTAAATAGAAGCGTGCGATCAGAAAAAAAATGTATGTACGTTATAAAATTCTTTTGTAAATTGACTTGGGTACAACAAATTGAATCATCGTTTTAATATAAGGACGCAGATAGTTTAACAATGACAACACGTGATTTATGGTCACTGGTTAGAAAACAATCGGATAACACCGTAGCGATAGATTTCAATCACTTATTAGGTAGACGCTGTGTGAAAAGGTATTGGTAAATACGTCATCTTTTTCATGCTCTTCAAATCTTCGTAGATTTCGTATTTCTTCTCCATGCGTGAAAGGGGTGAATAAATCCTATTTTTGTACAATTTATTTTTGGCTGTTATTTGCTTGCTTTAATATCAGGACTTCGTGTGCAGTACATTAAAATATCTTATAAGGTATGATCTCATGACCTCCTTTCCCCAGCCTCAGCATGAGAGCTCTCAACAACGGCTCAGCGTGACGGCTCTCAACAAGTTGTCGCCATAACGATGTGCGTTACATGCCTTCTCCTCAGGCGCAAGCGAACGTAGACGACTAGTAACAAGCGTAAGAGATTCAGGGCAAACTCTTCTCCTAATTTGTCTTTCGCGTTCCATTGCATCGGCTTATAACGTTTATTTTCTTCCCGCTGTCAAATTCGTCTGCAAAGGTTGAAACAGTGCTAGTGAATTCCATCCCCAGCCAGTTTCTTGCAACTCCGATCAGAGCGTTTAAAAAATCACTGAGTTCAACAGTCTAAATCAAACTAAAGAAACCTATCAATTGTAACTTATAACAGTAAGCGTTATTTTTTTCAAGCATGAAACGTCAGCCGAGTTTTCATCCCCTCTCACGCCGTCGACTACTGTGCTGCTGTTTTCCGCGCTCCCACCAAATACCTCATTAAGACATCTCCATTTAGAGGGGATGATGAAAAATTGGTCCAAAGCTGGAGATGTTTGAAGCAGGATCACTTGCCATGGGTTTAAAAATGTGGGGGCTCCTCTGATTTGGAAGCAAATGGGCTACTGATGGGGTGTCACCAGGTTGTTCGGCTACACCCTACTGGAATGAAAAAAGTATTTGTCTCGCGCTATTGTTATTACACCCGCTCAAGGCCAGATGTGCACTCAGCGGGGTGCTTTTTGGAACAAGAGGACTCTTAAGTCATTGTATTTAACAATAAAGCAACTTATGGGAAAATTAATAACGGAGCTAATGGGTAACTGAGCTATGAAGCGACCCGGCTTGTAAGCGGACAGAACGAGAAATGCAGCCATTAGACAGCAAGTTTTGACATATTGTTTTTAGATACGATTGAAGGGATATTGGTATAATTTGTGGCCGATTTGTGATTTTGGACATTAGTGGCCGATTTGTGATTTTGGACTGTAGTGGCCGATTTTTAATTTTAGTGGCCGGTTTGTGATTTCGGGCATTAGTGGCCAATTTTGATTTTGGATTAGAGTGTTTGGTCAATAGTGGCCGATTTGTGATTAAGGTGTTTCTTTATTTTGTATCGCTGTTACGACGTAAGAAATTTGAAGCATGAAGCCTGTATCGAGCCAGCCACAATTATTGGACACCCTGTATCAAACGGACAGTAGCCGTGCGATCACACGGTCTTCTGTCGGGAGAGCCTGATAAAGTAGCTGTGACCGACTCTTACGCTGCTTCACTGCCGTGATTCTCTAATACAAAGATTACTTGATCGCAGGTGAAGTGGACACTGGCACCAAAGTTATGCGTATTTGTTGACTGAAACCTTTATCAGGTGGACAGGTCAATGGAAAATTCGAGTTTCATTTTTATCCGATTAAAGTTTATGAGATTAAATATTCTCTACTTTAAGACGTTTATTCTGGTAATTAACTGATATTCTATCCACCCCAAACATCTAGAATCGAAAGGTCCTCCCTTTTCTCTCTTGGGGTTTCACAGTAAATAACTAGTACTAAATCCTGCAGGTGAACGCTTGAAAGAGGTCTCGACATAGAGTAGTCGTTTGTAAGGGGAGAGTTACGCCAAAGAGAGATTGATTCAAAAAGGGCAGATATGGATTAGTACATGGAAGATTAAGGAGGACGGTGAGTGATAAAATTCAGTTATTTAGGGTAAACTTATTACAATATGCTAACCGAGAAGTAAGTCCCTATTGAATTTTTAAGAGTTCTTGCTTATCCAGAAAACTAACATGACTGACACAAAAGCTAAAAACATCTTCGAACGTCATTGTTCACGTTTTATTGATATTTTCTAGATGTGTTAACGACATTTAAACAAAAATAGCAATTACTTATATTGGCTGGTTGAGTTTTGTGCCAATTGATGAACCTCAGTGATTTGATATATCACGCACCAATCCTTGGGTATGTTTGAATGAAACTGAGTAGGATTTGCTATTCGATGGTAACTAGAAAAACCTTGTGTGTGAAGTTTTACATGTAATCTGTTCCAAAAGTGGTCTTAAATCAAGAAGGAAAAATTGTCAACCAAAAAACGGAAAAAACAGCCAATATATTGGCTTGACAAGGAATCGCACGGAACCTCTTTGAGCTCTGACGTCATGCTTTGTGACGTCCTTACACTTCCTCCATTAAGGAGGATCTTTCCTTCAGACCGCAAAACTGCCTCCTCGTCTCAAAAGTTTATACCTTTTTTTAAAGATTTTGTTTCGTCGTTCATTTTAATTCCTAAAGGTACACGAAACTGAAAAAATAGAAAAATGAAAAATGACCTCATAATTCTGAAACTGAAGTCCGTAGCATGTGTTGGATTCGATCCAAGGAGATTTTCCCTTTCTATCATTTGTGACTGTAAACTCTGGCGCTATTCACTTTCGGTTGATGACAATAAATTACTGATCTTGAATTAGTAAAATGACGTAATAGTTAACATAAATAATTCCCTGGTGTCAGAATTGTATTTTTGGCAAGACTTCAATCCGTAATCAGGCGCCTTCGTCAATTGTTATGTAACCAGACAATAGAAACGTAGGAGCGCTATAAGGATCCTTTAAGATTGCTTCACATGGAAATTCCCAATCTGAAAAGAAAAAAGAAAACCCAAAGAAATTAAATAACTCGAGAAATACTGAGGTATACCACCAAAGGTAACTAGTTGTTACACTGTAGTAAAATTACAAAATCATGTCAACTGCAAAAGACATAATTAAAAACTGCCCATCGAGAGGTTATGTTTCTGAAATCGTACTGTCATTTCCGTTTGCTTCATTTCCGGTTTGCCTTCGAAATACCCATTGTTTCCGGTTGAAAGAACGCGATGATCTGTTCTTCTTCAGACTGTCGAGCGTAAGACTGGTCCTTCAAGACCTTCGAAGAGAATGATCTCTCGGGTAACGAACTGAACAGCTAACTATGCATGTTTAATAAGTCTTGTTATGACTATGTAAGTTGACAGTTTATAAAGGGCTGTGATACCGCAGAGCAGAGAGGAAAAAAAGTTTCCTGTGGAAGCTTCAGCGTTTTGAAATATTGAAGCAGATAAGTTCTAATTTCGTCCTAGAGCTACTTTTGTTATCGACGATAGCAATGATCTCAATTGATCTATTTTTGTTGTCGACTATTCTTCGGAACGCATAGCTCTAATGCTATTCAATTTAGGATATTATTCCAAACCTTTTAACGCCGTGAAACAACTGAATAAATTGTTTTGTGCCAATACAGTATCGTTACGCCAAACTATCGCATGACTATAAATAGATTGGTTGTGTGGTTCAAGTGCTTATTAGCTGGAATTTTTTCTGTTGATATTTCCCGTAGCCAATTTTCTCGAGGGAATTAATATGGTAGACGGTGCATGAAATCGGGAAGAAAAGAAAACATCGCTTAACCTCTCCTGTCATTAGGATTATTTAATATTCCCGCCTGTGGGAATTATTAAACAGTCTTGCCGAGGGTTCTGCTACGAACGCAGCTAGTTTATATTCACGCAAGCGTCGAAATGAACGTCGCGACGTGATTGTAAGTGCGGGATTGTGTAACTGCGTGGAAGTAAAGTCGAAGGATTAGATCTGAAACTCACCCTATTATGGTTTTTTGATCAAATTTTTAAGAGGGTTACCGGAAACCCAGACGACTGAACGATGATCACCGTGGCGCATGAAGAACGTGCTGTGACTGTAACTCCTCGAAACAGAGCTAACTTTCGAAGGCTCAAAACCAATAGCATACAGAGTTATAAACGATGGGAAAAAGAGAACGAACTTCTGTATGCCATGATGGAAGACGAGAGCGAATGGCTGGCAAAGTTATTTCCCGATGTTGTTATAAGTCCCGACTTTTTTTTCTACGCTTTGGAAGATGGTTCACTACTCTGCCGACTTGCGAACTACATCCAAGAGAAAGCGGAGACTTACTCTCGGGAGCGAAAAATCCCAGTACCAGGGGAAAAATTTCGTTATCACACAATGGGAAAATGCAACAAAGAAATCAAACTCTTTAAGTCAAGGGAGAATGTGCAACAGTTTCTAACGTGGTGCCGAAGTCATGGTATTCCCGAAGCCATCCTGTTCGAATCGAACGACGTTGTCCAAGTAGACGATTACCGAGAGGGCTGCAGAGGTATCATAATTTGTCTCATGGAAATTGTTAGAAGGACAGCTAAGTTTGAACTCGACGAGCTTCCCCAGTTAATTCAAATGGAGAAAGAAATCGAAGAGGACGAGGCTATGAATGATACGGATGTATCGGACGAACAAGGGCAAATTTTGAACGTGGAGCAAATAAACATGAGTGAATTTGACAACCTTGAAGTACAACAGACAGATCAGCCAGAAATCCAAAGCCCTAGTTCTTTAGACTCGGATTCTGGAGTTGACTCTGTATTTGATCAAGAAGAGGGGGACAGCGCAGCGTCTCGTTTGACGGAGTTTTCTGTGGAAGAGGAAACAACGAAAGCCACAGCCGTGGCAGGAAAACAAACTCCATCGAAACCAAAAGATCGAAAAAGTTGTCCGAAAAGTCAGAAAAAAACTGATGAACTTCCTTCTCTACTTGATAGCAAAGGACCAAAATCGGAGTTAGATAAACAGGTAAGCATCTATGCCTATTTAACGTTAATTTTCACGTAACAAAATTTTGAAGGACTCCTAATTAACTATTCCACGGAAGAAGAATTGACCCGAGGGTTTTCATTATGACAACTTCAAGAAAGTGTTTGCAAACATCCATTCAGGCGTTTACTTAGTAGGGGGTGCAATTCCGCCGCTATATACCAATTAATATGGTCATAATATTGCGACGAAATATTTTTTGAAGCAAGAAGTTGAAACAAAATTGAGTAGTTTTATCAATATCGTTTTCGATATGAATACTCGTCAATCCACGAATTATGCAAATATACTCTGTTTATGTTGATCGACTGAAGATAACGGTGCTCATATTACATTTCTACGCACGTTTCGTCTGAAAAGTACAGTTGTTAGATTCAGAGTTTAATCTACTTTTCTCAAGGATCTAGATTACAGCCGTAATAAGCTTGAAAACAAAACAGTTTGGTGTTGGATGAAATAATAGCTATTTAAAGTGATACTAAAATGGCTAGCATATACAATAAATTAATTTCACATTGAATATAATTTGGCTAAGCAAGGACATCTGTCTCCTCAGGGCAGCCAGCAGATGGCTTAATTTTATTAAACGGTAATTTTAAACGACTGATATGATCGTCTGTGTCAAGAGTTTAGGTTTCTCTCCGTGAATTTGTTGACAACAAGACTTCTAGCACCCGTGGAAACCAGTTAAATGCATTTTTAAATAGAATCTTCCGATTAGAAATCATTTGAAATGCAGCTGAGAGAAAAGATCACGCTAACTACGCATATCAAGTTTTTCCAAACAACGCGAAAATTTTGTCAGGGAAGGGTTTTGTAGAAGTGATATTACAGAAATTTAGATGCACGGTAGGTGGTTTTCTTTCTTAAGGAAAACAATAAACTATTTGCATAAGAATAGCCGAAACCATTTAACTTTTGGTCGCACACATTTGTTTAAGAGCAGTTTTGCATGTCTAGTAAATATTGTTTCTCCCACCCGAAGAAAAGCCTTTGATCCGAAGAAGAATTAATTGAATATGACATTTAATGAAATGAATATAACGATTCTTGGATCACGAATAGAATAATCACCGCTATTTTCTAACGTTTCATAGGTGGGGATAAAAAGTTAATCCACAGCTTAATTTTAATACCTATTACTACATAACTACACAAATGTAGCACAGTGAGGTGTACCTCTACTTCTACACATATTTGACATCTTAGTATTTTTCTTTGATAAATCATTTCAAAGAGCACTCCTTGCTTGAATGAAATCACACCAAAATCAATTATTTTTTTGTTTATAATACTACATATACATGTATATTTCTAACACTGGGGTAAGGAGGGAGAGTTGATTCCTAAATTCTGAAAAAGTTGAACTTTTCAAAATTTCTTACAGTTTTTATGTGGAACATTTCTTAATTATGGACCCTGTACTTTCTACACAATAACACAGGTGTGCAAGCTTGCTCAAGATTATGACATAAAAGTTGTTCACCGACTGAAGGAAGGAAAATACATTATTCTTGGAAGAATCATGTTTGTTCGTGTAAGTGGAGCTCAGTTTAACCCTTTGACTAGCATCTAATATCTTGTTACATTATCACCCCAAAATCACACATTGAGGTCACAGGAATAAGAGAAATGATCCCCAACTAAAGAAGCTCCTGATTTTTAAACAAATTCTCCTTGTCAGCACCTTAGGAAATGTACAGACAACAGCAAGGAGAATATGCATTCTGATGTTAGGGTGTAAACGGGTAATGGAGTTTCCTTGATAGATGTGTGTTTCACAAAATAAATGGATCTAGAGAGGTATATGTCCAGGAAGTAGGGGGTGTAAATTAGGTTTAAAGTTTTTAATTAAAGGAGGGGAAAATCAGCCTTGTAATAACAGAAAATCTTTTATACTGATTTTTAGTCTGGCCGGGCATGTGGGTTACTTTGCCATCTAGGTGAGGAATTGGGATCAGTGGAATATTGGGGAAGCTGATTATGGCTTATTTTGGTGTTTCTTTGTGTAGTGATGTACATGAAAAAATTATATGTTTCTGATGGGCTGAAAATGAGTGCATTCTAATGTTATAGGAGTGCAAAGTTGTAACATGAGTGCAAATTACAGTAAGAGTGCACACGCTTTCAAAATTTCCTTCATCTTGACTTTCTGTGATGTTTTTTCATGTATGTTACTTACAGTAATAAAATGATTTCTCCTGCAATTTGGTGTAATAAGCACTTGTAAATTTTCAAAGACTACAAATTGCACTTGCCCTATGAGCTTATGCAATTTTGTTGTCTTTGAAAAACTTACTTATGCTTATTGACACCAAATTGCACTTGAAATGATGTTATTACCTATATTAACAAATATTACTTTAGAAAAGGGTAATTAAGTATTATCAACTGAGTTATTGGTGTAAATTGGCCACTGTAAAGAGTTTCAAAGCTGACATCTTGAGCATTGGCCTTCATCAGAGCGAATGATGAAAGGCTAATGCTCAAAATGTCAGCCTTGAAACTCTCTACAGAGGCCAAGTTGCATTATCAACTTGGTTAATGATACTTAATTACCCAGTGATATTCTCCCACTGATGCAGCACCACAGTTTCTTTAGAATGGAGAGAGTAGAGTTGTAGTTGTTAAGGAATAATCCCTCCTGGTATGGTAAATTAGGGGTTATCATAGGTGCTGAGGAAGGGGAAGGAAAGATGTAGGAGAACACATGGGGAGGGGGGGGGAAATTGTTGTATTCCTATTTCATGCTTTTTTTTTTGTTTATACCACACAACCCACCCAGTCAGTCAATTTTGGTGATAAGTAATTCCTAATTTATCATGTTTAAGGTCTTGTTATCATCAATTTAACTGTAGATGTTGAATGATCACATGTTGGTACGTATTGGTGGAGGATGGGATACTCTTGAACATTACCTAATGACTCATGTGCCTTCCAAGCAAGGTAAGGAAGCTTGATTATGATAATAATAACAAATAATCAAAAAGTTAAATTATTTCTAATTTTATCCTTGCTATTTTCTGATTTCAAAGCCATTTGTAAAATTTTTTAAGCTTTTGAAGTTTATATGTCGTTTGCTATTTTCCAAATACATGAAACTGAGTTTCACACTTAACAAGGAGGGATAGTCGCAAATAAATTAACAGCTGACATGAGTTGTGGCTGATTGAAAGGTAAATAATCTTAAAATCCATTTTTGGTGATCTTCCACATCAAGAAGCCAATGCCAAGAGAAGAATGGAAAATAGAAAAATAAATTTCTCCATTTGATACCTTTTATCTTGTGTTTGTTGCTCTGTTGCCTTTGATTTCGCCACATGCCAGAAAAGCTGCAAGCTTAGTAGGCTAGGAAACCATTCTAATCACCTGTCTGAAAACTTATTGGCTACCTGGTAATGACTTATGAGCATATGCCTTAATGCACACAATGACTGTAAAGCTTACTTACATAGATGGAGTATTTTTAAGTTTTAAAATATTTTGAGTGACTTTACATTTGAAAAATATTGAAAGGTACAAGACTTGACTACAGGTTTAAATGAATGCTTTAAACTTCAATATGATGGAAGACATCTTGATGAAATGGACTAATATAATATCATGGTTGTCATAGCTAAGGGTAGAGGAGGTCCAGCATAGGTTAAAAAAAAAATCATGAAACTCTTGAGCAAATATTTGAAATGATGACGTTATTCTCTGGTAAAGAAAGTCTTAGGTCCAAGTGACTATCGACCTGCTAATTGAGGAACAAACACTAAATAAACAGTGAACTCATGAACAAAGTAAATCAAAAATTATATGACTCCCACATTTATTTAAGGCAAAAGAACCAACTCAGTTCAGGTATAGACTGAAAGGAATGAACATGGTAACATGCTATGGCAATTCGATGGTTCCTACTGAAAGCTTTCGAACATCATTAATTGTACCGAGACATGAATATAAGCCAAAGTTTAAAGCTTAAAAAAATAATTAGAGTGAGGTTATATTTTTAGCTCTTAGTCATTATTGTGAGTTTCTGGAAGATTCCTTGTCAGTTATATCATTCAACAGCAATGAATGAAGAATATCGATTGTACATATTATTGTTGTTTTCAAATCGTGCTCCAAATTTTCCTCAACTGTAGCTGTCGCTGCCATTCCCTTCAGGAATATAATTATTTTGAGGACATAAGATTGTACAGTACAGTACAAAGGTCTTGCATGGCTGACTCCTTTGTTACTTAATATTGGAGTTGACTTCGAATATTGCGTCAGTTGTTAGAGTCGATTGAAAAGTTTAAATGCAAATTCAAGAAAAAAATTTAAGAAAAAAACGTAATTTTATCTTGGATCGCAATACTTTGACTCTTTCTCAGGGAGATTACAGGTGAGTTAAGGTAGGGTTACCAACCTTTAAGGCTTTCCGAGAGTTAAAGCATCATCGAATTCCTCCTTTTGGATTCTGTCTTTGAGTTTGACATTTTTTTCGTTGTCAAAAATATCAAAATACTTTGAGCAACATTATCAAGCGAAGTAGCTACGCGAGACATTCAAAATCTTGTCACTCTGACAGCACAGAACTAGCGACCCTCCGAGGCAAATATTGTGATTTGCATACCAGCTGATTCAATGAATTCGTCCGCTCGAAATAAACATCACCCTGACAGCTTTTGTCATTCTCATGTTCTGATTGGCTGATATGCCGCACACACCCTCAAGTTGTCAATTTTTTTGTCTGACTCGCCCAAAGATTGCTTCGATTACTCCTGATCAATCATAAACTCGTTATTCATTCGCGAGTGTCGCGACAGCCACTGTGGAACTTTTTGGTGACTCACTCCTTCCTCACTTTTTGTCGCATCCTTCCCAACAAGTGTTTCCTGGTTAGATCGCATTTGAAGGTAAATTTGCTCTCGTTAAGATCTTGATGTTTTTATTCATGCATTGCGTCTCGTCTCATCAGATGCTTTGTGATCTTGGTTTTGTCTGAGCCATGATAAAAATATCTTGTATGTTAAAGGAAAATCGAGTCAAATCGTCAGAATTGTTTGATTGTGAGACGCACAGGCGCCAAAAGAGGGTCGATGTTAAAATTAAGAAAAAAATACACAAACTTGAAGTTTTGCGGTACTTCGTTGGCGAGAACATTACATCAGCATCCTAGGACGTACAATACCAACGCCATATGCAAGCACAAATCATCCGCGATCGGAATATCGGGCGTTTGATCGAGGCTTCTATCGAGTCATCTACAAAGTCCTCTGAAGCAAGCCGTCTGTGCATGTTCAAAACAGAAACTGAAAACTAGTTGATTGCATGTGTATGAAATCTGTTACGTTTAAATTTGCCTATTTATAAGAATTTGACAGTTCTCGCTGACAGACCACGCTGCCATGCCTAAAACTGAAAATACAAGGCGTGAAACTTTTAAATTCTCAGTCATCTCTCGTCGTTCGGATTTTTGAACTTCGAACACTTGATCAGTGTAACGAGTGCTAATTTATGTTTTTGCGAGCGCTTTCGTTTTTTTTCTTCTCGTTGTATATATTACCATTTTAGTTTTGGAATGCCGCTAGCAATCCCTGACCAAGTCGCCAGCTAGGTTCAAAACAAATTCATGGCATGTTCATTTCTGTGTAAGTTTCGCTTTGACAAGCATGCGTTAGAGACGAGGAACCTTTGAGCAAAAAAAAAAAATTGCGTAGTTATCACTATGTAGTTCGAAGTATTGTCACTTGGTTGGAATGATTACTTAACAATGTACTCTTATGTAGGAAACTATCCAATTTGAACAGTATTGCTTTTGACGGAGTAAACGAAATTAATTAGATCTCTGAGCTGTCATACGCATGAATTGTACTGTGTTCAATATAAGACCAATTTGCGTGACAGAATTTTTTACACATCTGATAACATTCTGTTGATAAAAAAGTAGAATCAATTTGAACGAAAGTACACAAATTATGTTCTTGTCACAGTGATATTGACATCAATGTACTGCAATACGTACAGATTTTAAGGATCTATTTAAAGGTCATGTTTTTTCCCCCAAGCAAAATGTTTACTTGGGAAAATTTAGACTCAAGTTACCGATTGAAATTATCTCTCGACTGTGGGGTCAATAACCGGCAGTATTTACTGATTTCAATAAATGGCCACACCCTGACAGCTTTTTACAGATAGTGTTTCAAAGGAGGTCTCATGGTTAAGTCCCACTGTTGTGAATAGGCAACTAATTTGCATTGGACCAGTTAAGACTTTTTCCACTGACATTCTTGGCACTGCTAATATTTAAATTGAAGGTTATTTCACAGACTGGTATATTTTCTGTTTAAGGTTGTCTTAGGACTGAGTTACAAAACATTTCAAGAAAATGAAAATAATGTGTAGGTTGAAATTTATGTGATGTTGAAAAAACAAATTTTTCCTGAGTAACTACCTCCACAAACCCACTAATCATTTATAACATGAAATCAGTTTACTGGCCTAAAGGCCCATACCACCCAAGTTTGGTTGATCTAGACTGCTTACATAATTTTTTTTTCTTTTTCCCTAAGCAGTCACAGAATACTTTACTATTAAGTAACATATCCCTGGATGGTTAACAGAAATGGATTATTAATTGAGAAACATATAATGAAAAGAAAAACACCACATTGTTTTATATTGTTTTTCTAAAAAAACTAGTGACAGAAAATGAAATTATTCACAAATATTTTCTTATAAGTTCCACACAGTCACCCTTGATTTTCTGCAATAGATTGAATGGTTCTTATTTCATAATATTGGACAACTATGAAAACCTCATGCTGAGTGAAACCCTAAGATGATTTTGTAATACATTGTTGAGAGCCCCCATTGCTTAAATGACCTCTTAACCCTTTTGCTTCCAAGATCTCATCAGTAATTCTCCTTACTATCTGCCACACAATTCTTATGGTGTTAGTTTGGAGAATTTGGTATTGGATCAACTTGTAGTCCCTTGACTGAGTTTTCTTCTTTATTCTCCTCACTTGTCTGCTTGATATTGCATTGACACTGTAAGGAGAAATTCTCTCTTGGTCAATCATGGGGAGTAAAAGGGTTAATTATTGGGCCATATATTTGTAACTGAGAATCTTATTTTGGTCATGAGTGGCTTAGACTTAACAACCCTTTGGTTTCCATGGAAGATGGGATGACTCAGTTGTTAGTGTGCTGAAATATCAGTCAAAATATTGGGCTGAGTCATTGTGTTGTGTTGCTAGGTGAGGCACTATACTGTCACAGTGCCTCTCTACACCTGTACCTAAATGGGTGCAGTCAAACCTCAGTTATCCAGACTTGAGGCAACTGGGCTTAATACTCTGGATAATCAAGAGTCCAGATAAACAAAAATATGTATACAAATGTTTGTAGATAATAGGACCAGATAGGCAAGTTCAGGTAATCAAAAAATCTGGATAATGGAGGTCAGGTTAATCAAGGTTTGACTGTACCAACAAACTGAAGCTTAATGACATGGGAGTAGGGGGTGGGTAACCCTGTAATGCACTTGAACCTATGTAACGAGTGGAGTTGTAGTTCTCCCAATTTTTTCTGGTGGCAGGGACTGAATTAAACCTTGGCAGGCCTTTTGGTTCTACTCTGACTTCACCTTTATAACAGTTGGTTAGTTAATTGAGATAGCTTCTCAGGAAAAATTGTGTAATTGTAAGGTTCATTTTAATTTTCAGTTTCTTGAATGATTTGTATATTAGTCCTAAAAATATTTTTTTATTGTTAAAAGGAATAAACCTAATTGAAATTTCTCTGTAATGGTTAGCATTTAAGTAACTTTCCATTCAAAGGGACCACTGACATAGTATATAAGGAAAAGAGTTGAATAACGTCTGGATTGGGTTTGAGTTTCACCCAATTATGAAATCTTGGGATATCTTCAGATCTTGGATGATTTGCATGTTTGCAAATTATGTGTATTAAGATTATTACCTTTAGTTCTCTTTTTTTATTGTGTAAGTTAGTTTGGCAAGAGGTTTTGTTTGTATTACTTTGTAAATTGCCTCAATTCGACATTCTTAATCTTTTCTACAAATTTGTTTTGTTTCTCTTGTTTGTGGAAGGTTACAGGATTTTATTGCGTGCTGCATAGGGCTAATTTGTATTTAATTTGTGTGTATTTGTTAAAAACCGTCTGCCTAATTATTTATCATAAATTGTACAGAGCAGAATTCAGCGCCTTGTTGTCTATTGTTCTTCATTGCTTGTATTTCGGTGGCTGACGGCTTAGAAATACATTTGAATGAGTCCGTAGAAAAACTATTAAGAAATTCAAAACCGCGATTAAAATTAATGAAGGAGGTAACTGAATGGATATTGGAGGCGTTTTAAATCTAAATTTAATGCTAAGGTCAATTTTGGTGAACAAAGTTTAGGTCAACTGTATAATGGAACAATCTCCGTTATATATAAAAAAAACTTCAAGGTTTGGCAGGCTGGGTTTTTTTCGGTAGCTTTGGTTCAAAAAGAATGTGTCACTGAGGTATTACGAGTGGCTCTATTTTGTCTCTGGTAATCGGGTTGTTATATTTTTACATAATTTTAATGAAAATAACATGTTTTTCGTGCATTTTAATAAATGAACGTTCCCTCCCCTTTTTTATCGCCGTGTTTTGTCTGTTTTACAATGTTAGTGCATGATCTGTTTTACACCATTCTGATGACTCCTACAAAGGTACCTTTACGTGATTCATATCAGAAGCTGGAGGCTTTAGATGCAAACCACCGTTAATTTAAATATGATTGCGTGTTGTCGGCAACTGTAGCTTAATTCTCACTGCATGATATTTTGTTTATAGTCGCGATTTCTGGTTTGTGTCATTGAATAGAAAGGCATTCCAAAAGGGATACGCCATGTGGTTTTATTTACTCCATCCCGGATAGAGTGTAAATTTGTCGGCGGTTTCATTTGGGTGGAAGACAGCTGAGAGTAGACTCTTCCTCTAGCTAATTGGTTTGACAATCACGAATATACATTTATTAAAAATACCGTTTGTGTTTTACAGCTCTTGAGAACTCTAGTGCTACACCAAGTTTTCAGTCTCCTACCAGTCCACGAAATTCCATATCGACAGGAACTGGATGCAGAAAGAGTTTGTTCGACAAGGTTAAGAGGAAAGAACAAATTGGAGTTATCAGTAGAGGTAAATAACTTCCATAAGGTACCCCTCAAACGAGCCGCAAGCATATACCAGTATTGTCTTATGCCATGTTTGAAAAATGTACATATCTGATGTAAAAAGGCTTTTTGTCTGTATGTATTAATATTTAATTTTTTCCGTCTCCAGACTCGCCAGTTTATTCCTCGCAAGGAAGCTTGAGTCATCCTTTGGCGTCTCAGTCGACACCAAATCTAAGAGAAAAGCCAAAAAAGTTGTCTGTTGTCGAAAGTGACAAGAAGGACATCACCGACGCCATTCGAAAGATCGAGTCATCCGTGTCACAGAACTTAGCTTCAAGGCCCGTTAGTTTCACAAGCAAGACTTTTCATCAACTGAAAAGTCGTTTTGACAAGGGAATCTTTGGATCCAGCAGGCGAACTTCATCTCCCGATCTTTCGGTAAAAGGAAAGAGGATATTGAGGCGTTTGAGCGACACTTCTGCAATGGCGGACATAGCAACCACGCTTTCTTTCGACAGGATGAACGAAGACCAACAGCAAGTTACCAGTGCTAATAATAATGATGCCGATCTGAAACAACCGGAGTCCGGCGATGAAGCGTTCCCAGGGAAAACAACGGCGCCAAGAGAAGACTTATTCGGGAACGAAACTCAACAGAGCAACGTTATGCCACCCGAACAAATTGCCATGGACGAGACCGACAGCTCAGAATCGCGAGGAGATCTACCTTCCACGGATCACGCAAACGATTCTAATTGGACTGGAGATTTGATCGGTGGTCCAGTAAACGGGAGCGAAAACTTACAACATGGTGATCAGGGGAAGACTTTAGTTGATGTTTCGTCGTTTGATCCTCTCGCACCGACAGGTGAGCAGGACCAACTAATTTCGACAGAAAATGTACCTTCGGAAGTAATCGAAGAGAGGCCAAAGGCTGCGGGCGATGTTGAAGACGATGCTGTGGTTGGCAATGGTCACCTTGAATTAGAAAGTGTTCCTGGGATTGTACACGAAACAGCAGAAATGCACGACGAGCTAATCACGATGGAAGCAGATGATAGCGCGCTGGAATTAACACCCCGGATTGACCTAGGTGATTTGTTAGCGGACTCCCAACCAGTAGAACAAGTCACACCGGAGTCGCAGGAATCCACAGTAGAGTCTTCACCTCCGTTTGAGCTAGGAGATCCCCGGGTGGACACAAAATCAATGGAAGCCGAGAAGGAAGGAGATTTTGTTGAGCCCTCGCCTACGGAGTACCAGATTTCTGAAGTTGAGGCCACGAATCCTTTTGAAGAAGTCACATCTGATAACCGGTTCGAAGGGAAGGACGTCCAAGATGTCCCCTCTATTGAAATAGATCCTGTTGAGGAATCTCCTAACCGGGAAGAAGCTACTCAGTTTGAAGAGCCAGCGCGTAACCAGGAATCTGCGGTCAATTCGGAAGGAGAGATTACCACTCCTGTGTTGGACGAAATCACCTCTGAAGAGCAGAGTCAGAAAGTAGTCGAGTTTTCTTATTTAAAGGAGGATGAAAGTATGGAGGAAACTTCGAATTCCAAGAACGAAGTAAGCTTTTCAGAAGAAGAAGCCAAACCTGCAGAACTTGAAGCCACGCCTATGATGGAAGAAGCTAAGTCTGTAGAGGCAGAAGTGGATACTGTAGGGGAAGAAGCTAAGATTGCTTTGGAAGACGTTCATTCCGTAGAGGAAGAATCTACGCCCACGAGCGAAGAAGTAACGCCTGTAGAAGTCGAAGCCAAGGTTACAGAAGAAGAAGTCAAGTCTCTAGAGAAAGGAGTGAAGCCATTAGAGATAGAGGCTAGGCCCGCAGATGTAGAAATGAAGACTGCAGAGGAAGAGGACCAACCTTCAGAGGAAGAAGTAAAACCTGTTCAGAAAGAAGCCAAGCCTGCAGAAGTCTATGCTTTTATGTTTACCGACGAAGGAGTCGCGCCTGTAGAGGAAGAAACTAAGTCTACAGAGGACGAAGTGAAGTCTTTAGAGGAAGGGTTAAAGGCCTTAGAGATAGAGACCATGCCCGCGGAGATACGAATAAAGACGAAAGAGGAAGAAGGAAAGGGTGAAGTGGAAGATGTTCTTTCCATAGAGGATGAAGTCAAACCTGTTGAGAAAGAAGCCAAGCCAGTAAATATCTATGCTTTAATACCTACCGACGAAGGAGTCACGCCTGTGGAGGAAGAAGCCAAACCTTCAGAGGAAGAAGTCAAACCTTCAGAGGAAGAAGTCAAACCTTCAGAGGAAGAAGTCAAACCTTCAGAGGAAGAAGTCAAACCAGTTGAGAAAGAAGCCAAGCCTGCAAAAATCCATGCTTTACCAACAGAAAAGAAGATGGGAAATATTACAAAAACAAAGCCCCAATCAGCTGGTGTAAAATCAGCCAAGTCTCCCACCAAAGCAACTCCATCAACAGGGCCAGCTACAGCGAAAAAACAGCCAGGAGCCACAAAGCCTTTAAATGCAACATCTAAAAAAGATGTCAAAGCTCCAGCTACAAAAGTGCCAGCATCCAAACCTTCTGTTGCTACCAAGGCGCCGGCGGCGAAGTCAACAGCCACCTCCCCAGGCACAAAGAAACCCGCTGGTAAAACGGCAGCATCTAAGGTAGATGAAACGAAGAAACCAGAGAGACCCAAAAGTGCTGCTACAGCTCGTTCACCGACAAAGTCTAGCGTCACTAGCACCACTCGACCTGTTAGTGCGGTGTCTAAGAAAGTTCCAGCTTCCACCACAAAACCACCTGCCCGCAAGACCCCTGGTGTAGATTCCACTGACTCCGGAACACCGAAAAGTGCACCAAAAACTAGTGCTGGTAGGCCAGCATCTTCCAAACTAACACAAGTTAGAACGAGTTCGCCTGCAACGAAGCCCACGGCCACAAAGCTAAGCCGACCTCAGAGTGCAAAGCCTAGCGACAAACCAGACGGTGCAACCAAGACGCCTACCTCGCGACCACAGAGTGCAAAACCAAAGACGACCACTACGACTACAACTACTGTGAAAAAGACAACTACCACCACTAAGACCGGCATTGCCCCTATGAAAACTACTACCACAAAAACTGTGAAAGAAGTTAAGAACGGCCCGGTCAAAACTTCCACTACAACCACTAGACCTACAAAACCTTCTTCGACACCCAAAACTGCTGCCAAGCCCACGACGACCAACTTAAAATCAAAGCCTGGTGTGAAAACCAGTACAGCAGGTGCGAAACCGTCCACAAAAGCTCCGCCCATGAAGAAAGAAGACGAGGCAAAAGACAAACAGAAACAGATAAAACTGGATGAACCCGAATCCAAGGAGGAAAAAGTAGTCGAGCTTGTTGCTACCGAAAAACAAAAGCCCCCTGAAATTGTCGAAGCTGTTTCAGAGGAGAGACCTATAGAAGGAAGTCCCGAAGAGAAATTGATTGAATTGACACCTGTTTCAGCCTACGAACAAGCTCCCCAGTCGGTCGAAGTCTCTTCGAAGGGCGTCGTCACACAGATCGTCTCGAGCCAAACGACGACTGTTGTTGAAGATGGCGAAGAACAAACGACCACTACAACAACAGAAGAAACTGCCTTTGAACAGTTCGAGGGAGAAAGTTAAGGCTGTTAAGTACTTAGAACTGTAGAGGCGAGGAAATTCTAATTTTGTGAGGCCTTCATAGTTCCAGTCATGACAGAAAAAGGTCGAATCAGTCACATAAAAGGAACCAAGAACATTTGAATGAGACCCCAGAAAGAACTAACTGATCTTACGCTGTATTTTTCTTGTTAAAACCATAAGAAGAGGTGTGAAGAAAACAATAATTTAATTTAAAAGAGAATGTTCAATTTTCAAAAGCAGCGTAAATTTTCTCAAGATCGAATCGTCGTTTTCTTTTGTAATTTTGAAACTTTCACAGTCTCTTTAGTTATGTCTTCGGAATCATGGGACTTTCTAATGTTTGAAACTCTTCTGATGGTTGTCCTGTGGTCATGTAATTTTATTAAGACGCGTTGTGTGAAAATTAAGGGGGTTTACTTTGTTCACAAAGGTAAACCTGACTAGTCTTAAGAGAGAAAAGTATCTAGAATTGTCTGTATTTATACCAAGATTTGCACAGCCTTTTCAAACGTGCCGTCTAGGTTCAACTTCTAAAGATTTTCACACGGAACATGTATTATAAGATGTTATGTGACATTTTCATAATCAGGGTGTTGTTGAAGAGTGTCCACTATTAGTCTTTCTGTGTGGGTGTTCTATTATCACAGTGTTCATCAATCGAATTTCAACTATTTAAGAAAATTAACATTTTTCAAATCGATTTAACTGAGACACTGGGTGACACATCAGTTATGTAAGAGAGCTTCAAAAACTGATAGGCTTGTGACAACAAGTGACATAAAAATAGGGAAATAATGTATTTTGTGTTTTTGTAAATAATAGAGAAAAGAAAAGATTTCGTAACGTGAATCAGAGAAATAAAGACTTAATTTAAACAGCTATCTGTTAGTCTCTTGCGGTTTTGTTCAATCAAAGAAGACTGGTAGAGGGGAGAAAAAGAAGAATTTCCAAGACGGCATCCTAAATTAGCGTGTCTTTAGTACGAGTACGACTATGGTTAAGATTTTAAACTAGAGAGGCCAAATACCTCTCGGGTAGCCCCCTTCCCTCCCCCCCCCCTTCCTCCTTTCCCCTCAAGCCACGCCCTTGGCTGAAAACTATGCGTTCGTCTTCAGCGCCCCCTGCTTAAAAAATTGCTGCGCAGGCCCAGTTACTTCGTTCCAAAGTCAGATATAAATTTGCGAGAAAAAACTATATCTTAACTGCTGAGTAAGAGATGCCATCAGTATGCAAATTCTCCATACTGTTTTCTATAAATTTCCTGGAAAGCTGAAGAGGAAAATTCGTTTAACAATCAAGAGCTTCTTAAGTTGGTGAACTCTTCCTTTTTTCTTGAGACCTTAAGAGTGATTCAGGGGTGACATTATCGGTTAAATTAAATGCTACCCACTCCTGGGGGTGGAAGGTGCTATCTTGAGTGTTACATTTTAATTTTGGTTTAGTGTTCGTGTTCTGCGCGATTAACACTCGTGTACATTCTTTTAGGTTACCATTTAAATGGCGACTCTTGTGGCTTTGTGCCTCTGAGTCTCAATGCTAAATCTGTTGGTGTACTCTCTGGAATTGCGTTTGGACCGGAAGTCAGGGCTTTAAACTGACTATCGTCGTCCTCTCTTCCGGTCAACACCACGTCACGCAATTCCGGAAACTCGTGAAAGGGAAGGTACGCCTCGCCGTACGGCAAACCCGTTTCTTTTCTCATGGAGGTCGTTTCAAACGAGGTCTCATGCTCTTCCCAATGCCTATCGCATGCACAACAAAGAAAATTGGAGAAAAATTTGGAGCATCCACAGCCCTTTACTCGGCATCTCCGCAGTCCGGTGGGTTGATGTTCTTCGTGGGTATGTTTACACTTGCATTTGGCTCGCCAGGTGCTTGGGTCGTATCCTGGACGACGTTGAAGCCAAAATTCACCTGCTTCTTCGGGACGGGACGGGATAAAGGCAAAAGCTTTGCACTCGCAGCGCGTCGCACGACAAGGGACCATCACACTCTTCCCGGTGTAACTTGCATGATTACTGAGGAGATGGCCACAAAAACACTTTGAACTTTTAGAGACGCGAATACAATCATGCTGAAAATCTTGACACCTCCATCCAATGTACACCCCACTCTGGATAGCATCAACAGCCGCCTCGCGTTCGGGATCAAACAGCTTCTTGACCCTTGGAGCAAAGTCGTCGCCGTGCATGGCTCGAGCCACTGGCAGCAACTCAGCCTTTGAAGCAGGGATGATTGGACGCATGGTATAACCCTTGGGTGTTAACATGCCTTTTGATTTCGGAACCACTGATTTTTGTTGTTTAGGGTGCTGACCAGTAACTTGCCGCTGCGATGATTTTCCCTCTCTTGGATTTAAATGCGGCGATTTCGGCATACCCGTATTTTTTTGCTTGGTTAAAGGAGAGCTTGCAGCATATCTTGAGTAGCGATTCCCGGCAACTGGGCTCCGATCTCTCTGAATCGTAGATTTACCTTCGACGGAAGAGTCTCTCACCTCTAGGCTAAGACTACTGAGTGGTTTATTGAGCGCATCGGCCGATGGAGCAGGTTTTGATTTTCTGTTTTGCTTGGTTCTAGACGTTTCTGCGTACGCCATCTTGTGTAGCAACAAGGGTACGCGCGCAAGCGATATAAGGTGGTCAGCGTAATAAGATACTTCATTATGGTTAAATGACATTATTCAATGTTTCCAAGTCACGCAAAACGTTTAAACCGAGCTTGTAGATCCAAAATGTTAAGCCGTGACGCTTTTTACTGATGGAAAAGGGAAGTATTTGGCAAGATTTCCGCACAGCCCATTCTTCATTATATATGCAGTTCGTGGATAAAACAATATATTTCCTCTGAGACTGCGGCGTTGTCTTCGAATACTTTGGGGTTATAACGGAGATCATTCCTATCCTCTTGCGACCAGTTTTCTATCAGATCGGTCACGCAACTTCTTGTTTTTAGATATTCAGTTTTAAGATGAGGGATTCAAATGGCTTGGATTATCGTCTCAGGAAAGAGATGAGGTATGGCAAGAGTTTTTTATTTGATAAAAATAATAAACAATTATAAGTGGTAATACATAGGTTCAGATCAAATTGTTAATGAAGTGAAGAAATAATCTTTTCTTTCTCAGTTTTCCACAACTCTTTAAGGTCATCTTTTAAATTCTCTCCTCCAAAAATATAATCAATACTTTGAAATGTCAAGTTCCACACTTGTTCTTCTGTGAGGTTAAATGTCCTGGCCATCAGAGAGTATTCTTCGGATAATGTTGTAGAAAACACACCCTTATCATCAGTCTGTCAGACAAAATAAAACAACATCAAAATATAAAAAAAATACATAATGGAACAAAACAGTAAGAAAGTAAGTCATCTAGATCCATCACATGCAGTCTTCAATTCAGTGTCAAAAAGATTATATGGTAGAGAGATATTTAAACAATTCTCTAATTTCTCACATCACTTTCAAAAATAAGTGTGCTTATTTTTGAAATGAAGGTTGTGACTGTCTCGCAATACGATTGAGAGACAGTGACAGAGTGATGCCAAATAATTCCAGTTTTTTTTTTTTTTCAAAAATGACCCAGCTAATCAAAAATCCTAGCCTACAGTTTGTGGGGCACACCCTTATGCTAAAGCACAAAACAGTTTTTCTTTAAAATGTGCTTTATAATATGTTCTGTAAAAATTATCTTTGGAAGGAAGTTTAATAAGAACCCCTCCCCCCAAGCAATGTTGAAACTGACTACATATTTTCTGAATGTTTCCAGTATTCAAATCAACATTGCAAAGGAAGAGAAGGGTATCAGTAGTCAGCTACATGTTTTTTTAAAACAGGTTCAAGATTATCAACCTCTGTATTAGAACAGAAACTTAATTAGCTGGTTTGTCTAGGAATGTGCAAAACAAACAAGTGATAATGTTGAATATGAATACTTACACAAACAATACAAGGATGCTGTTTGCTGTACCAATAGCCCATGTGATGTTCAGAATATGATAGAACAGTCTTGGTCTTCACATTGGATGTGAGACAAAGTTCTGTTGTGAAACAAATGAAGTAACTTGAGTTTTCTGTCAAGGCTCTGCACATATAGAATTATGTTTCCCAATGGTTGTTTCAATGGACCATATTCGGTTATAAAAACTGGAATAAATGTGTTTATGTGTGGATGCATAGCAGGGCATGAAATTAATTTTTTTTTCTGACAGCCACTTGGCTCCTAAATTTACCAAACTGGTAGCCAATTCAAAAAAAGTTGGTCGCCATTTTGCAAGACAAACAAAACCTTTTTTTTACACTGTCATTGTTCTAGAAATTAAGTTAGGGAAAAGATCTTTAACCTGCTACAGAGTGGACACTAGGATGGATGTTATGCAACGTTGAAGCTAACCTAAATCCAAGATGGTGTCTAGTTATCAATTGAGATGCATCTGCTGCGTTTTGGAAACAAACTTAATGAGGAAGTTTGCTGCGGATTTGTCTTTGCAAATCTTTTTAATTCACTATATCTCTAGGTAAGGTTATGATGAAACATTCTAGTCACCAATTTGGCGACTAATTTTCAGGACTTGGTTGCCAAAGTGAAAAATTTAGTCGCATTGGCGCCTGTATTAGGCACAATTTCATGCCCTGCATAGGAAGAATATTTTTTCCTTAGGAAGTACAGTGGACCCAAGTCCTGACTTAAATGTCTTGAGGAATCCAGGGATATGCTTAGAATATGTGACACAATATAAATGATACATCCAGCACCAAATGCAACAGGTGGTTCCTCCGGTGTATAATAATTTTCTCAAAGACCATTCCTCTCTTGGTGGCTATAATAATCTAGAAAAAGATATCTCCTGGGTTTACCCACCAAAATCTAATGATCATTTGTCAAAGAAACCGCAATTTATTTTTAATTGATAAAACACATTTTCTATATGCCCCCTATCTGGTATGGACAAATGTGGAAGCTACCCTTATGATATGAGATAGCATTCATTGGATGGTGAACATTGTTCAAGTTCCAGACTCACCAATAGGAATAGAGTGTTCCTCTACTATGTTCACAAAATCTTCTGATCCACCATTTTCGGGATGAATACAGGTTCCATGTCCTATTCTGTCTGGGATTAAGTTTAGCAACACTCTTGATTCATCCAAGTCAGGAACCTAGTAATTACAGATATTGGTGAGATCACTGTCTACTTTGCAAAGTTTTTTGTATGTTGAACAGCAATCTACACCAGATGAGTCATCATTGGGTGGAGAGCAAAGGATTTTTTTTCTGTTTGAGTATTTTGAAAGCTGAAATCATCTCAAAAATATTAGTTACTTAGCTACTCTGTACATTTGTTTGTTTTTCTGTTTGAGGTCAAAACAAACTGGCAGCCTGAAGTGCTGAAAATATTGATTGAAAATGAGTGATTGTGTTAGTTTTGAATTTGATTGGTAGAGAAGATGGCATGAGTTTTTGTGACCAAACAGTAGAAATGTTGCAATCCACATTGCAAGTGACTTACTTGAAAGACAAAAAATAATACTTCATTACTTATTCAAACAACTCATTTAAACTTACCTCTGCAATGTGCAAGGCAAGTTTTAAGCCATTTTCTCTGGCCAGTTTCAGGGCAGGAACAAAATTGTTTGAATCATGTGCCTGAAAATAAGATGTCCTGCATGAGAAATTGAAACAGCACATGATACAGTAACTCTTAAACTCAATTTCCAAGATTTTCTGTATCTTTTCTATTTTTGATAACCAGGCATAACTATGCACAAAAAATGTAGAACATACTGTAAGATAGTATTCAATGGGGCACATGTTGACACCTGTCAACCTGAAGATATTATTAGATTTTTGTTCTTTTAGTCAACCTTGATTGCAAAAATATGTATTAATTATGTACTGGGCACAGAGATTTCCTGATCATGTGACTTGCTTGATTTTGAACTCAATACAACTAAGTTTTAGCTGCAGTATTGTTGCTGCAAAAGAAAATTACGGAGTGATATGCTTTTTTCATCCATTAGCAGTACTGTTGTTTTTATACTTACCTTTGGATCTCCACTTAAGTCTAGGCCCACAATAATCCCTTTGGCTTTTTCCTTGTACTGTATAGCTAAGTGTACAGTATCCATGGCATCATCTGGGCCAAGCCTCCGATTTATTGCAGGTATAAATCTTAATTAAAAACAAATAAACATTGAGGCATCTGTGGCTAATCAGATGGGAATTTATACCAGCTGTCGTTTCTCTCAATATTGAAGGGAGGATTATGTTATGAAGTAATTTTTAAGTTACAATACAATTTTGCTCTTCATGATTGTACAAGTGAAGCACTTCATAGAGTGGAGAGTCCAAGATACATAGTTTTTCTTAATCAGTCTAATAACTATAAAATTAATTATAATTTTCAATTTTTGAAATGAAGTCAATCTACCAAATTATGTCTCCTGATGGATGTGGTGAGGAAGTGGAACATTTTGGTTTGAAATAAGGGCCGGGTTTGGAGAACTGGGCAGCACACTCCTGAGAATAATTCCAAAGGAATACCTTCTGCACTGCATACTACCTCACTGTTATGTTGGGGGCTGTCCTTTTAGCTTCCTCAATAGCCTTTAAGACTGCTTCTATGTAGGACTGCTTTGTCATCCCTGTGGAAAATTATCAACATCACATTTGATTATTCTTAAAACTGTGCCATCCTTGTGTCAAAGGTGACCCATAAATTACATGGAATGTCAGATTGGCATGATTGTAAAATAAGGAATAATGACCTCAGATTTTCAATTCCATAGATGCATAAATTACACAAAATGTCAGAATCACAGAATTGTAAAATAAGGAATAAATGAACTCAGATCTTCAATTCCATTCAGAGATTTTATTGATCCATTAGTGGTTTGTGAGAGATGGTTTATGAACATGGTTCAAGTAAAAGGATCTGCAGATACTTTGATTATCACTGCACCTGTCTCAGGATTGGCCCTGGGTGTGCTTCTTAGCTCTAAGTACTTTGTATTATCCTGCTCAAAGTCTTCAATAACACTTTTTGTCACCTGAAAGAGATTTGAGAGAGAAGAAGTTCAATAATGAAAAATTTACATAAAAATTTATTGACTTTATAAAACTTCAGCAGGACTCAAACAAAGATTTAGCTACATCTGTTTTCTTGTGTGGTGCATGTGATTAATAAATGCCAACTTAAGTCGCACTCTTACCAGAAACACTGCTTCAGTGTCATCTACAAGCTGGTAAATGATGCCAAACATTGACAAACAACTGTAGATTAGAAAACAAAACAAAACTAACAAAAAACCTTAATTTTTAAGAGTAAATCCATCAATAATTTTGAATATTAATTCCTATTTATAGGTATTAATTGATGAAAATACATTCATTGACAGTGAGTTGAATTTTCACGCTGGTCTAACAACTAGAAAGGAAACAGCAACAAACAACCACATGGATAAACAAGTAGAAAAACAAGTGAGCAAAGGATGAAAGGTAAATAGAGGAATAATGAATAGGCAAATAAAATGATGTCTACGTGGAAGAATGAATGAGTAAGTAAAGAAGTGAATGAATGGGTGAATGAATAAAAGGAAAAACATTTTGCCAGATGACTGCTATATATCTTGGCACTGAAAGTGGATAAATACATCCATCATCTTAACCCTTTACACCCTAATGTCATTATGCATATTCTCCATACTGTTCTTTCTACATTTCCTAAGGTGCTGACAAGGAGAATTTGTTTATTGATCAAAAGCATCTTTTGTTGATAATCATTTCCTTCATTCTCATAACCTTAGTGTTTGATTCAGGGGTGATGTAGTAAGGAGAAATTAGATGCTAGTCACTCTTAGGGGCTCAAGGGTTAAGCCACTAAATCCTTCAGATACTAACATCATAACTAGTTTCTCCATAACTTACTCGCTTAAATCTCGCTGTTCTCCCTTGTGAATTGTTGTTTGCCACTGGGACACAAGACAGTCATTGTTTCCTTGCTCAACTTTTCTTTTGATGAGCTTCTCAATTGTCTCTGTGCTTATGGATCCATTTATGTGGGCATGAAGTTCCTAGAAGGCAGTTACATTAAGATATGATGAATTTTTCAACGTGGGAAGGGAAATAAACGACTCTAGTGAGCATGAATTCAATCCATTTCCATCATGGCCAATTCATAGCAAGGAAGAACTATGCATTGTTGCAGACAACAAGTCTCAAAGTCCCCAGATGTCTCCCTTATGAAGATAAAATGTACTATATCAAATAAATAAGTAAAAAATGTGAAAAACAGTTAAGGCATCTGCACATAGCCTCCTCTTACAGCACTCTTTTTCACTCACTGACATTTTGTAACCAATGATCATGAGCCGCAGACCAGTCAAAACTGTAAAGATTAGGGTTAGGGTTCTCCATCGTAGAGATCAAAATAATCAAAAAAGCCTCTACCAGCCTTAAGTGGTGTAAATAATATATTTTATAATCTCAATATTTCCTGACTTTTTAAATCAGCTATTCGAACTCTATTTTCCCTTAGTCGACAAAAAATTCACGTGGTATTTGCCCTGCCGGTTCCTACCCAAAAGACATTTTTTTCCCGACCATTTCATGACCTGTGGAGACCATGGAAAGATCGTTTCCAAATACTTACAATTTTCGGTATTTTCTTGAAAAAATTGAAAGGTATTTTCTCTTCTGCGACATCGGCAGTTTTCCCTGTACCGTCAGCCATGTTGGACGAAATCGATTTGCTACTGTTTGTTGTGATTGGCCAGTCTTGTCATTGACAAGTTAGAGACTTTCCCGCCAAAATCTGAATTTCGCGCTGCAGTACTAAACGATTAGGTTCATTCAGTCGTGTGCTCACGTTTTCTTTAATTTTTTTTTATATTATCAAGGCAAAAATGGGAAATGAATCATCAGCACCGGTTACTTATGGAACAAGGCTTCTAAATGATGTAAAAGTTGAATGGAAGAAAGTAGAAATGGACGCAAAGTTGCCATCTCGTGACGGACATTGCGCGGCCGCCATTGCAGATAAACTTTACGTATTTGGCGGAGTTCGTTGGCTTTCTGATCTTGAGGAAGTGACAGAATCCAACGAAATTCTGGTTTTCGATGTTGGTAAGTGCTAGGGACAATAAGATGTATTATTGCGTTCGGGATTTTAATCTTCGACTCCTTTAATGAACGTTCGTCATCGGCGAGCCTTGCCTAATTAGCGATCGCTTTGAAACTGGATAAAGCTTTTTTTAAGGATCTGAATAATTGTCATCAGATCGATTATTGTCTGGCTATCACGACGGGCAAACATTACCTTTCCACCCGAAACTTGGTGCATACTTGTCGAGAAGTACCTTGGACGATGACTTGTTCTCGAGCTTTTGAAGAATTTCGGAAAAAGACTACCTTCGATTATGTCACGCTATATGAACATTTTTTTTTTGTAGTTTTAAAATCATTAAACAACCACATCGATATCTCAATATATATTGTGAAGTAAAAGGAATCTGGGACCAAACAAAGTGAAGCTAACAAAATATTTAGATGTAATTCATTACTTTTTTCCTGTATCTAAATTGGTCGGTTTTGTGTACTTTACCTCGGTTATAGTAGTTACTCTGTCATCACCAAACCATAGTCTCTCTGTAATTTTTCGAAAGCTTCTCAGACATTGAACAAGATTATCACGGGAGGTGACGTTCCATCGGCCAGATCCTCCGCAGCTATGGCTGCAGTGGGAATGAAACTGTATGTTTTTGGTGGACTGAGTAGAGACTGTGGATGGCTGAATGATCTACACGCTTTTGATACTGGTATGTGTAATTTAAAATCAATTCACACAGAGATTGTTTCAGATGAGAAGTGAAATATAAAGTCCATAACACTGGCACTGGCAAAATACTTCCATTTACAGACACTCCCATAAGACAGATATTTCCCAAGTGGTAAAATAAATACCTGTGGTTCTAATTTTTTTTTCTGATAATTTCATTCTTTTCAAGTCAGCCACTTGATTTCTAGGATAGTGACTAAATATTTTCCCTACCGTCTTTGCAGATAAGGGATGAATTACATTCAACTGCATCAACACAATGAATTCAGACTTGAGCTGTATGTTGATTAAAACAGTGATATATACCAAATTGTAATAAATCCTTAAATAAAATGTATTATTGATTGCCAATTAAATGAGGTTTTGCAAAAGCCATTGAAGGGGAACTTTGATTTTTTAGTTTTTGTTTTGGACATTTTTTACCATAGTTGTACAGTTTTTCTCTTTTTTTGCATGGTCTTTAATTTGTCAGTTTTGTTATCCATTTTGGTTTTAGGCTCTCTTCTTTATGTTACATTTAATTTCAATTTTTTTATGACCAACAGACGTGTCTTCTTCCAGGGTCTCATTCTTTGCTATTTTTTACGGTTTAAGCACTTTTTCTCCACTTTTTTTTTCTTGCATCAGTAGGAAATTGAGTTGGTTTTCTGGTTTTTGTTAAGGCTGTTAAGACCTCATCAAATTTGTTTTTTCATTATAGAAAACAATCAAAGCCATTTAAAGTCACAAAGTTTAATGCTACTTGCTTGTTATTTCTGTACTGTTTCAGAAACAAAGCAGTGGCAAAATATCACATGCAAAGGCGTCCCTCCATCTCCACGTGACAAGCTATCTTGTGTTGCTATGGGAACCAAGATTATCTTCTTTGGTGGATTTGGTCCATTGGAGAATTTGGAGACAGAAAAATCTGAGCAGGAAGAAGCAGAGTTTGGTTGGTTCAACGATCTCTTCAGTTTTGATACAGGTAGGGACTTTAGAAATCAAATTGTAGGCATTGATTGCTTGAATTTAGAGAACACCTTAATCTTAACTCTGCAACTTTGAAAGGATAATTTGGTTTCATCTATTGAGTTGATAATGTTAAATTGGCCATCATAAAGTCATTTCAAAGCTGACGTTTTGAGCATTAGCCCTTTGTCAGAGCAAATGATGAAGGGCTAACACTTGAAATGTTAGCTTTGAAATTCTTTATGGTGGCCAATTTACATTATCAACTTATTTGATAAAACCAAATTATCTTATTATACTCCTCACCAATGTAGCAGCACAGTTTCTCTAAAAAATTACCTTTCAAAAGGAGCCATGTCACAAGATTTGGAGTTATCTAGTATTATTTAACAATTGGTTCATGTATCAGCATATGTTCATTGTGATAGGAAGAACTCAGGAACTTTGAGTAGGGCAATGTGTAGAGTTGATTGAAGTCCAGCTTCTTTTGGGCTTTGTAAACTTCCCATTTGCTGTGATTTTTGCATGATTTATTTTAATCAGTGTTAATCATGCTGTTTACATGCATCAACACAAGTTGCCAAGTTTTCTTTGCAGTCTGAAAGTAATCAAAACTGACCTTCCCTATTCAGTATCTTATAAATAACTAAAAGTCTGTGTGGAAGAAGTGACCATGAGTCTTAAACAGGGGAAATCTATGCAAAGAATCATGGGAAAGGTTTGAGATGATTATACAATTCAATAACCTGTTATCTGCTGTTGATTCTCCAGAGAACTGTACATGGGAAAAGCTCACTCCTTCATTTACTGGATCTCCAACACCCAGAGCAGCTCATGGAATGTGTGCTGTTGGATCAAGACTTGTCATCTTTGGAGGCAGAGACAGTGTTGGTAGAAAGAATGACATCTTTGTTTTGGATACAGGTGATTTAATTCATAATATTCATACACTTTTCTCTCCAGCATCCTTTCACTTCTTGTCATTAGATCATACCCTCACCCCCTCATCTGCCCCCAATTTAGCCTGTTATTGGGAAAAAAAGGGGGAAATGTGGGCACTCAAAAAACTTGGGAGTAAGGAAAGGTGAAAGAGGCTACATGGGGCCAAGAAATTGATTCAAATGCAAGTGTTGGTGTTAACCATGAAAGTTAACCAGTTGTAAGGTCCATGTCAGCTGGTATACTGGAAGGAGGTTTTTAAAAAAATTCTCACAGGCACTTATTCTGCAACTGTTTCTTCAATGATTGCTACTGCTGTGTGTCTTCTTGCTTAGAACTTGACTATGCCCTTACTTTTTCACCCTTCTCCTTTGAGAAGAAGAAGAGGGGCAAGAGAGAGGGCCTGGAAAGGGTTATTATTTTGGACTCACTTTTTTATCTTTTTTGATACACTATAAGAAGCTTTATAATGTTAAGTCAAAAGCAGTTGAATAGATAGTACTATGATTAACTCTTAGACACAATGGAATGGATCTCAAAGCCAACCTCAGGACGACAGCCAGAGCCTCGTTCATTCCATACATGCACAGCTGTAGGTAACAGAGTGGTAGTTTTTGGTGGAAGAAGTTTGGAGAATGCACATTTTGATGATCTGCACATCTTTGACACAGGTAAATTATGAAGCAGTGACAGCCTTTTTTTGTGGGCCCAGATATAAAATCTTGGGATCTAAACTTGGCCAGTCCTGTCATACTCTGCTCAGTGTATGCAAATATCACATAAGATAAACTGATTTGCCCAAGAGGTTCTTCTGTCTACCTCTCCATGTAACTAGCTGCAGAAATAATGACTTGGTGTGCATTATTTAAGCAAATTCTTTAAAATTGATTGTCAGTTGTCAAGGCAAATACAGAATGAGTTTGTTACAGTCCACAAAGTTATACCAGCCAAGAACTACATTGAACTAAAGTCCATGAAAATTATTTTTCACATTTTTGTTTATCTTCTGGAGCATATGTGAAATGTGTGAAATAAGATCCACCAAGGAAATACCAAATTTGAAGGCAAGCTGGTAAGACAATTCTTTTTCAAGCTCCCTCTCTGCACTTGCTTTACACTTAAAAAAAAAAACCTCTAGACTGGGGCTAGTACATATTACCCTCTGATTTCCTGATTATAAGAATGATCACAGCTTTTACCTCTCTCAATTGCTAGACACAAATGAGTGGCTGCAGCCATCAACATCTGGTAGCATCCCTCCTGGCAGGGGGGTACACACAGCCACACTGGTGGGAGACCAGTTGGTACTTTATGGAGGTTCATCTGATTTTGATGGAGAAACAATGCAGTGTCAGGAGTATCACGGGGATGTATATCTTATTGCAAAAGGTATAGTTTGTGATACATTCCATCCAATGCTGAACAAAATCACTATTAGTATTCCCCCCAAAAGAGCACATTCTCATTTGAAGTTCCCCCTTTTCCAAGCTTTAATAAAGGAAATATATTGCATATTGTGATGGACAGGTGTAAAATTTTTCTTACTTAGAGCTTAGCTTTTCCAGTCTTAAATGCCTTGGCATGATCACCCATCTCCATTTTTTGTTTTATCCAACTTTATTTTTGTAGAACAATTCTTGTCAGGGATGTCCCAAGGTCCAGACCCTAATGATGTTCCTCCTGTTCAAGCTCAAGCCCCCTTAATGACTGGTGGATTTGCTAATTTTCAAGAATGTCAAACAATTGAGGAGGAAGACAGCAGTGAATATGAAGACTCATCAGATGAGCAATAGGGAAACAAAGTTACTCTTCTTACTTTGAGAAGAGAGGCTGCATTCAAGGGAATTAACTTATGTACATGAGCAGTAGCTGGTAATGAAATGCTTTTGTTTTAATCACCTGTACAACAATTTTTCCACTAAAACTGTTTTGAATTTTTTTTTTTAAAGATTATCCAGCTGTTGCTTTGTAGATGATAAAGCCACCATCAATGACACTTGTACAATATTGCATAATAAAAGCTAATCCACAATTTATTGTGATTTATTTGTCATTGCATTGCTCTTAATTTGATAATGGTGCAATATCTGTATTTGCTTCAT